ATAAACAGGTGCAATTCCAATCATTCGTTGTCCGAAAGGCGGAGCGGCAGAGCTGATCGCCACAAAGCTCGACCGTAAACTACGTGATCACATTCTGAATTCCAAAGACAACCTGTTCTCCAGCAACAAGAAAACCGCCGCAGGAGTACCTTCTTCACGACCTGTCTTGATTATCGTCGACCGTAATGTGGACTTGGTACCCATGCTGTCGCATTCATGGACCTACCAATCATTAGTACAAGACGTGCTTCAAATGCGGCTCAACCGGATAACCATCGAAACTCCGATTGACGAGACAAACCCTACCAAGGGCGTGACAAAGAAAGTATACGATTTAAACAGCAATGATTTCTTCTGGAAGCGTAACGCTGGAGTACCTTTTCCTCAGGTGGCGGAAGATATCGATGCTGAATTGACGCGCTATAAAGAAGACGCAAATGAAATCACGAAGAAGACCGGGGCTTCTTCTATTGAGGACTTGCAGAATGACACCAGCGCTTCTGCGCAGCACCTCAAAGCTGCAATTACCCTGCTCCCTGAGCTGCGGGAACGCAAAGCCATTCTAGACATGCACATGAATATAGCAACTGCACTGCTCAAGGGGATCAAAGACCGTCAGCTTGATAATTTCTTCGAGCTCGAGGAGAACATTACGAAACAATCAAAAACACAGATCCTGGAATTGATTAATGACCCTGCGAAAGGCAGCAACCCGACTGACAAGCTCCGGTTGTTCCTTATTTGGTTCCTAAGCACAGAAACAGACCTATCCCGCGCAGACTTGAGCCAATTTGAAGAGGCTCTCACTCGCGCAGGAGTTGAGGATATCAGCCCACTGACCTACGTGCGCCAGGTTCGAGAGCTCACCCGGATGACCATGATGACGACTGCCGCACCGCAGCAGCAGTCCTCGGATTTGTTCCGTGGATTCTCATCGCTTTCCAACCGCCTCACTGACCGCATAACTTCCGGAGCATTGGGTGCTAATTTCGATTCTCTCATTTCCGGCGTTAAGAATTTCCTCCCTGCCAACAAAGACCTCACTCTGACCAAGATCACCGAGTCCATCATGGATCCGTCCTCAGCCTCCAGTTCTGCAATTGCAAAAACAGAGAACTATCTCTATTTCGACCCGAGGAGCGCAAACGCGCGTGGAGCTATACCCCCGGCATCTGCGGCTCGCAATCCACAAGCCCCAGGAGCCCTTGGAGGTGTGGAACGAGGGACCAGCGCGACTTTTGGCCAACGTCGCCAGGCATTCAACGAAGCAATCGTATTCACCGTCGGCGGAGGTAGCATGGACGAATACGGCAATTTGCAGGACTGGGTGCGCCAAACCAGCGGACAGCCGGGCGACGGTGCAGGGGCCGGCATTCGTGCTGGAGCAGGAGCTATGGGTGGAGCTAGACGAAGAGTCGTCTATGGCAGTACGGATTTGATGAATGCTAATGAATTCCTGACGGAATCGTTGTCCAAACTTGGCCGAGAAAGTTGATTCGAATCAGCTTTCTCCATGGAAGAAACCAGTTTGGTTTGTAAAGAAATAGATTCGTCTCTTAATGTTACATACCTTAATAAATATCGTACGTTATCACGACTCCGCTGCCTCTATTATAATCAAATACAAGCAACAGAATGGCTAGCTAGTTGGTATGGATTGATTTTTATTTGGCTTATCGAAATTAGTAGTCATTTACGCCTACGCACCTCACCAAGCCGCTAAAATATATGTTAAAACTCCACAGATTCGAGAGTGTCACAGCATGTCTAAAGTATAGTACCTTTAGTGTAAATCTCGACAGTAAATGACAAATTAGATGTATTCGAAATCCAGCTCATTCTTAATTCCTCCCAGGGGGTTCCACTTCTGTGAAGGGGTCCCTTGCAAGGCCGCTTCTACTACATACTTCTCCAAAGCTGATTCATTATCTAAAAGATAACTAAAGGGAGGAAATTCCTTAGTTTCTCTGTCTTGCCTTCTTGGAGCTATCGCAAAGTTCGTCTTAATGTCTACCTACAGCTGAGAATTGTGACGTGCGGTTTGCAGTCTAGTTGAGAATTCCTGGTTCATGTGAATCTTACAGTCCATACGGTATTGCAAATGCCTGTCAATCTGGTCTAAAGTCCTTGAAGATTATTTGACTTGAAGCTACTAAAGTGAATCCCCCAGCAGGACGATGAAGATGAAGTGATAGCCCACGCAGCATCAACGCGAAAGTACAGCAAAGAAAGGAAAAGAAACAAAACGGAAGGAATTAGTATTATGATGACACAACCGGCGTTGCAGCATATGGCCTGTATCGACTGAAAGAGAGAAAAGCCACCTGGCAAGACACCTGGCAAGAAAACTCCAAATAAATCAACCGCTTAGGCATTCCTCAAATGTAATGACTGCTCAAATATCCCGTTGGCACCCTTTCGGAAGCTGTGGATGGAGATGTCATGCGCCACCGAAATGCCGAACCCGTTCTCCGGATCCTGCTGGGGTTTACTGGTTGACTGCTCTGAGTAGCATGTGGTGTTCGGCGAAGTCATGGGGGAGCTGACACATTGGGTGGGCTTGTCTCTCGTGGCGCCGTCAGAGGAGAGTATGTTCCACAGGTGGTGACGAGACTCGGTGGAGCGCGCGGTGGAGTTTGCCTGGTCAAGGGCGAATCCAGCCCAAATGGAGGAAAGAGGGAGCGAGATGATGACGAGGGTTAGGACGTTATGTGAGAATTCCGGGATTCTGCTGAAATACTGGCAAATGGCGAAAATGGCTTGATGGAGTCTTGATCAGTATAGTCCTTTTTCATTGAATGATGCGATCTTCTTCGGGGCTTACCTGGGATGGTCATGGTTTGGCAACCCATAATAAAGATGACCCTCATCGGACCGAATTGCTTCACTCCCAACCTCTTTCGCATTTTGATGGCGAGGCCAAGCTTGATGACGAAGACGGCGCAGAAAAAGCAGATGCTGACGGTTGTCACGATGTTAGTGGCACTCTCTAGCCAATCCAGGTGGTCCATGGTTCCTGCGTGCATGATCACCATGCAGTTCAGCACCGAGTAAGTCAAGCGAACCCCGATCGGAACAAGGGCAGCAAGCGTCGAGGCACCAAGTAGCAGGATCCGATACCGACGACGGAGATTGGAGCAGACAACCTGCACCTGAAGCACCAAGGAGGCCTCCACGCAAATAAGGACTATGGTGAAGGACACAGATGCCATGACTTGGCCGGCATAAGCACCGCGTGACACTCTGGAAAAGTCGCCAGCCAGCAACGCATACATCCTAGCAAATCCGGTGGAGAAATAGCTGAGCTGGCATCCCAGACGTATAATGTTGGCAAGTAGCGCAGTGACGTTCAGAACGAAAACGGATGAGATGCGCTTTTCTGGTCTTGTCAGCAGCAAGAGGACTAGGAGGAGCACAGCGCATGCGCCGAGCTGAGCGCCATAGTTGATGCTGAGGCGAATCATGTAGTGCAGGTAGTCGTCCGCTAGTGCCAGAGATGAGATTACCGTCGTCCCGTCGGACTGAGTCAGAGTGATGTTCTGCGTCCAAGGATCAAATGTTGAGTTCATATTTTACTGTGATCGATCCAGCGATCAAGGAAGTGCCAAAGTCTTGTATATGTGTCAGCCGATAGAGCTGCTTGAAGATGCGGATGGGCCCAGAAGACGAAGTCGAGCACCAGGTCCAAGGGTGTCTAGATATGGAGCTTGAGCATTGTAGAAGTCAGGATCGAGGCCGAAGTATAGCAGCTGGCTATCTAACCTGCGGTGACGGTCCGTCTGAACACTCGGAGGCATCACCCGAAACAAACAATATATGGAACGGCCAGGGAGACGTGGGACAATATTTAGATGACATCGCGGTGGGCCCCGGTTCACAAAAGCGTTGATCATGACATTGTCCATATTGACAAGCTGAAAGAGAATGACCAGAATTGCCGAGACCTGATTGTGATGAGGTCGAGATGAACAATATCAAGGCGGGAGGCAAGAACAATATCAAGACGGACAGACAAAGAACATGGCCCACGGAGAACGTCAACCTTGGCCCCATCGGGATTCACCACTGACAAGCAGCCATCACTGTCAATTTGCAAGGCATTTCATCACGACACCATCGGCATTGGATTTTGACAGTCTGATTAGCGGCAGATGCCTCGTTTCCGATGAGGACCCCGGTACGATGTATGTCTTGTCGAGTAGTTTGAGATAGGGGCAGATGTAGACCGGGTCATTTCATCAAGCCAGTTCAAGAACAGGAGCTTCAACCCTGCATCGATGATGTCTCAGTGTCTCAAGAACCTTTTATGTTTGATTGCGTTTCCTCCTGATGAGCTGCCTGATGTCGGCGTCTTCAACCCGCAGAGGCGATCACTGCGGTAATATGCTGCGTGGGCTATCACTTCATCATCCTGCGGGGGATTCGCTTTAATAGCCTTCAAGTCAATAATCTTCAGGAATGGACTAGATTGAAGATATTCGCACTATCATAGTGGACTGCATAATTCAGATGGACCAGGAGGAAACCGCACGTCGTAATTCTAAGCTGTAGGTAGATGTTGATGTTACATTTGACAGATTGGGAATAGTGAGGTCAGTCTCAGTGACCAAGATGAGCTTCGTGATAGCTCCAGTAGATTTCAACCACCGACGTAGCTAAATCAAATATTGACGCGTATCAACTGGATTATCTATCAAGATAGAATCTGGATCGACAGGAGATCCTCCAAGTTATAGCTGGGGGAGAGAAACGCGTGATCTTTCTACTGCGTCAACCAGACCCTGGAGATCAGTTCCATGCCGATTTGCTGCCAGATATCTGCAACTTGCTTTGCTTCCTTAAGGTAGCATCTAGATGACCCTTGGCATCTTGGCCATAGATAAATGGAGCCATTTGACCTGCTTTCGTGATCTCTTTGGTCTGCAAGCGTCCTCTTCTCTGCTACCTCCTCCTCCTAACATCTCTTATGAAGAAATAGTGTTCAACTAGTTTGCACGTTGAATGAGTAGTAATAGGGGCTTTAGGGATAAGCTCGATCTGACTCTGCCAAGCCGTAGGGGTCCCTGGACAGCTTCCTTCTGTAGCTTCTACTATGAGCTGCAAGAGCGCAGGGTATGGCTCAGGCCGCTGGCGACGGGTATGTGCATTCACTATTCCAAAGGACATTCCACATCGCTTTTGCATTAAAGAAATTGAAAGCCATCACAAAGTGTAGATAATCCAGCTGTGTAACTCCCTTTCCTGAACGCCATCCTACAAGAATAATTTACCCAAATTTGGACAATACGCGGTCATTCGGCCAGGCGATAGCTAACCAGCGTCTCCACTCTGTGGTTATTCGTACTGAAGCTTCGCAGCTGCACTTTCTCGGCATTCTTAATCTCTTTGGCATCGCTGTCGCCCCATTCGACGGGCACCTCCGAGTCTGCGTCAGCGTAGACGAGGACGTTGAATGTGCAGTCTCCGTCCAGAACTGGGAGGAAGGTGACCGAGGCCGTAATTTGGCGGAAGATAGCCTGTATCTCTTCCTGGATTTCTTTCTCTGTCTTCTCAACCGCAGTCGAATCTTGGATCTCCGGCTCTCTGTTGCACAGACAGGTTTCATTAGTATCGTGGGTGTTGGACGTGGGAGGAAGAGGCAGACATACCCCGGAGTGGCATTCTCCTTATCAGCAGATTTTCGAGAAGTTTGGCTTCTGGTATGCTTTCGGAATATTTGGACCTGATAATAATCGAATTCTGATGAGCCTCTGCGCGCATCCATTCCGGGACTGCCTTACATCAAACTGCCATCTTTCGACGTGCTCCCCAGTCTCCTTATCTGTGATCACCACAACAAGTTTCGATATCTTGCCTCCAAGCATCCACTTGTTTAACTGCGACATAATTTTCTTGATGTAGGCCTTGACCTGGTCGTCGGCGGTAACTGGGCTCGATCAGCGAGAGTTGCGGGTAGCGAGGGAATGGACCAACCGAGCATATTGAGACCATATTTCTTGACACTGTATCCGCATTAGATCAATTGTCTACGACTATCGTGGGCGGGCGTGAACTGACGTTGTAAAGTCTTCTGGTGGATATACCCCTCGTTGAAACCTAGGAGCCAAAGCGATAAGTATGCGTTGCACCCATCCTCAAGCGCACATCAACATACAGGATGGAGTTTATCGAGTATTCAAACTAAAACTTGTCAACCAGTGTCCCCTCCATCCAGATCGATGGAATTGACTCACGAATTCTGCCACGAGCTTCGCCGAGCCTGTCATAAATGAGTGAGCTTCAAGAAGCAATCAACAACGGCCAAACTCGGGTCTCACCTTTGATGGAGAGCTTGTGCACCTTGGATCTATCTTTCGTTGCAGACATTTTCGGCGTATTTTGATCAAACTCGGAGGTTGTAGATGGGTTTGCTCGTTCGTGGGGTCTCTTGACTGGTCAAAAAAGAGGGCAGCTTTTGTTTACCTCGATAGTCACCGCAGCAATCCGTTGTTCCACCGCCCGCGGCCACAAGTACTTTTTCTCCGCAGCAAGCGATTCGGTGCCGCACCTTTTTTGTCGGAATCGGCAATCGACGCCTTGAATCCTCATCTCAAAAGGCATTCTATTCCCATGCCATTGCAGTACTCCAGATGCGAGGATGCCTGCAGTTAGCCAGATGGCTGAGCGCTGCACCGAAAGGCACAGCTACAAGCCTGCCCAGGGCGCCATTCGTCCTTGCTAACGCTCCCCGATTTTTCACCAGCTCCGCTTCTCGCGCCGGATCGAGATCAACCGCTACCAAACCGGTATCCGACCTCGAGAACAGAATAGCAGCGATTCCAATCGAGCGATACAGGAACTTTTGCATCGTCGCCCATGTCGACCATGGCAAAAGCACACTTTCCGACCGCCTGCTTGAACTGACAGGAACGATCGAGCCCGGCTCGAACAAACAAGTGTTGGACAAGCTTGACGTGGAGCGTGAACGTGGTATCACAGTGAAGGCGCAAACCTGCTCGATGATATACAATCACGATGGTGAAGACTATTTATTGCACCTGGTTGATACTCCAGGCCACGTGGACTTCCGTGCAGAGGTATCACGCAGTTATGCTAGTTGCGGAGGAGCATTGCTCCTGGTCGATGCCAGTCAAGGAATCCAGGCACAGACCGTTGCGAACTTCTACCTCGCTTTCGCGCAGGGCTTGGAATTGATTCCAGTCATCAACAAGGTAGATTTGCCCTCGGCTGACCCAGAGCGGGCTCTTGAGCAGATGAAGAATTCTTTCGAGCTCGACACTGAAAACGCGGTGATGGTTTCAGCCAAGACAGGCCTCAATGTTGCAAAATTACTTCCGACAGTTATTGAGAAGATCCCAGCGTATGGCTATTTCCCTGTCTATCTTCATAAGCTGCTTCCGTTACTGACTCTTAACAGCCCCATCGGCGATTGCAAGAAGCCACTGCGAATGTTACTCGTCGACTCCTGGTACGATTCCTACAAAGGCGTAATCTGTCTGGTCCGCATCTTCGACGGTGAAATTCGGGCTGGTCAGCAGGTCGTGTCGTTTGCGACGGGTCTTAAGTACTACGTTGGCGAGGTTGGCATCATGTATCCAAACGAAACACCACAGAGCGTGCTCCGTGCTGGCCAAGTTGGATACATCTACTTCAACCCTGGTATGAAACGAAGCAAAGAAGCGAAGATTGGTGACACATTTACAAGGGTTGGGTTTGAGAAAGCCGTTGAACCGCTTCCGGGCTTTGAGGAGCCCAAGTCGATGGTTTTTGTGGCGGCTTACCCGGTGGATGCAGACCATTTTGAGCACTTGGAAGACAGTATCAACCAGCTCGTGCTCAACGACAGGAGTATCACCGTGCAGAAGGAGTCATCAGAGGCTCTTGGCGCAGGCTTCAGACTGGGATTCCTAGGCACACTGCACTGTTCTGTGTTTGAGGATCGCTTGCGTCAGGAGCACGGTGCTAGCATCATCATCACACCTCCATCGGTACCTGTCAAGATCATTTGGAAGGACGGAAAAGAAGAGATCATTACCAGCCCGGCCAAATTCCCGGAAGACGAAGAACTGCGCTCCAAGGTGGCTGAGATTCAAGAGCCCTACGTCCTGGCTACACTGACCTTCCCCGAGGAGTACCTTGGCAAGGTCATTGAACTTTGTGAGGCAAACAGAGGTGAGCAGAAGAGTTTAGAGTATTTCACAGCGACGCAGGTTATTCTTAAGTATGAGCTGCCTCTTGCTCAACTGGTCGATGACTTCTTCGGCAAGCTCAAGGGGTCCACCAAAGGCTACGCAAGCCTGGACTATGAGGAGTCCGCTTGGCAAACAGGGAACATCGTCAAGCTGCAACTCTTGGTTAATAAGGCGCCTGTCGATGCTGTTGCTCGCATCGTCCACTTGAGTCAAGTGGAAAGGCTCGGACGACAATGGGTGACAAAATTCAAGGAGCATGTCGATCGACAACTGTTCGAGGTTGTGATCCAGGCTGCTGTTGGTAAAAAGATCGTCGCCCGAGAGACGATCAAACCCTACCGAAAAGATGTCTTGGCCAAGCTCCATGCTAGTGATGTCAGTCGGCGCCGGAAACTGCTGGAGAAGCAGAAAGAAGGACGAAAGAGACTCAGGGCTGTTGGAAACGTGGTGATTGAGCACAAGGCGTTCCAGGCCTTCCTCGCCAAATAAACGCTTGAAGTGCTTCCGCATCTGTAGAATAGTATCATCCTGTCTATGTTGTATATCTATTTATATTTGTCATTCAATATACCCCTGTCTATATCTACTGCGCATTTACAATACTATCAGCAAAACTGTCAATACCAATCTCCATGTTGGATGAAATTCTGGATGTTGATTGGTCGGAACCTTGAGGGGCCAGAGCTGGAGCTTCTGGCCGCAAAAAAGTTCGTCGCCGACCCCGCCGCCGCAACGATCTGAACAACTTCTCCTCCTTCAACGGTCGCATTTTCTCTTCAGCTCCTTTCTTGTCAAGATTCACCATCGCAGCGGTCTCGCTTATCTTTATATCACGGGGCATTTTCCGTTTGGAGCATAATATACGCGCCCACAGCGTGGCCGTCTGCAGCTCGGTTTAGTCATTTGTGGCTCATTGCCATGATCAGCTCTTGACAACGGCAATGCAGCCTCCAGAGGGTGTGCAGGTCGATCTGGGCAAGGCCCAGGTCATAGACCGCGTCCCCAAAGTTATAAAAGAATTAAAATTCGGTGTACTGTATGAATGGCCTTGTTCCGCTTTCAGAGACTTACTGTCATGGTGTTGGATGATCGGAGTGTGACTAATTCTGGATTCGGTGTAACAGGTCCAACGACGACATAGTCAGCCAAGCTGTAGTGGAGGTCTCCGATCGAAAGTTCTTCGATCTCGAACATGACAGAGCGGTGGTTTCCCACGGTCCTCTCGATGGTCGCATGGGTATCTCAAGCAAGACCGCCACTTGCCAAACGTGCGGTGGCTCTCTTCAGGTCTGCAACGGCCATTTCGGCCATGTGAGACTCGTCCTACCTGCCTTCCATGTCGGATACTTCAAACGTGTTATCAGCATTCTGCAGGAGATTTGCAAGGAGTGTTCGCGCATTCTGCTGCCCGAGGCAGAGCGACGTGCTTTTCTCCGCGAGATGCGTCGGCCGGGGTTGGACAATCTTCGACGGTTACAGATCGCGAAACGTATCAACGAACGCTGCCGGAAGACGCGGACCTGTGAGGCGTGTGGCGCTATAAATGGCGTGGTTAAAAAGGCCGGTAACAGTGCGCTCAAAATCACACACGACAAATTCCGTGCCTTCAATGTGTCTACATCTGTGAAAAAGGTTCCACCGCCCAGCAAAATTGTCTTCGACCGTTCTTTCGATGAAGCTAGGACTTCGAACGCAGAGGTAGAGAAGCACTACAAGAAGGCTCAGGATGATATGAATGCCCTGCGTGTTCTCAATCTGTTCAAGAAGGTCTCCGATACCGACTGTGAATTGCTTGGACTGAACCCGAAGGAAGCCAGACCTGAAATGTTCCTCTGGCAATTTATTCCCGCGCCCCCAGTGTGTATTCGTCCTTCCGTTGGCCAAGACGCTGCTTCCACCGAAGATGACTTGACAGCCAAGCTGGGAGATATTGTCCAGAGTAACATCAACCTGAAGAATGCCCTTATGAAAGGAGCACCCGTTCAAACTATCGTGGAATGTTGGGACTACATGCAGCTCCAGATTGCTGTTTATATCAACAGTGACGTCCCTGGTCTCAACAAGGCAGATCTAGGCAAGCCTATTCGAGGTTTCGTGCAGCGTCTGAAGGGAAAGCAAGGACGATTTCGTGGTAATCTTTCTGGGAAACGAGTTGATTTCTCCGGTAGAACTGTTATTTCGCCTGATCCCAATCTACGAGTCGATGAAGTTGCCGTCCCAGAATTAGTGGCGAAGAACATGACCTATCCCGAAGTTGTCACCCGCTACAACAAGGAGAAACTGCAGCAAAGGGTCCGAAACGGAACAAAGAAATGGCCAGGAGCGAACTACATTATCAAGAAGGGTTCGGATTTCAAGCTGTTTTTGAAATACGGTAATCTCAACATGATTGCCGATCAGATTCAAGAAGGAGACGTGATCGAGCGTCACATCGAGGATGGCGATATCGTCCTTTTCAATCGACAGCCGTCTCTTCACAAGCTCAGTATCCTCTCTCACTTCGCCAAAGTTCGCCCGCATCGGACATTCCGGCTCAACGAGTGTGTCTGCAATCCGTACAATGCTGATTTCGACGGTGACGAGATGAATCTCCATGTACCCCAGACGGAAGAGGCGAGAGCCGAAGCTATGGAGCTGATGGGTGTGAAGAACAACTTGGCCACTCCGAAGAACGGAGAACCCATCATCTCTGCCATCCAAGATTTCATTAGTGCTGCCTATATCCTAAGCAGTAAGGATAATTTCTTCGACCGTCGGTCCTTTACGCAGATTTGTCTCTATATGCTGGGTCCGGAAACCCGATTTGATCTTCCTCCGCCTGCTGTCCTCAAGCCCCAGATGCTGTGGACTGGAAAGCAGGTCTTCAACATCCTCATGCGTCCCAGCAAGGACGACCCTGTCCTGGTTAACCTTGACGCCGCTTGCAGAGAATTTAAACCGCCAAAGGATGGTCGGCCAAAAGACCTGGATCCAAACGATGGCTGGCTTGTCATCCGTAACTCCGAAGTCATGTGTGGGGTGATGGACAAGTCCACCATTGGTTCCGGAAAGAAGGACAATGTCTTTTACATTATGCTCAGAGATTTCGGTCCCGCGGCCGCCGCCGAGGGTATGAACCGCTTGTCTAAGCTATCTGCGCGTTGGTTCACAAACATGGGATTTTCTATCGGTATCACAGATGTCTACCCCAGTGAAAGTTTGGTACGATCAAAGAATGAGCTCGTCGAAGCGGCTTACGCGCAGTGTGACGAAGTCATTGCCAAATATAAGGCTGGAACACTTGAGAAATACCCCGGTTGTGATGAGTTGCAGACTATGGAGAACCAACTGTCTGGTATTCTCAGCAAGGTCCGTCAACAGGCAGGTGACGAGTGTATTGCTCAACTCAGCAAGTACAACTCTCCTTTGATCATGGCTACTTCAGGATCGAAGGGTTCCAGTATCAACGTCTCGCAGATGGTTGCCCTCGTCGGTCAACAAATTATCGGTGGTCAACGTGTGCAAGACGGTTTCCAGGACAGAACACTACCCCATTTTCCGAAGAACGCTCGACAGCCTCCGTCAAAAGGTTTCGTGCGCAACAGTTTCTTTTCAGGACTGTTGCCTACTGAGTTCATTTTCCACGCAATGTCTGGTCGTGAAGGTCTGGTCGATACTGCTGTCAAGACAGCAGAAACTGGTTACATGTCCCGTCGTCTCATGAAGTCTCTCGAGGACCTTTCCAGTAGATACGATGACACCGTCCGAAACTCTTCAGATGCCATCGTTCAGTTCCAATATGGCGACGACAAGTTGGATCCTGTCGATATGGAAGGTAAAGCCAAGCCTGTCCACTTTGACCGGACTTTCATCCACGCTGAGTCGATCACGTACGATAATGACGAGCGGAGTCTGCTTCCACACGAAATTATGGAAGTATGTGAAGAGATGCTTTCCAAGGAGCGTGCAAAATTGGTTCGCGAAGATCTCCTGGGCAATAAGCTTCCGTACATGGACAGAAGTGACCACGGTGTTGATCAATTCGAGAGCGCGCGTGACTTCCTTGAGTCAATTCAGCAATACATCTCCACCAAAGCGGACAAGCTGATCTCTCGTGGCGGCGATATTGACCCGTCGGACGAGAGGAGCCAGAAGGGCTTGAACCACACCGGAAAGCTGACAGAGAAGACCCTCAGAACCTTCATTACGTCATGTTTGATGAAGTATAAGAAGGCTCAGGTCGAGCCTGGCCACGCCGTTGGTGCTGTTGGTGCGCAGTCGATCGGTGAACCGGGAACTCAGATGACCTTGAAGACCTTCCACTTTGCCGGTGTCGCTGGTATGAGCATTACTCAAGGTGTTCCCCGTATTAAGGAAATTATCAACGCATCGAAGGAGATCAGTACCCCTGTTATCTCCTGTGATCTCGTCACCAAAGACAATGTCATCGCGGCACGTATTGTCAAGGGACGCATTGAGAAGACGTACCTGAGGGATATTATTCACTATGTCCGAGAAGCCTGGACTGGCAAGGAGGCCTACCTTACTGTCAAGATTAACTGGGAGACCATTCAAAACCTGGCGCTTGAGCTTAAGATCAGGAACATCGTCGACGCCATCAAGAACCACAAGCGTTTCAAGGCCGATGATCTGAAATTCCGAAGCACCAATTCTCATATCCATATCTACATGGACATTGACCCTGCCAGCAAAGCATCTCTGTCCAAGACTGAAATTGCAGCAACCAGTGCTGATCCTTTCCTCCGCCTCAAGCATCTCAAGCGCATCCTTCCCGATATACAGGTGCTTGGTCATCCGCAAGCAAGCCGCGCCATCATCCGGACCGACGATACATCCAGCACCAATACACTGCTTGTTGAAGGTTACGGGCTCAAGGAGTGCATGACCACACTTGGTGTCAATGGTCTCCGCACGTCTACCAATAACGTCATGGAGATGCGTGATGTTCTTGGTATCGAAGCGGCCAGAGTCACAATTGTCCAAGAAATCAGCGAGGTCATGAAGGACATGGGCATCGATCCTCGTCATATGCAACTTCTTGCTGATGTCATGACGTACAAGGGCGAAGTCCTTGGTATCACTCGTTTCGGTCTTGCGAAGATGCGTGACTCTGTCCTGCAACTGGCTTCCTTTGAGAAGACTGCGGACCATCTGTTTGATGCTGGTGGTGCTGGTCGTACCGATCTTATCGAGGGTGTCTCCGAATGCATCATTATGGGTAAGACGGTTAGTCTGGGTACCGGCGCCATGGAGGTCGTGCGTAAATTGAACTTCTTCGAGGGCCAGATTGGTCGGAAGAAGACCACTTTTGAAGACGTCTGGACCGAGGTCTACGAGGAGCCTGCCGATGCTCAGAAGGGGAGAAGAGTCAGAAGGAAAATCCGAGCTTAATCTCTTTATTCCGATGACGTTCTCTTGAGGGTCCATGAAGGGAGAGGAGCGAAAAAGTTTGCATTCTACGGCGTTGGGTACTCTTTGATTGTACATGTAGTATTATCTTTTCTATGCATTAGCGATACCGTTAACGACAGTGATGGATGGCGGCGTGGCTATTTGACCTCTACTATTCTCATCTTTGTCGATAGTCAATTCGATGACTTATCTCAGAACTTTCCATCATATCAATTATTATGACCGGTATTTTCTCGATATTTGATGCATTCAAGCTGCCCTTGGCCTTCCACAGGTACCACATGTAGATCGCGGTGATGGCTCCAGCCAAGACGCGATGCGGGGAAGATGGAGAGCACCTTTAGCTTGGGTGAGCATTCTTGACATGACAACTTCCCACCATGCGAGCTCCTGTATCCGCCCCTTCGACATGGCTGCAGTGCCGCAGAGGACATTGAACTGGCTATACAGTGTGTTGACTCGGGTTCGTTCCCTCTTTCAATTCTCCCATCGTAGAGAAATACTGACTTTTCCAGGATCACTATGATCCCAAGCAAACCTACCAAGATCCCAATCGCACTTACTACCATGTCGCCAATGTCCTCGCACAATACCCTTCACTCTCGCCGCGGACAGATGTGTACAGTAAGTTATGTGTTACAGCGCGATTGACTGTTTCTTTTCTTTGACTGTGTTCAGCCTGGGATTGTTGGTGCTAACGATGGTCGTTCATCCTGTAGCATACGAAACCGGTTTCTCTGCCTTACTCCTCCAACTGACCGGCACAATACCGGTGTCATTTCGCGGCACCGTCTACAAATTTCCAATCGCATTATGGATTCCGAACACTTATCCTCGCGAACCCCCGATGGTCTATGTAACTCCGACGCAGGACATGGCCGTTCGAGTAGGGCAGCATGTGACGCTGGAAGGAAGAGTGTATCACCATTATCTCGCACACTGGGCTGAGGCATGGGATGTTCGTTTGCCTGATACCTTGCATTGGACTTTTCTCCCCGGTGAGCTTTGACTGACTTACGCTTTCGTATGCAGAGATCAAACCTCGTCGATTTCCTGATGATTCTTCGGGAGGTCTTTGCGAAGGAACCGCCGGTCAAGTACAAACAACCACAGGTACCGCAAGGACCTCAACAGGCAGGAACTACGCAGACACCGCCCCCGTTGCCTCCTCTGCCCCCAGAGCTAAGTTCGTCCACGCATCGACCTTCGCCGACCCCTCAAACCGCTCCGCCGCAGCCGACTGGGCAGGTGCCACCGCCCCCTCCTCCGAAGCCAGGGCAGGCCGCCGCTGCTGAACAACCGCAAGTACCACAAGCCGGGAGGTACAACACTCCTCCACTACCGCCGTTACCGCCAAAGGAACAAGATCTACGACGTCAATCGTTGCAACTCCATGCGAACACGGGCGGTCATATCCCCAGCCGGTCTTTCCAGTACCCTCCTGAGCGAAGTGGTGCACCTGGAGGGACAGCGGGCTCGTATGGGTTGTCACAACCACAACACTACAATGCTGTCCAGGCAATCCCAGCGTACATGTCTGGGCCAGCACATCAGCCAGGCGACGGTGTCCCGCCCAGAAGTCCCCCGCCTGCCAGCCTACCGCGAGGACCTCAGCAGCCGCCGTTCCCTGTGCAACAAGCTCCTGCACATCCCTCATTGTATCAGCAGAATGGTGCTCGGTACCAGCAGCCACCGCAGCCGGCCATGCAGCCTCTACCTCATGGCCAAGCGCAGCCGCCAATTCCCGCCCACCAGCCAGCGCCGAAACCAAAGACACAAACACCGGATCTCCTGACCTCACCCTTCGAGCTTGAACTCCCCTCATTCACGCCCACGGGTCCCGCACCGCCGATCCCGCCAAATCCTGAGAAGGACGCCCTCCTGGAAGCTGTGTCGAAGAGCCTCGCCGAAAATGTTCAAGCCAACCTCTCCCAGTCCGAATCCGCCGCTCACTCCCTCCTCTCCCAGTCCCAGTCCCTTCAAGCCGCCATCGCCACCTTACAAGGCGAGGTCTCGTCTCTCAATTCTCTCAACTCAACTCTGCAGTCCAACACCTCCATTCTCCAGCAATCCCTACACCGTGCAGACGGCGTGATCGCAGCCGCGCAGGCACGCATCTCCTCGTCCACTGCTCAAGCCCATGCCTCAAGCTCGGGCTCAGACGTAGCACCATCGGCTCTGCCGCCCATCGATGAGGTTCTCGTCGCCCCTACCGTGGTTGGTAAGCAGCTCTATGACCTCGTGTCTGAAGAACGAGGAATCCAGCAGGCTATTTACGCCCTGCAAGCTGCTTTGGTCAAAGGAATTATCGGCGTTGACACGTGGTCGCGGCATACGCGCAGTTTGGCGCGTGAAGCGTTCTTGAAGCGGGCACTGATTCGAAAGATCGGCAAGGGAATGGGACTTGAAGAGGCTTGACCGATGCCTTTACCTTTTTCCTATGTAGCCTTATAGAAATGGGCGGTGTTTGCTTCCAGAGAATGCTTCTGCACTTGTTACTAGAGCATTTGACAATTGCAATGTTGATACCCATTATTATGACATGCTGTGATAAATTAGCCGATCTCTAAAGCAATGTATGCATCAGCATACTACTACTCCGTACACTACTGTTCAATGTCACTATCCAGGTGGTCGTTGGTTCACAGCTGTTCTTTCATTTTTAAAAAGGTCGCCTCACAGTGGACCGCTGACTTCGATTCTTTCTGTTTTCTCTCGGGGCTCTATCAGAGTTGGCCATACCATCCACGCTTGGATATCACTACTAGCTGAGGACGTACCGTCATGGTTCCATTTAGCCCAGTGGTCTAATTCTGACACTCTACCCTGCTAGTAATCCAGCTTATTTTAACATCGAGGCGTTAAGCTCGCACCACTCTTGGTGCATAATGAGGCTTTCCCAGGACCTGAAGAAGCCCGGATCCCTAGACTACTCCATGAAACCCTGCTCCAGCCAGATGTTCTCGGCAAGACGCCGCAGACTACCCTGGTCGAACTCAATGTTGACTTCCAGAGGGTTGTCTGCTTCTCGCAAGAAGAGATCCTCAATTTCAATAACGAGGGCCTCGTTATCGAACAAGATGTCTTGATTCTGTCGCCAGACTGTCACCTTCTGTGCCATTGCTGGCTTTCCGTTCCTGACCTTCCACTTTTCTAGCACGATCTCCGGAATTCGTCGACCCACTGATATTGTTGGGGAGATTTTGACCTCGCCTTCTGACTCCTCAAGCCAGAAACGCGCGTCCTCCTCCAGCTTTGATTTCCCCTGGGAGACTCCAACCTCTAGCACAACCGTTGGCCATTTTCGAGAACGGCCGGCCGTCGGACGTCTTGGACCCCAGCCATTATCAGGTGTACTTTCGCCCAAATCATCTCCTCGAATCATGGTGCCTGAGGAAACACTTCAAGGCAGTCGAGAGTCACATCCGATCGACCGCTTCCTTCAGGATATAATTGAAAGTCTGCGTCGCCTCAGTATGCTCGGGAGTGCCTCTGGTGATCACAATGAAGAGGAGTTGAAGGGAGCGATTATATGATTTCTACTGCTTGCTCATATCGGTTTCTTCTTCGAAGTCGCGTTCGACAAGGGGTTCGGAGACGTTAGAGAAGACTATCCAGTCCCAGGGGGATGAGCGTTCCGGATCTCTGAATCATTGGAGCTCTGAGTTGACGATGGTCTGGAAATGATCGGGGCCCTTCCCATGGGTAAATATTCACGGTTGGAGGGAGACCCTCCAGGTCGTCACTTGCCCAGATCTTGCCATCACTTCTAGATTCTGTACTAACCATTTTGGAGTGGTCATACGGGTGTTGATTCCTACATAGAGACGGGATATTTAGAATGGTGCGGTGACTATATTTATAAGAATTAGAATTGTCTCATGATGATGGCATTATCAAACGCTGGCGCACCCATTTATCTCCTTTCTATTTCAGTATGTACGTACCTAGATAAACTGTGGGGTTGAGCCTTAAGATGAAATCCCATGGTTGCCTGGGACCCACATTGTGTATATAAACATTTCTACATCTACTTCTGTCCGGTCTATCTACTACCCAACCGAGATATGAAACCGGCTTTTCCAACATAAGTAACTACTGAGCAACTTATGAGATTGCCAGAGTCTCTGACTCTGATAACAGATTGTCATGGCAGAAGAACAACTCAATCCCGATGACGAGGCACTAGACAGGCCGTTTCGTTTCATAGTCACTGGCAAATACCTCGCTGTTCGCTATGCCGACGACGGCTTCACTCTACACCGTGATTACCATGGCAATGGGAGCCTGTTTTATCTTTCCGAAGATGAAACCCACATAATCAGAGATCACACATATGTTGGCCGGCTTAACAGTCATCCCATCTACAAGGACAACGTGTTTCACATCTGCCGTGGGTCACAGTACCTCTCTCGAGAGGGCATTGGACAGACAATATCGATGAAGCACTTGATGTTCAGATCGACCCCGAGGACCCTGACAGGACCGACAGCGCTGATAGTGCTGACAGTGCTCCTATTCTATCACTTTCCGAGCCTATTATGGATCCCTCTCATCCTGTGTCCGCGGATGGAATCGACCTCTACCATCCCGATAAGCAGTTTGCTCTGTATCCCGTTACTAGCGACGGCCTTTGGTATGGCGATGCTAGTAATTTCAACGGCAAGCTCATCTTCGGCGGCAATCCGTACAGCGCCGGAATCCCATTTCAGCTTTCAGTACATGAAGGAAGGACGCAGATCCGCGCAAGCGACGGCATGTACCTTACCGTCGTCATGGAAGATGATCTTTTGCCGTACCTGAAAGAGGAATGCCGGCAGCATTCCAGGGTCAGTTCGTGCGCGCATTGTTCAACATGGTACAGCCTTGGCTTTCGTCCTGAGCCTGATGACTGTCTTGCTCTGATTCCCCACGGTCTGCCTAGCATGTTTGTCTTGCATGACGGGGCTTTCTACTACAGCATGAATGTCCTCAAGGCAAGCTATGCCGAGACCGAGCGCGTCAAGCACATCGAGGAGGCGTCTCTTTTTCAGTTTGTTGGTTAGTTGTGTCAGTCTGAAAGAATTCTGATGATGTGGATGGATTCAATGAGAATTGTTGCTCTACCTCAGTATCAGCTGCCCGCCAGAACCATTTTGGAAACGCAGAAGTAGCTCATTCTCGTAAACCTCCTTGTCTTCCAACTTTCCCTCCAAGATATCCTTGGTATACACAGCTCAGTACTCGGGTACTGCTCTTGAGATGTCTGATTGATCAGCGCTCTGCGATGGTGCGAATTTTGGCTGGATATGGGTCATGGAAAATGTTGAATAGGCCATTGGGACTACCCAAGGCTCGGAGGTACGAAAAATTCCCGACTTTCCAGCCTTCTCTCATGATATTTGCCGATACGCGCTGACTATGAATAGAGGCGGTTATCGCTTCTCTTCCTCCACGAAAAATTCCATGAATTTATCGTGCGCTTTGTTGAAAGTGTCAAGGCGTTCACCAAGGATGTCGTCTGCAGCATGACCGGTCAACCAATACGGAGGGCGCAAGGTCTCACCTGGAAGTGAGCTTGCCCACTCAAGATCGACAAGATATTTGATATGCCATTTGTTGTCGACAAAGATGTTGCTTGGATGCAGGTCAGCGAGTCTGTAGAAGAAAGGTCCGTGGCGGAGGTCTCGTTCGGTGAAGCGAGGAAGAAGTGCCCGCGATATGGCCAGGTTCGGCACCTGGACACGTCCGTCTTCCTCATCATGTATGGAGTTAAGCTGGTGCCGTTTACGGCTGTCGTGACAGGACAAGATATCGAGGCAGTATGAGTCGGTTGATGGGTAAGTTAAATTACGACCGATGTTAGTCAGGATACCAGGATTTTCCAACTGATGAAGGCGAAGAGTGAGAGGCTGAATGGAAAGTTGTAATACTCCATTTGAGTCTATCGTCCAGAATCCTATCCGCGGTAATGGACGCTGGCTCTAGGAAGCACAATGCGAGGTATCCAAGTCCCGGTAGAAGTTAGTTGTGCTTTTGAGATCATGTGGAAACTCGTCCCATGTTCCTGACAGCATCTGCACCTCTGGCTCGGCAATATAGTGCATGAGAAGGTAGCATCGGCCTGGTTCCAGCTGCTTTTTCCTTTCAGGGCTTGGAGGATCTGATCTGCCCGTGTGGGAGGTGTAATTAGATTGCAACTCCGAAGTTGATAGTAGCTCTTCTCTGATTTTCACCGCTGACTTCCAGGCGGCATGTCAACATTCGTCCGTCAAAGGCATCTCAAGGCTGGAAACAATGTCGATACGCTCCACAGTGTCATAGAGCCAACCAAGATCTTATTGGAGCTATAGATCCTCTCCTCTGGCTTGTGCCTCTTCTCAATGAAGTGAGACTATATCAGAGTCTGGCAATTGCCGGTGCTATTCGTGAAAAGAAGATAACTCAAGCTATGTTATTTCGAGGGTAGGCTATGAAATGGTTGGTACTGCTAGATTCTCTATGGTGGTCATAATAACATACTCATGTACCTCGGCCTTCTTTACCATAATGCATTATCAACCGGTCAAGGGAGCATACCAGTAAACAGTGCTTTACTGATGGTAAATCCACGAGATAATTGACTGCCACGCTAGCCCTTGCTTGTTTCTCCGAGTGGAACCGCTATGCATACTATAGGAAAACATTGGCCCATGCATTTGGGCTTCTTATTGTTTCATCTGCAGGCAATGAGTACTTCTTATCGGTTGTTGACCTATGAACAAAAAAGTATTAGCTTCAGGGGCTCTCGAATCTGGCAAGATTATGCCACCCTAAATGCACTGTGGCAGGGAGGGACGAAGGTTCCTGACCATACATCTTGGAAATCTATCAGGGCTGGGAATATTTGTCCATGGGGGAAGATGGCATTGCTAAAAAAGTATTATAATCTTTAAAATTAATTTATGGTTTAATACCTACTGAACCTTTTCTGTACATACTAAAGCCGTGAGTCCTATAGCAATGGAGGACTAGTTAAAAGCCAGGGTTACAGTGACTAACGCTTAGGCTCCCCAACACCTTTCTTGCTGTTTAGTTTTTCTATCCCAGCAGTTCCCAACTTCCCATGTACCGGATTCTCAGTCTTCTTGTGTATGCATACAGGAAAGAATAGTGAACTTACACCAATGCTGCCATTGGCAATGGAACCTGTATGTTGTCATGACTAGTACTTTGAAGGGTTATTGCTAATGTCATTAGAAACAAGCAGCATTCAGTATAAATAGCTGCCCGGCAGACATATTGTACTTGGTGTTCCAGTTTCTATCATCTGCTGAACTGCATGCACTATGTCTTGTTAATAAAATGTGCCGCACAATTGCTGAGCGATTCCTCTACTCAGAAATCCAGATGACTTGGCTAAAAGCTGACCGTCCTCCACCAATCACTCAACTCTTACGGACACTCTTATCCAGACCTCAGCTAGCTGCTTACATTACAACTGTACACCTTGATGGCAATCTCTATGATCACTACAATTTTCAATTCAAAATTCCTAAACTTCCGGTCTCTGGCGCTGAACTGGACCGACCGATCGCATTCATCCGGGGCACTGGAGCCCCCTATAGCGACCTTTGGATACAGGAATTGCGCCAAGGTTCTATAGATGCTTTTGTTGCTCTTCTATTAGCACAGCTCTTAAACGTGAGATATCTGTACCTTGCCAACGACTTCACTCGAGAGAGTGCACTTGTCGGTATGGTTCTCCGATCAGCGATCTGCGAGCCCGTGGATTATGGCCTGCCCGACTTTCGGCATCTCCGCGATGTCTCTTTCATCAAACCCGACGGTCAGGATTGGGCCCGCGATAAGAAGGTCAAAACTACTCAGGTCAAATCTACTCAAGATATCTTGCCATTCTTTTATCTGCCGAGTGTCCAACGCATGTCAGCTTCGATTGAGAACCCGGCGGAATTTACGTGGCCTGCAGCACACTTACCTGTCCCATCAAAGCTTACATCACTTGAGTTGACCATTGTGCGGGAAGCGTGTCTCGGTGAACTGCTTGCACTCACCCAGAACCTTGAAACCCTTCGCTGGCGTTGGTATTACGATTTTGGTGTCAGAGACAAGTTCACTACGCCTGTCGTCAGTCTCGATTGGATTGTTGCTGTGATATCTCGTGTTCGAGGTACTCTGACGGATTTGACCCTCTCAGCCGAGTGCGGCTTAGGAGGCGGTGACCAATTTCTTCCTGGCATACAGATAGTGGGCTCGTTGCAAAGGATGGTCGGTTTTGACAAGCTCAAGAGACTTCAGGTCCCCTGGCCATTTCTGGTGGGGTTCGCGCAGGGCATGACGAAACGATTGCAGGATGTGATCCCAAGGAATATTGAATTTCTAACCATCACGGACGACTTGAGGCTGCAGAATGAAGACGGAATGGTAGACGAATTGCCTAGTTGGGAGTGGACGGATGATGCCATGCTAGGCTTGCTTCAATCATGGCTGAAGGATTGGAAGGCATGCACGCCGCACCTTCGTGGCATTACTCTGCTACTAAGCTGGAATGACAACAATGAATGGTCCCCTAGGATGAGGGACCAACTCAGGGAGCTAGGCACTCACGCAGGAGTTCCACTCGAGCTAATCGAGTTGGATGGTTTTGAAATTTTCTGATATTTATCCTCGCCCGTTTGAGCCACTTGCCCATAGTCAAATGGCTCGACGCATCCACAAATAAGACGCTCAATATCTGGCTTACAGTGGGCGTAGAACATACTGGGATCTGGTCTATCTTCGGGTTTCCCCTGCGAGAGTGCTCAAATCATAGGGCTTATTGGGAGTCTTGCCAATATTGAGGTGCACCACTCTCATCTTCACCTGCTCAACAAACAAGTTGCATCCCTAGTTGTCCTAGCGCAAACTTGTCAGTCCTGCGGCGCGAGAGTTGCGAATTAAAGGGTAGCCGGTCTCACTCACCGTCGCACCGGTACCACATGGTGGAGCTCGCGTCTTGTACACAATCATAGCAACTCTTGTGTTTTGTTCGGCTAAAGGAGTCGCGTGCGAAGCATAATACAGGTGTGCAGCCATGGGCTCTCCACAGTGACCCTTATTTTTGTGGATAGGAAGTTCATCGTCTTCACCAAGATTGGATCTATCCTTCTAAACAGCCTGGCAGAGCTGAAGAGCCCTGGCAACTGGGTTATTCCCACCACCAAACTCATACGTGGAAGTACCATCGCGTTTCATCGAAGAAGCTAGGATGATTTTATTGCTGAAAGCGAGGACCGTCATGACTGTGGATAAGTCTTCTTTTTGGAAATGCCGTACTGGGCCAGAACAGCGGGGATCTCGTCCAATGCATCGACTGCCATTTTTGCCAAAGTTGGCCATCAGTGATCGTGCTAACTGGCTCTTTGAATGTGAGATGGCTGCTATAAAACCAGTTCCGCTGTGTCCGCGCCTCTATCATCGATTGATGGCGGCCAACTCTTTGCAAGGCTGTAATCGAGTGTTATGCCCACAGGACCCTTGAGGTTGCTTTCGCTCGCTAAGATCATAAACCTTCGCTAAATGCGCACCAGATCACAAGGTTGAGATGAAAAAGCCTAGGGGAAAACCATGATGTAGAATTCTCTGCTATACCACTATAAGCATAATGCGCACCAGGGGAAGAGAGGTTTCTACCTAGAATACTCTGGATGTAGTGTGCCGCCGGTCACCCTCAAAGCCAGTACTCAGCGCCAATTTAGAGCATGGCTGCTGTAGGTTTCCTGCTATACTTGCCAGTCTCTATTTCTCAGTCTAAAAAAGTCTGTCTTACAGTCCTATTCTACAATAGGGGTAGAAACCGTACAATAGTACTAGTAGTGCTATCGCGGCAAACACTTCTCCTAGTGCTACTACCATAGGATACCCCGATAGGATAGGATCCTGCCAATGAACGGCAATAGATGATAGATGTTGGTCCAGACGAGAGAAGTGACTCGGAAGGTTACATCTGTTCTTTTGCTATTCACTTTAGTATAGTATTTGTCAATTTGAAATAGCACGAATTCGACCTGACATGGTATACTAGCGTCTAGTATACACTATGTAGAGCTAGGGCTTCTTCTTAGCTCATAGAAAAGTCTAGGAGAGAGACACCCAGGTGCACAATAGAGTGCACGAGTAGTGGCACAGAGCAGTAACTATAATGATTCGGAGATTCCCGACGTATCCTGTTTCGTATAGTATTTGCCACCTTGAAATAGCGTTCCAACCTAGGTCGGGATATCAGTATTGAGGTATCAGCGAACCGAGATCCCTGTATATGCTCCATAAATCATCTAATATAGATCCGCTTCTTTGGATTCCCGATGCTCCGACTGCTGTAGAGATACCCACCAGGTCAATTAACAGGCAGCACAGACTGGATACCATCCTAGCAGCCAACCGTTGGAAAAAGCGCATGAGGGTCCACAATCGTTCATGTGGCAATCAAAATGTATGCTCTAGCAGCAGTAGACTAGCTTGGTCCAGGTACCCAGATAAATCTATTGGTGTGAGACATGATCAATTAGATGCTGATGAGATTCTGGACTAAGCTTCGCTAAGCCATTGCTTTTCTTGGCTTGGCACTAGTCTTGTTTTCCGGGCCAATCCTCTTCGTTCCTTATCATTGTGGATGACTACCCCGGTCCGTTTAGAGCCTTGGCGATCCACCCTTGGCCCATAGGAGCAGGCCCATTCTCCGAAACTGTTGGCACCGGCGCTTTATTTAATACTACTAGATATGCGGCATTTTCCTAATTCAGTGCTAATTTGGGCTCAGTTCCGCTTATAAACGCTCATCCGATAGACCAATTGGCAATTGCATGGTAACCCGTATTGTTTTGGCTAAATCACTACTCTATCAGTTCTATTCCTGAAATGCCCGAGACCCTAGTTTGGCATGGAGATAGGAGATACCTGAGAATTAATTTGCCTCCAGCACAAATTTTATGCCCATCCCATGACTGATCCTGGCCTAGGATGATTGAACAGGAAGAGAGTAGCTCGAAGAATAGTTTTCATGTGATTTGTAGCCTCCTGCGTAAGTTTTGCCCTTGCCATAAAGAAGATCTCTCCATCCTCTCTGATCACCCTTTAATTCATGTGATATGTAGGTGGGTTGAGCTTCGGTATCTCGATATTTTCCGTTGACACGAATGTCAACTATGACTTTGAATTATCACCTTCGTCCCTCCCGCCTCTCCTCTCCTAAGACACAGCTTCCGGGTCAAAAATTGAATCTTAATCTCGAAAAGGATTCGTCTAGCCGGCCTCGTGAAATTTGAAAAGCTATTTACCCTTTTCTTCCGAGATTTTGCCAAGAACCTTGAAAACCCCTGGCCCGCTATGCGTCGGGAATCCGGCTGGCCCAACGACATTACCCCCACACGTCCCCATGGAGTCCACTGACTCGGCGGGTCAAGTAGTCCCTTTAGTTGATTTTTTCCGACTAGGAAAGAAGAGCGATCTTACTTAGTTTGACTGCTGAAATCCACGAATGAGGTTGAATCTGAGGGGTCGCTCTAGTGACACTAGTTACTAGCGTAGGGCCTAATCAACAGCCACGATGCTTCAAAGGTCAGAGTCACAGCAACAATTACTTAGAGCCCCTGACACCTTTCTCACCACTTTTCAGTTTTTGTTATCCATCAGTTCCTACGTGCCAGTTTATCAGTGTTCTTTGGGTGCGCATACACAAATGAGCAGTGAGGCTCGCAACCTTGGCAATGAAACCTGTATGTGATTAATGGAGGTATTCAAGGTTATTACTAATATCCCTAGGAACATCAAGCAGCATCTGGTCTAGACAGCTTCCCAACAGAAATATTGGACTTAGTCGTCCAGTTACTATCATCTGCTGAACTCCATGCACTATGTCTTGTCAATAAAAGGTTCCGCCTGATCACTGAGCCGTTCCTCTACACCCAGATCCAATGGACATGGACAGACTCTCAGAACCCCCCGATCGCTCAGTTTTTGCGAACCATTGTGCACAGGCCCGAGCTCGCCAGTTTTGTCCAAGTTATAGTTCTCAATGGGGACTGTTTCGATCCCGTCCTGTGGGAATATAGAAAGAAAAGTCCTAAACTCACAGTCACTAAGGTCGTCTTGGACGAGCTAGTGAAATGCATCGAAAGGATCCGGACTCCATATGCTGAAGAGTGGATCCAAGAGTTGCGCGCTGGAACGATGGATGCGTTTGTCACACTTTTATTATCACAGCTCCCCTGTCTGAGGGGTCTCTATCTAGGCAAGAATTTTGCCCGAGAAAGCCGCCTCATGGGCATGATTCTCCGTTCGGCCCTCTGTGAGGAGTCCCCAAATAGCCATCTCCCTTCCTTTACACATCTCAAAGATGTGTCAGTTGTGTATCCCGACCTTGGTATCAACATTCGCAGGTTCACAAATGTCAGGAACACGGCAGATGTCCTGCCCCTGTTCTACTTGCCGTCGGTTGAACAGATAATGACCTTAGTCGACAACCCCGCTGCCACTTTCATGTGGCCCTGGAAATATCCACCAAATCCATCAAAACTCGCATCGCTTGACTTGAAGATGTTACGCGAAGGGCCTCTTGGTCAAGTGTTATCAGTCACTCAAGGACTTCGGAAGCTTCAGTGGGAGTGGTACTACCGCCCAGATCTTAAAGATCATTCTGTCACAGATATTATTGATTTGGACCAAATCGCCGCAGATCTATCTCACATTCAAGCAACTTTGACGGACTTATCTATTATGGCATTATCAGACCTCTCAGAATCAGCCCCTGAACAGCCAGAGGTCACATTCCGCGGGTCTTTTAGAGCTTTTAGTGGACTCCATAGGCTCAAAAATTTGGAAGTTCCAATTCCATTTCTGCTTGGATTTTCTCCATCGGAGCCAAATGTAGTTAGCCTAGAGGAAGCACTCCCAAAAAATATTGAATGGCTGACCCTCACTGACGAGCTATGTCTCCAGCGAGAATGGGAATGGGAATGGGAGTTCGAGATTGAATACCTATTGAGGGCTGTTCGATCATGGCTACAAGACTGGAAGAGATTCACGCCTCGCCTCCGAGGATTTCGTCTGTTGTCGAGGATGACACACGAAGTGCAGTATTGGGACAATGGATTGATAGAGGGGCTCAGAGACATAGGTGCCCAGGCAGGAATTCAGGTTCAAATTATAAAGCAAGACGTCAAGTGAGCGGATCAAATGTAACTATAGCTCCAGTTTCTGCCACCGATATCTCTTCAGACCACTATTTGATACTAAAAAAACACTCTCGGTTCACCCCCGCATAACTGAATCTGGTCGATCCTGACCGGGCCTCCTGCAAGATTCGCCAGCGTGTACGGCTCTGGCGGCGTGTTTGTATCTAAGACCCTGAGCCCCTGATCTGCTGTGAAAAGATTGCAGCCCCAAACATCCTGCACAGTTGTTAGTTAGTCTTTGAAAACGACATACTGATGAGGACATCAGTTACTTACCTCCCTACCAGTTCCAGATGGATCTATCTGTTTCCATCCCTGACGCTGGACTTTGACCCATGTGCCAACCCTCGCTTTTCGATCTTTCAGGGGGACATTGTTATTTTTATAGTATAGATGGGCCGCCATAGGCTCTGCGCAATTACCCCGGTTGTCGTGTAGTTGATTCACTCTCTCAGGTGGGCTGGTATCTCGCCAGACTATCTGGCATTGCTGAAGACGTCTGCCGACAGGCGTGTCGCCGTTCAGAAAGTCATAGGAGAAACTGCCCGCTCCCTTCATAGAGGAGGCAAGGATTATTTCATTGCCCCAGGCTAGAATTCCCATCGCTGTGGGCTCTGCCTGATCTCTCATGATGCCATACTGCTTTCGGTCTACTGTCATTTCATCGGCCGCATCTCGCGCGATTTGCCAGAGCTGCCCGTCTGAGATGGAAGGGTTCGCCTCATCAGAATTCCCGACGGGATTCGCAAACACGATGTGGCTGCTAAATTGCCAATTGCGCCTGGCATTTTTAATGTTGGCGTCCTGTTCCTGTGGCCAATTTATTGCAAGGCCATAGTCGAGGGCGACTTTGAGCGGGCCAAGCGGGTCCTTAGGTACCGAAACATCGTTAGCACCACTGAGTATAGGGTTGAACGCAATCAAGGCCCCAAGCACTAAAAGACTGGTATTTCGGACAGATGGGAAGAGCATTGTTAAAGGCGAGCGCTCAAGTTGACTGTGACCGACGCAAAGCTGGAAATACATGAGCCACTATGTGAGTTGCTGGGTAGCATAGGGGACTCACGCAAGGAAAATAGCCAAGAGCTTGAAGTACGTCTTTCTTTTTCTTGAAAGCTGAGCTTTTTATATACCCATGCACAAGTGGACGACGACAATCCGGCAGATATATATGATTCCCTCACAGTGTGAGTTTCATCAGCAAGCCTACTGCCATTTAAGAAAAGCCCTGTGCCGCTCAATTCCGATTATAAACCGGATGGTACTAGCGAGGAAGGGGTTTCAATTTGTCGCTTCGGACTTCCCACCATCTTCCTTTGGCGGCCAGCGCCAGCCTCAGAATGGAGAATGCGGTGCACTAGGCTGTCTTCTCCCAGGATGGTGCGTCCTTTAGGACATCTCCGAACAGGCGTTTTCAGCGGGGCCTTCCATGCTTCTAGCACTACTACCATAGTATACGTCCTCCGAGACAGTTTCTTCCAAAACCAACAGCAATATACGCTATATGCTTAGCGTCAAATGAGGGAATGACTCAGAAGGTTGCATTTCAATCCCGGGTACTGTAGCCCACATGGTATTTGTCAATTCAGAATCAGCCTGAATTCGACCTAACATGCGGTACTCGTACTGAAATGAGGCCGTGGGTCCTTCTTGATCCACTGCGAGGGTCTTAGTATTGTATGGATGGAAGGGCCCTAGCCGCACAATAGGGTGCTACTCATATAGTAGTGACACAGAGCTTTAATACGTGAGGCTATATTTACAAACTATCGTCGAATCTAGATCAGACCATAAAGCACTAACTTGAGTACACTATCATATATACAGAAAATGAAGTTATCATCACTCGTATAGTATTTGTCATTCTAAACCAGCAAAATTTAATCTAACACGGGATATCAGTATAACCTAGAGCTAAGGCTCCTTCTGGCAAGTCAGATGGAAGGACCCTGGGCACACGATAGAGTGCTACTTGTCGAAAGTAGGTATCTGTGCCAGGTGCTCCCACCATCGCGGGACCCGCAGTGGGACCGGTGTGGGTGCGCTACGAAGGCACAGATATTGCTATGGTAGACCTTGTACTAATATAGCGCCGCTGAATCCTAGCGCCAACGGCGTTCATCGGACGGCCGCCGAGCAGCGTTTTTACCAATGCAGTGAATCCACTGGTTTAGCATGCCTCGTGCGTTAGTTACGGTTGAGATCAAGAGAAATGCATATTAATTTCTCGACGGCATCGCCTAGCGTCCCAACTGGGTTTTCTCGGTTACGATTGTATCTCAGTCCAGCAGCTCGTAGCAACCAAGTTTGGAAGGAGTCAATTCGTGACCGGAAAGTGCGGCAGCCATGAGCCAATACCTGCTGTTCAGGAAAATGTGCATCACGGTGGATCTATAGTTCATGTTCCTACTTAGTCTGACCTTTCAAGATGCGAGGGTAGCAGCGAGGAAAGGGGTAGTATCGTTCTCATGGATAGGAAGGGGGAGGCGAGTCAGGCGAACCGAAAGGGCGTACTCCACAAGACTAGTCTCAGACCATGAACGTGGTTATAAGAAGTCTTTCATGTCTGTGAAGTCCTGAATTGTACTGCCCTTCTCGTCTGTCTCCCGCCCTACGCGCCTCCTCTGTTCGATATGTACGGGCAACTATGGCATGGCCTGGCGGCCATTGCTACCCTTGGGAGTTGCGCCCTTGCCAATCCCCTTGTATACTGGGATGGGCGAGGAAATGCAAGCATGAACTACGAGCACTTCATGGCGAGAGATACTGCCGATTTCGATCAATCAGATCTTTCATTCATCACGAGAATGGCCGCCATCGGCGACTCTTACTCGGCTGGAATAGGCGCAGGTAACCGGATTCAAACTGATGCCGGTAAATCAATCTCTCCCTGACTCAAGGATGTACTATGTTGACTGATAGATATTTTGTCCACCTGAAGATTGGGCTTGCAGTCGCTATGATCACTCCTATCCCTATCTCATTCATAACGATCCACAGCTGGGCGACCCAGCAGCATGCACTTTTCAGTTCGTGTCCTGCTCTGGTGCAGTCACAGCCGATGTCCTCGACAAACAGATCCCTCAAATCAGCGGGAGCCAGCAAGTCATCTTGCTATCAGTCGGTACGTATATATGTGAAGTCCCACTCCATGAACTGAACTGACGTGAGCGGGATCTTAGGGGGTAATGATGCTGAGCTCTCAAGCATCCTAAACCAGTGTATCTTTGGATGGGCCGCCTTGGCCCCAGAGACAGTGAAGTCGGCAAAGGAAGCGGCTCTGAAACACCCAGAGTTTGCATGGGCGGCGAATTTTGACTGGGACTCGTTAGGTCATGGCTGTGAGAAGCAGTTGGCTCGCACAAGAGACATCATTGCTGGGAATACCTTCAGCAGAAGCTTGGATTCTGTTATTGAGGCAGCAAAGAAAAAGCTAAGTCCAGAGTCAGTAACAATACCCTCATCGATGTCTGAATGCTAACCAAGTGATAGTGGGATGATTTACTACACCGGGTAACTGCCATACTGTTCGGTCCTTCTGGGGCATTATTGACAGTGTCTATACAGGTATGCCAAGTTCTTTGCAGAAAGATCTATCACCGGCGTGTGATAGTGTTAGCTGGTCAACCTTTATATATGTGAGTAGTCATAGAACAAATACTTTCTGCCATAATACTTACTGATTATCCGCCAGAAAATAGCCAGCTTATTTCAGGGCGCACAGAAATTGACGAGGGCTAATCGGAAGATAATGAACGACCTTGTCGATGCCGCCAACGCGCAAATTGTTCGTCTTAATACCTTTCCTTATCTATTGAAGCCATTACTAAAACTTCAAACTGCTCTGTAGTCGGCTGCAGTCAAGAGAGCCGGCTCCCAGGTCAAGTTTGTAGACTACGACTCTTGGGTGGGCCATTTCAATGGCCGGTTCTGTGAAAACGGTGTCGACGAATCAACAGTCGAAAGCAACACAAGGTGAGTGCTCGATCTCAAACCACAAACGAAGCTTATACTGACATCTACAGAACTGGTCTCATGTTCTACGAGCTGAATACGATGGACCCCTTCGGCACAAATCCCTGGAAACGGAGCGACAAGCAGCCATTCGAAGGAACGTTTGAAGGCACCGTGAACCAACTCGCGGAGATTACACGTCTGATGGATCCAGATGCCAAGTTCTCAGAGCAGGCCTTTATCTCCGACGCTGGCACTGCTTCTATTGCCTCCTTTGACGTGAAACTAGTCAACAGTGCCAGTGTCCTTGGCCTGACAATTCCAAATTTACTCCCAGACGGGTAAGACAAAGACTTTGGCTTGTCGCGAGAGACCTCAACGTTGATGATGACTAGATACGGGCGTGTTTTCCATCCCCAGATATTGCTGCACGAGCTCATTGCCTCGCTGGTCATCTATGAAATGGTCAATAAGAACGAGCAAGATCATGGGTTTCCTGCAATCCCCGAGACGTTGACCTTGGACTCGTGCCCCAGCTATGGGAATAATAATGGGGCTGGGGACGGCCGTACGTATTGCCCCTAGCAGTTACAGGTCGTTTGACAGGAAAGAAAAGGAACCAATCTGATATCGCTGCGTTTAGAACAAATCGCCTTAGCATCGTACGTCAATCCGCTCGCGGACCCAGTCGCTTGGGACCGCATGATTGCCTACCCATCAAGCAAGGTGAGTGTCCTAGTCGCCAACGTCCTCAACGGCCCGGACACCACGGTGAATGAGGATTGGGCAAAGGTCATCAACCGGGCCCATACATCGGGGAAACGAATCCTTGGCTATGTACGGACAGGGTATCTAGGTCAAAGCCAGCAGGCCTTCGAGACCCGGCTTGGTTCGACCGACCTTGCCGACTGGGTCTCGCAGATCCAAACTGACGTCGACTTGTGGTACCAGCTGTACCCCGGCAAGATCGGCGGCATCTTCTTCGACGAGGGATGGAACGATTGTGGGCCAGACAATCTGTATGCAGATTTGTATCGTTTTATTACCGATGCTACGAAGCGAAAACACCCCGGAGCTTTTACCGTGCTTAATCCCGGTGCTACAATGCCACAGTGCTTTGAGCATAGGTGTGTATCTATCCACTGCACGCCCAGAAAGAGAAAGGCTGACGATATCGCAGTGCCGACACGCTCATGACATTTGAGCAGAGCTACGACACGTACATGAACAACTACGTCCCCAACCCTGGCTGGACACCCAAGGACCCGCGCAAGCTCTGGCATATTATCTACGGCGTACCGGAGGCGGACGCGGGAAAGGTCGCCGCGCTGGCCCTAAAGCGCGGAGCCGGCCTTATCCACATTACGAATGACCTTCTCCCCAACCCGTACGACACCCTACCCGATGAAGCCTATATGAAAGCCATTACGGACACAATCAAGGGTGGTGGACCGGATGTTGCAGATCCCACCCCGTATCCAGCCGGCGGCCATGCTGCGTTTCCACCAGGCCCATTATTAGTGACCGCCTCTGACTATTCCTCCGTGAGCCTCAAGTGGGATATCTCTAACAGAGAGCCCCCACACGCGTACGCGGTATACCGCGATGGGAACGAAGTTGCTCGCCTCCCGGGTACAATGTCCCGGGTGACAATCGGCAACATCAGCCCAGGATCCTCCATGTCCTTCACCGTACGGGCTATCGGGACGGACGGAAAGGAGACCGGAGATTCGAATTCCGTGGCTGCAACTACACAGAGCCTGCCCAATAACCAGGCGGTAACGAACGTCAGAGTCAGCAAATCTGCCACCTCCACCACTATCCAGGCCGATTTCCTCGTCCCATACGCCTTTATGCGCGTCTATCTTACAGACCCGGACACGCACTGCCAAATGCCAGCATGGCCAATCAACTTCAACGCCGGGAACTTCATCTGCACGCACTACATGGTCGAGAATGAGGTCCTGTACGAGTATAGTGGTGCCAACTTAACAGAAGGACAAACCAACTACCCCTGGGCGTGGTCCTCGAAAGGCGCCGCCCCAGTCAAACGTGACGGCTATACCTTCACGTGGACTCTCCCCGTCGGCACCGACACCACCGACTCTAGCTATTTCTCCGTCCAGGCTCAGGGCTACGGGCCGCTGACGAACGTCTTCCACCCGTGCCCGAGCGAATGGCATGATAGCACGGCAGGTGCCGGGGCCTTCTGCACCGGGTCGTCACCATACGACTGCAAAGGCGAGACGCTCTGCAGTACCACCAACGTCAAGTGGTGCGACAAGGCAGTCAACCAGATGAACCGCGGCCAAACGATTTACACATCCAATGCAGAGGCACTCGCTCTGTCCGGGAACTGCTGGGCAAATAACGCGGGATTCGGATGCTCCGTGAAAATCCGAGGCACGGATCAGAATGGGAACAATTGTAAGATCACTGGGGACGAGATGTGGGAGGCCTACCAGGATATCCGCAATATTGGGGGCTGTGGAAAGTGCGGGACCAAGCACTTTGGGAATGGATGTATGGTCAGCGTCGACTATTACTATGGCTGTGATAATCGAGATAAGGGCGTGCAGTTGATGGCGGATTTCGCTGAGACTAATCTAACGGACTCTATGTAGTACCTTTGAAGCAATTTCATTATTTACCTGTTTATCTATGGAGGGGGGATGGTATGAGAGGCGGACACGTAAATTCTTACTAGGCTCCTATTGATATTGCCGTCTTCTGTGCAATTCCTGCACATTTGGTATTTCTTCTTCTTCAATCTTATGTGTGTTTCATTCGCCAAACCTGTGCAGGAGTCTGAGAGTGTCTTGACTCTCTTCAAAAATTGTTCAAAGGCTCTGACGCTGCTTCATCAAGTCAACGGTCATCGTAAGGGTACTTCAAGAAGTTCATGCCCTTGGTCGGGTTGTAATTGGCTATGCCGAGGGTATTTTGCACACAGAACAGGCATAGGCTCCTTCTGCAGCATGGGACAATCGATGAGCAAGATGTTGACGAACTCATGATATAATCACGTGATGAATACATAGTCCTGTGGTCAAGAAGATCCTACAATCTTATCCGCTCTTAATAGTCATCAAATTATGGGCTAACTATGCCATTGTGTGAGCAATTTGACATTGTTCTATTCGCTTCATTCTTGAATAAGTAATTGATTGCCCGCCTGTGTTTACTTACAAAAAGCCGACTCTATGCTGTGATGACTAGTCAGGCATCAAGCCTTCCGCTCCTTCGGGGCTCTACAACATTAAAAGAAGCGCTTGAGCAGGAAGAGGCAATACTTCTCGATCTATCTTATCCAGATTCTCGGAAATATGTTTTTGTATTTCTCTACAGTCATCGCAAGGACATTGCAGAACTTGTGTCAGACCATTTGGGTCAAGCCAACCAGTGTCGCTTGGGTGAAGTGAGGGAGCGGATACACGGCAAATGTTTGCATCCCGCTTTATGTTGAAAAGCAGAACAGATGTTCGGCTAAGCGGGTCCTCATCCGATTTCCTCTGCCGTACAAAGTGGGAGAATCCGCTTATCCTGGAAACGTTGATGAGAAGCTTCGTTGTGAGGCTGCCTTGATATCGCGCTCCCTCGCCTTTGGGGATTTGGGATCTGCTGGGGGTCAGACCGTATGGCATTCAAACACATGGAGCCTTCAACTTAAGAGGCTAACGATGATTGCTCACAGGTTACCAGAAGCGAAAACATGCCTGTGACGACCAGGGTGATTGGGTACTTCGAGCGATATGTATCGTGGTTCTTGGGGTTTCCTCTACCCTGCCCTTGTATAAGCCATCGTCATCAATATGTGCTGGAGCATGGTCTCATTTCTATTATTTGCTGACCACCACAGGGCAATCCTTCACCGTGGTGGAGTTCAATCTATGTGCAAAGACGATATCCCTCCCGTCAAAGTCGAGGATATATTGAGAGCTCCATCTCCTCACCTTGTGACTATACTCTTTAGTAGTAGAAACCCACAAAAGCGAGTATGTTTATAGATAGAAGTATACTACTACGAAAAGACATAAGGTAATACTTAGGTATGCTCTCTATAACTTGCCAAGTCCAACATCAACTCAAAGTTGCGCCAAATGAGCCTAAAAGGCGTGCCATTTCCTACTGTGAGCAGCTAACTCTGGCCTTGTGGAAAGATCCTAAGCATCCTGACAGTCTACAAATGTTTTCCTATCTATCTCCATAGGTTCCCAATGGAGAAAATGAACAATCACCTCCATAGCTCGCTCATTTGAGGATGATGAGAAAGCTACAGAGTTAAGGAACCTGAACTAACAGCTTGCATTGCGTCAACTTGGTTAAGATGGTGACGAAAAACAGAGGTGTTATTTACGTACATTTATCGTCTCAGAAATTTGGATAATGAACAGATCGCCTTTATAATTAGATTCATTTCAGAATAATTATCACTTCAACCTGATTATGAATGCATTATGCGCTAGCTTCCACTTTTGACAGGATCATGTCTTCATCTCATACAGCAGCAATAGTAGCAATACTCCCCATCAAGGGCTTAGCTGCCTAGTGGCTGCTCAAATCGCATATGCCCTATCATACACGCTCTGAAGATTGTTTTTCCCAGCAACGACACCTTCGATCCATTCATTGATACGCCGGGCAAAGGATAAAATTGCAGTTCTGCCCGCAAAGTTGTAGTCTCTTTGAGTCTGGCTCTTGTTGAAAACTTCTATCCAACCCGGTTCATGCTGTTTCACCTCATTAACGAAAATGCCGCGTAAGAGAGTAACCTCGCGCTCCTGCCACTGTCCGTTGGTAGCGTAGTAACGCAAAGTGAGGCATTAGTAGGAAGTAGTTTGATCACTAAATAGGATCATCATGACATTATAGACCACATTCTGAGTTATTCCATCAATACCGCGTCATTCACTTGAACCATAACCATATAAGTCTTGCATTTCCATCTTTTCCTTTGCTTTCTGACAACGACTCCCAAAATGCCCATCGATGGGGACCCATACGTCTGTTGCGTACTGTGTGGGATCGAGTGTGCCTTATACATGGGAGATCAATTAAGAAGAGCGCATAAAGACTGGGGGGCATGGGCGGCACGAAAATTCAACAAGAGGAAGAGCCTCATTGTGCCAGCAGCCGAGCTTGAAAACTTGGATCTGGAAACAGACCTCCCGATGTGGTCCTGTTTTTACCGTGCAAGTAAGTCATCTATAACTAGTTTCCCATCCTCAGCTGAGCCCGCCCTTACGCAATAATACCTCTATCTAGTCCTTGATGATCCAAAGCCAGGCCGCCTGTCCATATCTGGAATATCTCCACACCTCATGTCGGACGGCAGGAAGCAGCTCCGCATAATGATCGATTCAGATAAGGCGCTGGCCATTCCTGGGCCCATAATGGCCCGTCAGAGATGGAACATGGATTTTCATATGGCCAATCTCTTTGAGACTGAACGGAATAGAGAAAAGGGTGCGCGTATTGGGTATGTCATGCATCCACACTGCTGGCTACTGGTTGATCGGTTCCTGGGACACGGCGTTGCGAAGCAGGACCTGCGCGCGTTCACACAGGCTATCGAGATATATTGGAGAGCTGCTGACCGAACACTTTGGATGCCGGACCTATCCCATGACACTGACGACTATCCATGCTATGACAATGCGGCACCCTGGATCAAGCAGTACTGTCCCAGATATGCGGCAGACTTTAACCGCATACACTTGTCCGAGAGTCCACTTATAATCCGTGATATCCAAGCATTAATTGCAATGGCTACTCAGAAGCACAAGAAAACCCTCAGCCACGCCGTGAAGTTGCATTCTATCGTTGGTGATATTCCTGTCGAAATCATAATGATGATCGTTGATACGATCTACCAGAGCCGTCCACCTTGTCGCGAGAGAATCCAAGACACTCGCAATGTGCTGGAGGCCTTCCAATGGAAACTACCCAATTCATACTGGCAGAGGCGCTGCAACCCTAATCTTGTGTTCGAGGTGCAAGACGTAATTAAAGCAGGGACACAAATCGACTGGGCATATTTCTGCCTTGGGCTACATGAGCTTTTGTTGCAAGAGGACTGGTACTGCAATAGTGGATTGTATTTTCGTGGCCGGATCCTGTATCTCATTGAATGTATTAGAGGCAGCCTTTCAAACACAATCTAGGTATCGAGAATGTTATTCAACCAATCCCATAGGCTGCTAATCAACTTTGTTCCTTTGTCGGCCCGTCAAGCAGAATATGCCTATCATGTTTACTATGCCAGAAATGATCATCTAGACATTCTGTTATTATAGTAGATTTGATGGCTAACATGGCCCAATCAATAGTCACAGTCAATGTTGATTAAACCCAAATACTATTGTTTGTCAATCAGACAAAGAGTAATCTTAGTCTATTAACATGCACTAGTTATCTGAAATCTTTCTCCTTAAGGTGTGTTACTACATGATAATACTTCAAATGCTCTATAAGTGACACCATGAATGAGACCTATAATGCCAAACCGAACTTGAGAGGTTGTTCTCAGCTTATTCTGCAGGCGTATATGTCTATTGATGCGCTTTAATATGACTTAGAACAATAGTGTACTTCGTACAGCATGTCAACATCTTTATAAATAATGTCTACAGTAGGTTACCTTCATTAGACATCTTGGAAATATTAGCCACTACATACTTTCTGCGTGTCGTTTCCGTTGTTAACTTCGAAGGCATCTACTCTGCAGGTCAGAGGTGAGTGTACAGGATACAATGATGCTATGGATAGATATTAACGTCTGAAGTTGTCTCTATAGCCCAATTCTTCATTACCATGGCCGCACCTGCACGCCCCAATCCCAACACTGTTGGGACAACTGTACGTTTCTGAGTCTCAAGAGTATATGTGTATGCGCTAAATCAGTCGATTCAGTACCTTAACATACCGTCTATTGCAAGTGAAATCCGAGCTATTCGCTGCAGGACCACTGAGGGTGATATAAGTGGCATTTGGAATGCAATCTTGAACTGGGTGTTCGACCCGGTTAATGGCTATATCACGCGCCCCCAGGCGATGCATAGAGCCCCCCGTGGAAGAAAAGGGTTTTCGGATTTTCATACCTTCCAGTACATCGGCACAAATCGCCAGTATTTTCTGATCACGGAGTGGAAGAAACCGACGCCAGGGGACGCAATCTGGGAGGAGGGCCGCCGGCAGCTCGGTCGGTACCTTTCAATGCAGCATGGCACTCGGCCGGCGAATGCAAGACCCAGAGTCTATGGTATTCTGGCAGTGGGGCAGTATGTGCGTTTTTTCATCTACAGTGATAACAGAAAAATGTAATGATTGGCGTCCTGGGGCCGATGGGCGGAAACACACGAAGGTCGCAAATGTTATGATATTCTGAACGAAGCTCAGATGGTGCAGGATGCCTTGCGTGGCATTCTGAATAACCATTAATGGCATAGTATCTAGTCTAGGTCAGATTCCAATCACACCACCTGAAAATGGTCGACATTGGTAATATCACGCAACTAAATCTGACAGGGATCGAAATGCGATCCATGCTGATATCAAAGAAGCTAGCGGCTCATAGATACAGAGAAGTGAATGTAAGAAATATGACTCGGCCGAAGGAAAAAGACCCTAAAATTGATTTCAAATGCCCTTCTCCGCCAGAGTCGGCAGATTCATCGTTATAAAAGTGCTCATTTCACCTCATTCGCGTCTGAGAAAGGACTCTCGACTCGTGGAGGAGGTAGTACTCGGCTGCTTCTGTTTGACTTGGGTCCGTCATTCGTATCCAGAAAGGCCGACGATCGCGCCTCATTCTGAGAGGCATTTTGGTCCTTGAAGGGACTTTGATCCACTGCAGGTGAATCTTCAATCACCGTTGGGGCGTGAGAGGACCTGGCAGGTGGCGTCTGCCCGGCGCTGTCCTTGTGGTGGGATGTCTCGTCGTCGTTCTCATCGTCGGACGAGCTGGCATCAAAAGTGGAGGTCGTAGCATCGAATTTGGGCTTTGTTGTGCTGGTGGGGTGTGCGTCGCTCGTGCTGGACGAGCTAGACTCGGTCTGCTCCTCGATGGCTTGAATAGTTGGTTGTTTTGTGGTCTTTTTGGCGCCGGTGGCCTTCACCATGACAGGTTTGGCGGTGACGGTCCGCGCGACAATCGAGCTCTTGGTGTTGGCTTCTGTAAATGCCGCCTTCGCAAGCTGTGCTTTGGTAATGGCGGGAACAGCTGGCGTTTCTGGTGCAGATGCAGGCTGGCTTCCGTTATGGATGCTAACAACAGCAGCCCGAGTGCGCACGACCTGCTGGGCGGGCATGGGGCTGACGATGGCGTTGTTGCGGTATATCGTGGTGGCCACGCTGCTGCGCAAGCTGGGAGAAAAGCTTTGATGAGCTTGCGAGACATCGGACCAGGCCGAGTCGCGCAAGTCACCTGGCATGAAGAAGTGCTGATCCGGGGAGGCGCCAGGAAGAGGCGGCACCGGCGGCACCAGTGATCCCGGGGTTTCTGGCGGTGATCGGTTGGTGACACCGGGAATATAGGCTATCTGAATGACATTTGATGCGCGAGTCAAGACTGTGGAGGCAATCGAGTTGGTCGATTTTCGAGACTGGCGAGTGTCTCCGAATGCGCTTCTCTTTTCCGCCGCGTCACTACCTTGTTGATCGAATTCACTCCGCTTCTTGCGAACAAAGAACCACCAGATCAAAAATGTGACAATGGCAACGAAAGCGACTCCTCCAATGACTCCTCCTGCAATAGCCCCCACATTGTTACCGCCTCCGTCTGACGAGTCGCTGGAGCTGCTGGTGGAAGTGGACTTCGGAACACATCTGGTAGTGGCGCATTGGCTGCACGATTGACTGATCATCGTACATGTGTACCCCTCATCGCAGACGGGACATGACGGTGCTGTTGAATCGCATGAGACACATGTTTGGAAGTCGCGAGAGTACATGGCTAACATCATTCGGGTTAGTAAACTATCATAGAGGACCATATCAACGGCAAAAGGCTCATACCGCGCGGGAAGAAGGGATGATCGATAGAGTGAGACATGATGAAGAGATCAAAGATGGCGAGTGAAAAGATAGCAGTGCAGGTTTCTGTCGTGACAAGCGAAAGGACGGTGCGAAAGGACGGTGCCGTCGACTGGCTCTTTAGCAAAGATACTATGAATCGAGGAAGGAAAAAGAGTGACAAGCCGGTCAACGGCGTAGAGAATGTGTTGATATAATCCAAAAGAACGTGAGATGCTCGGGTAAGACGTCAAGTCGAGAGCGTTATGGTTGGGTCATAAGTATTTAGCGACGGCAGCTGTGGATTGATCCCGACGGTGTAGTGTTGACGGCAATCATAGCCTCTGGGGCATCATGAATCTTGAGTGGGCAGAGAATCAATGTCGATTTCGTCCAGATCCAGGATCGCCAGGCGCTTTCTTTAAATGTGTCGATCGGTGAGCAGCACCAAGTTCTTCCGGTTGGTTGACGTCGGAAGACACGCACTGCGACCGGGGATGGAAGTAGGGAGCTTGCGAAAACAAACAGATGGACAATCGAGAATACGAGGGTATATGGAGTGAAACGGAATCAAAGGAGAATAATATGTAAAGGAAGAATGAGGAGATCAAATCAGAATGAGAAAGTAATGAAAATGATAGTAAAGAGCGGCAAGAAAATGGAAGAGGGATGATTATTGACTTGGAGGGAGAAGGTGGAGAGAAGGTCGTGGTGGTGAGGTAGTACTGTACAATTGTTACTAAGAGGGCTTCGGGAGGAGAATCTTATGCCCACCACAGCCTAATATTAACGCCACGGCTTGTCTTGATTATGAAGCTCTGCCAATCTCAACAGTATCAAAAAGGAGTCAGAGATGCAACAGGTTTGAATCCCCTTGTCGAGGGCAAGCTCTGCTCGATATATATAGAGAGTATGCTTCTACGTTGACATTCTAGGTTCTATGCAGGTAGTCTGGTTGATCATGTACGATGAAAAAGACGCACGGCAGGCATCTACTAGATACTCTCTATCTACATAGAGCACAGGGCCAAGACCCAAGCCAGCAGCATTAACATTGCAGCCACTCTGCAAGGACTGAATTTCTTTGTCTCTTCTACCCTCCTAACATGACACTCGAAAACTGCCACCTAGATAGAGTCAACAAATACAGTACATACACCAACCCATCAACATCGCCCTTACTTGGTATATCTTGAATTTGTGGCTATCGCGCCCGCCTCTTGAACAACCAGCCATATGGCTCACTCTTATCGAGATATCCCACCAGAACCTGCCTGCCTGTGCAGCCGGCTGTGCCCCCTACGTGGTTGGGGCGTGGCTCGACTGCCCCTGGTCTGGACCATCTCACGTTCTTCCGCCGGGAAATTACACTTGATGACCTGGTCCAATAATAGTGCACTGTGGCGTCCAGTTCGTTCTCAGGCACGGCACGAAGAGGAGTCAATTTCAGGTACACTAACTCCGTCGCTACCAGCCTTCAATCTGATTCATTATTTGCCATGGCCCAGCTCACTGTTTCACAACCCTTTCCTAGGTTGAAGGGGTCCAGAGTCTGTCAGATTCATTATTGTTCAAACATCGCCCTCGTAGGGCTGTGCAGTCTGTGCAGTCTGTGCTTCTCTTGACTGCTGTGATACGGAAATTCGAAAGGCCCTTCTCAAAGTCGTACTGCTGAGTTTTGCCAAGCATGCGTCATCCTGATCCATTCAGAACCTATGGTGCCCCAATGGCCGCTCTTATCTAGATGCTGCCTTGATAGAGGGGCCTGTCTCTGACTCTCCGTAGACAGCAGAGTTGAAATGCGGTAAATAATGTATGTCAGGGATATTGTCAAGCAGTACTCCACACACAAGGTTAGTTGTCTGATCAGTCTCCGTTGGCGATCCCAGTGATGCTATTCTATGTCCTGCCAGCTCGATCTGGTCAAGAACTGATAGACACCCTTCATTATATGCATCTCTTCTCTTGCGGTAACTTGCACAAGTTGCCAAACTGGCCATTGTAGGGGAAGTGGGTGTCTATGCCATTAATCATGTTAGATAGTAGGTTAACTGGGGGTTGAGAAACGTGGGTGCCTAGCTATATATATATATATATATATTGAAACTGAATGTTGCTATCACCGAAGGATCTACAACCAAAAAACTGCTATTCCACTGTGACATGCTATGACAATGAGAAGTTTCAAGGCAAGCAATCCAACAGTCAAATAAATATAAACTCGAATCCTGGTGATATCGCTCCTGCTCGAGTGTCTCTTAAATCCGAGAAATAATGGTGAGGAACAGCTGCAATCAGAAGCCTTACAGCGCACACGAATGACCAAGTCTGGTTTAAAACTCGAGGCAGTATGTGCATACATAAGAGTACATATACATGAATTCTCGGAGGTGGCCCCTCAGGTTACTCATAGAGTCACTAATTATGTGACTCTGTTGATATTTGTTACTGGTTCCTACCTATATCATCGCTACATCGTCTTCAACAGCAACAACCGCGACAATGACGAAGAGAAGTCTACAAGTCTAACGGTCTGGTTGATTATACATTTCTGCCAAAGGCTTGATAATCTTCACCCGGTACCTTGATTACTCTCGCGGATACTCTCTGGCGAGAGCTAAGCTTACTCAAAACACTGACCGGTTGACACATTCGAAGGAACGGAGGTGTTTGCAATGTCAAAACAGGTTGTACTGTCGCGGTAGGTATGAAGAATCCACATTGAATATCGTCTGTTTCTAGAATAGGCCAGAGTATACTCCATGGATATGATCTGTCCATGGAACTCGACCAGAACCTCTCTTTCGACATGGCAGGTCAAAATAAGCTATGGATGGCAGAACTTGATGCAGAGCCAACAGCATGGGGGAAGATGCTCAGGAGATCACATTCTTGCGTGTTGACTTGATCACATTAGGTAGTTTCTTTCACCAAACCGCAGTCAAGCTGCAAGACGAAAGCCAACCCGCCGAATGCACCCAAAAGGAGTGACATGCATCAAGTCATACTTGCATTGTAGCCGACAGGGGCCTTAGAATCTCTCTGCAGGGTTGAACCTTGGAGAAGTGGTTCTGAGGTTCTGGTTCGGAAATTTCCGTCTCCAAGATGATCAACTGAGTTGATCGTGTGAGGTTCAGACTCCTTTGCATGGATGTGTCCATCGACGCTGTGGCTGTGACTTTTGACATTTGACTTTGACCTGCTTTCTGCATTTAAGTATCTTTCAACCCCTCCATCAAAAGTATATTTCAAAAACTGCAGCAAATGAAGGTAACAGACTTAAAAAAGACCTGCATGGTGTAGAGAGGTACACGAGGTGGCTGGAGTTTAGTTGTCTTGTTCTAAAGATAGGCACGGAGCACTTCACAAGACTAAGACTGATTAAGCTAGCCAAGTGTGGCAATGATGATCAAGACAATTAACTGGGGCTAAGCAGTCTTTTTATGGAGTGGCACTGGGACAGCAGAATAATACAAAGTCATGAAAATGTCAAGGGCAAGGAGATCCATAAATCAGGATGGACTCCTATTCCCTAATGATACTGTATCGTCTTAAATGTGAAGAAGACCAGTCATGGTGACCAATCTCTTTGATGGATGTGAATTTTAATCTTGAAACCATGGCTGACCTCTGAACATGATACATGTAGCAAATGAACGAATCAGTAGCGTCCCTTGTCTACAGGACGACCCTCCAATTAAAGTGAGAATAGACAAGGATCTCGAGCTAGTATTGACTCCTAGGCTTTGCTGTGTTTGTTTGACCAACGGCCGATGGACACAATGGTATGAGTGCACTCCACTGTATCCACAAGGCTATATATTTGGCTGGGGCGTTAGCCTTTTCGAGAAGCTATGGATGACCCCCGCCCCCTGAAACTTCAGTGTATTCAAAACTGTATTGTAACTGTATATTTACTCTAATACATTACGGAGTTATTTGGCCTCTGCATGATATCTACAATTCCAAATATCATGTACAGAGAGAGAGAGTCGTGGCGTCTGATGAATATGGAAGCAAGCCACTTATTGAAGAAGATATGAGCTAGAAAGAAACTAGAATCTACCGAATGTCGCTTGGCATATCGAGTACAGTATTCAGCCCATTGCTGGGTAGATCAACATTCTTCTGGACGTAATCTCTGCCCCCTCTCAGTTATGCTGGCGAGGGGTGTAGAATGCTGGGATACCAGATATTTTAAACAGCCACACTTGGCCATCAGATAACTACGTAACTAACTTACCAATTGTCGAGGTCCATTAAGTCACGCTGCTACAGATACCCAGCCATATTGTTCGAAGCCATATTGTTTGGATCATGGGATGTGTGACCTCGACGTTGATGTCAAGCACATGTTCCTTCAGAGTGAGTACCAGTAATTGTAATACAGAATCTGAGTGCCATTAAAGGTGCCACAAATATACTGGCTTGGCTTCCATGGGTGTGTTTCAGCTCTGGGATGAATTTTAATAGGTCAAGTCAACACTGACAGGACTCTTCAGAAATCCACTGGAAAAGAGACCCTGGAAACCCGGAGGTTCATGCTATGGGTAACAACTTGATGTTCGAGTAACTTAAACAAATAATGTCAAAGAAAAAGACTCGATAATGTCAGTCGTGAAGGAAAAGAAGCCAGTCAGCTGGAGTCTTTGCCATGCAGTACCTTACTTAAGGTAGGTTGGAACCTTGGTATGAAGAGACGCAATACAGATCTCGGCTATGTAATACATTTACCTTACCGAACGCATCGCCAAAGTGTTACCCTGCCGACACTTGGAGGCGCTCTATTTGGTTACTTGAGCCCCAACCTCCAAATATGAAGGGCGGGAACGAAAGAAGTGCTCAGCGCCCTCAAAATATGTTCGAGGTCCTGGTTCTTGTCGTGATGTCTTAGACAATCGTCCAGCCTGGAGAATCCTTTGATGTGAAAATGATATGGGATGGTTGGACTGTCCGTCAGCAGTACCAGGGATTATTGGTCGACTATGTAGCTAGTGATGGTTGATAGGTACTTAGCCTCATCCTAGGTACTCAGGCTCCCAGCTCCTTGGTAGTTGGTGTAAGAAAACCAAATACCCACCACCCAAGGCTCGTCCACTCCCCATCCGCATCGCTCAGTTGTTGCTGCAGACCGAAAAAAAAGGGCGCCAAAGCGAACTCCTACTTCCTCTTAGTTCAACTTCCTAGGTCTAACGGCTCATAGGAGGGCCGATCATATTTTTCTTCCCTCTTAGAGCCTGTTGTTCATATCTTTCTTTCACTCTTCACCTTGACCACCTTCCGCTCTCCCAGCTTAGTTGGGGAAACTGACTGTTATCCCGACTGCCTCATTTGTATACATAATTGTTTGTTCCCCCTCTGGCTTGTCACCTGTCAACTCGCACACTTTCGTGGTTCGTGGGCTTCAAACATCGGCCCTGGCGGCTTTATCCACGTTTCTTCCTTACTGTGTCCGCCCTCGACCAGCCTTTCGATATTTTTTCTTGATTGAGCTTTCGTCTTTGACTTCTTGTTCATCTGTTTCGTTCCAGTCATTGGAGTGTTGATCGATTTCATTGTCCTGTCTGAACATATTCTGACCGGCGGTCTCCTTACTCCTTCTCCTGATACCCCTTCCCGTTCTCCCCCTTGCCTTTCGCTTCAGCTCGCGTCTGTCGATTTTTCACTGTCCTTTTCGCGCATACTACAACATTTTGACAACAACTTGACAACGCATCGACACCATGGCCTACCAAGGCTCTGGTTCTCATTCGCCGCCTCAGTACGACGATAACGGCCACCGACTTCAGGATCTGCCCCATGGTTCGGTAAGTCTTGGATTAAGCTTTAGTCTGCTCTATATTCAGGCAAGGCTAATGCGAAGGATTCGTAGTACGAAGAAGAGGCGTCGAGAGGATTGCTATCCCACCAGCAAGGTCCCTTCACAGGCCCGTTTGATGACCCTCATCAGCATGGTTCGTCTACTACCAGACCCGTTTCTGGATACAGTTTGAGCGAGACCTATGCCCCCGAAGCGGCGTATCATGACCCCTATACTCAACCCAGCCCTGGCTCAGTCTACTCGGCTCAGTCTGCGGAGAATCCGGCGGCGGCTTTCGGTGTCCCTGGACGTGTCGCGTCCCCCTATGCTCGAAGTGACACTTCATCCACAGAGGCATGGCGCCAGCGACAAGCTCCCGGAGGCGGCCCCGGTGGGTTGCGGCGTTATGCTACCAGAAAGGTCAAGTTGGTGCAGGGTTCCGTCCTGAGTGTCGATTATCCTGTTCCTAGCGCGATCCAGAACGCCATTCAGGCCAAGTACAGAAACGATCTCGAGGGTGGAAGTGAGGAATTTACGCACATGCGATGTGAGTGATCTCAGACGCTATACCTGACCTTTCTATTTCGTCCACGTCGCTGACAAGCCCTCGCATAAATCTCAGACACCGCGGCCACCTGCGATCCCAACGAATTTACACTACACAATGGTTACAATCTTCGACCTGCGATGTACAACAGACATACCGAACTGCTCATTGCGATCACCTATTACAACGAAGACAAGACACTCACTTCGCGTACACTGCACGGTGTCATGCAGAACATTCGCGACATTGTGAATCTGAAAAAGTCCGAGTTTTGGAACAAGGGTGGTCCTGCCTGGCAGAAGATTGTGGTCTGCCTGGTTTTTGATGGTATCGACCCTTGCGACAAGGACACTTTGGATGTTCTTGCGACAATCGGTATCTACCAAGACGGCGTCATGAAGCGTGACGTCGATGGCAAAGAGACTGTGGCTCACATTGTATGTGTACTCCGATCAGTTGGGATCACTGGAGGTACTAATTGGTTATAGTTTGAATATACGACTCAACTGTCTGTGACTCCGAATCAGCAGCTGATCCGCCCCACCGATGACGGTCCCAGTACACTTCCTCCGGTCCAGATGATGTTCTGTTTGAAGCAAAAGAACAGCAAGAAGATCAACTCCCACAGATGGCTCTTTAATGCATTTGGTCGCATTCTCAACCCCGAGGTCTGTATTCTTCTTGATGCCGGTACAAAGCCTGGTCCTAAGTCACTTCTGTCGCTTTGGGAAGCCTTCTATAACGACAAAGATTTGGGTGGTGCTTGTGGTGAGATTCACGCCATGTTGGGTAAGGGCTGGAAGAACCTGATCAACCCGCTCGTTGCCGCCCAGAACTTCGAATATAAGATCAGTAACATCCTCGACAAGCCCTTGGAGAGTTCATTTGGTTATGTCAGCGTCTTGCCTGGTGCCTTCTCAGCTTACCGATTCCGCGCAATTATGGGCCGCCCTCTCGAGCAGTATTTCCATGGTGACCACACTCTTTCAAAGCAACTGGGCAAGAAGGGTATCGAGGGAATGAACATTTTCAAGAAGAACATGTTCTTGGCCGAAGATCGTATTCTCTGTTTCGAGTTGGTGGCTAAAGCTGGTTCAAAATGGCACCTGACATATGTCAAGGCCTCCAAGGCTGAAACCGACGTACCAGAAGGCGCTCCGGAATTCATTTCGCAGCGTCGTCGTTGGCTGAACGGTTCGTTCGCTGCCGGTATTTATTCGCTCATGCACTTTGGTCGGATGTACAAGAGTGGACACAACATCGTCCGCATGTTCTTCCTGCACATCCAAATGTTGTACAATATCTTCTCAACGATTCTGACATGGTTTTCCTTGGGTAAGTTATTGTTCATTCTAACAAAGCGCAGTCCACCCCCAATTGGATCTTGTTCTGACAGATGTTCAAATAGCTTCTTACTGGCTTACTACCACCGTCATCATGGACTTGGTCGGCACCCGGGCGACGGTAACAATCACAAGGCTTTCCCGTTCGGCAAGACTGCAACTCCCATTATCAATACCATCGTGAAATATGTCTACTTGGGATTTCTACTGTTGCAATTCATCCTCGCCCTGGGTAACCGTCCAAAGGGTTCGAAGTTCTCATACCTCGCGTCTTTCGTGGTTTTCGGCATCATTCAGGTCTACGTGGTTATTGATGCGCTGTACCTGGTGGTGCGTGCCTTCACTGGAAGTGCTCCTATGGATTTCACCACAGACCAAGGCGTTGGCGAGTTCCTGAAATCGTTCTTTTCGTCCAGCGGTGCCGGTATCATTATCATCGCCCTCGCTGCTACGTTCGGTCTCTACTTTGTGGCATCCTTCATGTATCTGGACCCCTGGCACATGTTCACGTCCTTCCCTGCCTACATGTGTGTCCAATCGTCATACATCAATATCCTGAACGTCTACGCTTTCAGCAACTGGCACGACGTCTCGTGGGGTACCAAGGGCTCAGACAAGGCAGACGCTCTACCCTCTGCCAAGACCACCAAGGATGAGGGCAAGGAGGTTGTCATCGAGGAAATCGACAAGCCTCAGGCTGATATCGACAGTCAGTTCGAGGCAACGGTCAAGCGTGCCCTAACACCCTATGTGCCACCAGTCGAGAAAGAGGAGAAGACTTTGGAAGACTCGTACAAGAGCTTCAGAACGAGACTGGTCACGTTTTGGATCTTTAGTAACGCATTTTTGGCCGTTTGCATCACCAGTGACGGTGTGGATAAATTCGGCTTCACGGTATGTAGATGTCGGCAATCCTTTTTAACAGAGGCGAAACTAACATATTGCAGAATTCTGCTACCGACCGGACGCAGCGTTTCTTCCAGGCTTTGCTGTGGTCCAACGCCGTCGTTGCCCTGTTCCGTTTCATCGGAGCCTGCTGGTTCCTGGGCAAGACAGGTTTGATGTGCTGCTTTGCTCGGCGTTAGAAGGGCGTTCTGTCGTAATGAGAGCGATTAGCGGTGCTTCGCCAACGGGTTTATCGATGGCCAAGCACCTCCTGGCACATTTTCCATCACAATATTGTATTTTACATATGACGCTTGCTTTGTTACCTTTTTCTGTTGAAGTTGGCTCTGTCACGTTTGGATCTATGTGCTTCGACAGGGCCTTATGCACTGTGATGTCTCGTAAACTCTTAGCGATTAGAAAAGGAATTCGATGCATCTATAGCTCAAATAGAGCTGCCAAAGACTGTATGTCTCTCGCGTGATTGCTTCTGGCTTAATCGTATGAGCGCTGGACACTGTCCTGTCTAAGAATTTGGGTTGTGGCGATGGCGTCAGGCCGCGGGCACATTGCCTTCGAATATGCCCCAGTGTCACCTCTACATTTTAGTTCTACTTTATCTTACCGTTTCCTCACAGTGACTGATTCAATCTGTTCAGTTCTTGTGTTTTATTGACCTTTGATCGCAATCTACACCCTCACCCTTCACCTTGCGCATCTGCGGAGTGGAGATTAGGCCGTTGGTTGATTCATTGTCTATCGAAGACCCCCGCAGGCCCGAACTCTAGTGACACTCCTCATACTTCTCTCTAGTTTTTCGTCACGACCACTGCAGATCCGGTGTTATTGGTGCCGAAAAATATTCTTTATTCCTTTTCCTTTCAGTTTCCAGAACTCTTGTCGAAAACTTCTAGGGGACGTGTGGCGGTGCTTTGTCCAAGATGTTGAAGATCTGGTCTATGGTACAATCCCTCTCTTGCCCGCAGTGTCCCTGCGTTCTACTCTTGTATGGACTGACACTTCGGTATTACTTGTAGAAACAACAGCAACAGCAGGCTGAAAATGCCGAAGGAGCAGCAGGAAAAAAGAAGAAGAAGGTTACGGCCGCGCAGTTGCGCGTGCAGAGAGGTACGGACCGTTCGCATGCGTGATGCTGGAGAGTGGCGTACGACGCAGGAAGCAAGGCCCGCTCGCTGACAGTTAGCATGTGAATTAGATCTGCAGGAGTTGACACTCGGAAGCACGATGAAGATGAATTTCCCGAATCCTGACGATATCCTCAACTTTACGCTTACGATCGAGCCCGACGAGGGCATGTACAAGGGTGGCGCGTTCCATTTCAATTTCAGTGTTAACCAGAACTTCCCGCATGACCCGCCCAAAGTGAAGTGCACGCAGAAGATTTACCATCCGAATATTGACCTGGAGGGGAATGTCTGTTTGAATATTCTGCGGGAAGACTGGAAGCCTGTGCTGAACTTGAATGCGGTTATTGTGGGCATGCAGGTGGGTTTGGGACATCGTCGAACACATTCCGTGTCGTTTGTCAGACTGACCTTTGGATTTGCCGCATAGTTCCTCTTTCTTGAGCCGAATGCCTCCGATCCTCTAAACAAAGAAGCTGCGGAGGATCTGCGGACGAATCGGGAGGGCTTCAAGCGCAACGTTCGCAACTCGATGGCCGGTGGATCCGTCAAAGGCGTGCAGTTTGACCGTGTGATGCGATGAGTTCGGGCCGGCCACTACGTTTCGATTGCAAGGTGTTCCGGTTTAGTGGCGCCATAACGACACGAGCCCGGGTTCAACGAACATCATACATACGGCGGTCATGATGTGGTCAAGGCCGCAGCGATGCCCTTTTTCGATGGATACGGATATGGATATGGAGATGGGCTGCATGCGATGCAGGCTCATAGGGATTCACATAATCGTGGAATGGTTTATGCACGTACATAGCTTGACTACTTTAGCGACTGGATAGATTTCGTCATGAAAGAAATGAGCACTTATACGATTCCCAGGCAACTATCGCCAACGCCTTTTAAAGCATTTGCTATCTTGCGTTCATTCCTTGTCGTTGTTGAGGAGCGCATGGCAGTGCTTGTCGGATCGAGCCTTAATCTTGCTCTTGGACACTATGGACAAGATCGGCCGAAGAGTCTAGCAGCTCTACGGACTGACAAGGTCTTCCCAAAAGGATACTGAGCCTGGACAAAGGAAACGGCATGTCTGGAGCTACAATCACCGTATATATACAACCAACAGGAATGACTGAGCATTGCGAAATAATTGAACAAGTTCTTTCTTTCCCTTTCGAAATCCCGGCGCATCGACCCGTTCAACACATCAAAAAGACAAAGTGATGTGATACCATTACCACCAATCCCGTTGAGCACCTAGCCACTCCATATGATCACTCCTGAGCTACTATGCCTCCATGCGATTGTTGGCGTTACCGAACAACAAATGACCACGGGAATCTTGAAACGGAGCGGATGCGAATGATGCCGTTCTCTATGCTGACTTTGTCCGAAAGATGCATCGAAGCGATAAGAGTATCAAGTCTATGCTGCCTGCTGAGCAGCACGCTCCTTCTCGAGACGGGTGTAGTAGGCGTCACGGGCGCGGACGCGGGGGAGGTGGTAGCCTGGTCAATTGTGAGAAAGAATATCCACAAAATGAGCATGGAGGAGTTCCCCTGCTTGGGAATGGTGCGATGATACATACCGTACCACCAGAGGTAACCGAAGGTGGTGCCGAAACCTGTACGCGAACGGGTATATGGTTAGTCTTTCAGCGCTGGGTGTCGTGGCTCGAAATCATTGTGAAAGGCATGTCTGCTTCATAGGAGGAAGATAGAGGTCATCCTGGGAGTTCCGGAAGCCGGTGGACATTCGTGCTCTTCCCTGTACTTCCGATTCACCGAGATGCTGAACAATATGAATTGACTCACCGAAAGCGGTGCTCAGGTCGAGAACGAGACCACGGCGGAGCATCTGTAACCTAGCATGTTAGCCAATACGTGTTTGACCCAATCACTACCGGGTGACCAAAGGTAGAGCTCGGATGTAGTGTGGGTGGGATGTAGACGTACGCCGGTGATGGGAGGAATAGCGGCGGCCATTGCGACGGATTGATGAGAATAGTCAATTCAGGAAGACCGGTAGACGCGATATCAGCAGACAGGTAACCCTGTTATGAGGTGGTGGGGGACAGGCGGAGGGGGGAAGGAAAGGAAAGCGAACGATGATGCGAACTTGAAAGTCGAGGTGAAGCTTTCCGATCCGGCACGTAAGCGACCGATGTGAGTGGCCTGACTGGGTCCTACGAACGGGCAGGAGGATAGCACAGAGATTCGGGCCAAACGCTCACGATTGGCTCACTTGTTTTTCAGAGTGAATGATATAGACGAAATCTATTTTCTGGACGTAGAATCTGCCCATCTTCCTAACTTTACTCCATCTTCGTTGTTACATTGTGATAGTCATGCCTCAGGCATCAGCACGTGACCTAGCGCGAAGCTCTTGCGATGTCCGGACAGAGACTCTCTCGTCACCTTCTCTGTTGTGTCTATCATCATCCACCCACACCGCCATGGTGTCCTCAGAAAACTCTCTCAAGCATTCTTCGTCTACACCTTCAGAGCAGCAGGGGCATGATACGAAGCGATTAAAGCGCTCATATCACCACCACCACCGCTTGCGAAATCCCGTTATCCCAGCTCTTCCGGAGCCCGCGATCAATGATGACACCCACGTTGCTCACTTGATGAATCGCTCTATCGGGCTATGTCTCAGAGAGTCCGGATTTGATCTCGCCGACCCAGCCGCGCTGGAGAGTTTCCGCTATGCTACAGAGGAGTGTATGTTTACCTCTTACCAGAATGACCTGAATAGAGATACCCAGGGGAAAGTGTCGGCTGTGTTCTTGACTAAGCTGCTTGCTAGACCTTTTAAAGCTCGCATTCTTTGTGCGGCAATCAATGCTCTCGAGCCGGCGCAACCAACCAATCCCCCAAGACTTCGAACTCGCGTTCAAAAGACACCACTTGCGCGTGGACGATCTGCTTCCGCACTTAGAACCTCTGCCAAATATTGAACCTGTTCCTACACTCCTACCTAGTCCTCCACCAGAAGAGGATGCTTGGTTGAGTTTACCATTTCTCGGCCCTGAACTGAGCGGCGAAAGTGACCGTGTTCAAAGCGCATATATCCCAAAGCATTTCCCTCAATTTCCCAGTAAACATACATACCGGCACACACCTGTGTTGACACAGCGAGAGCAAGACCCACGGAAAATTCGTGAGCGCGCGACTGAAGAGGGAAGACATGGCGAGGAGGCATTGCGCAAGCTGGCGCGGGCATCCTTCAAGGATAATCAACTCGGCTGGGCCGGTCGCGAAAAGAGATTGTGGGGTCGGAGGATGGAGAGCTTGGACAGTATGTTTGAGAAAACCGTCAAAGGCATCGCAAAGAAAATGCACAAAGATGTAACTGCGCCGTGGACAGCTGCAACGATGGATACTGATTCTGGAGCGACTGCGGACCCGGAGCTCAAGGCGACTCGGCCTAAGCTCTCATTCAGCCTGGAGCTTCCGCCAGTCATAAATTGCGAAAGAGGCCTCTGGCGACGAACAACGGCACCCAGCAATCGGAAAGCGGAAGAGAAACCAGCCGGAACGAAGGATCCCACGAGTGTTTCGCGACTGGAAAGCTGGGTGAGCACATAGTTCATTTCGCATTGCGGCGGGCGGCGTCAGGGCGTTGTGATTTTGTATTGAGCGAACTCAAGAAGATACCCAATGAGTACAATGCAGAGAAATTATGCGATTCTGTTGATAGATATGGTAATGATAGATCCCTGGTATCCGATGGCTGTAGATTTCCGAGCCCGACTCCGCCCAAATGCAAGTACTTCTTTCGTATCACGCCTTGGTGGACTCTGCTGCACGTTCTCGTCTCGCCTCTTCTTCGGCCAGTCTGATGGGCTCCCATGCTGTCGTTTCGACCGTTAAACCGCGGGCACACCTTTGGGAAGGGCAAAGTCAACCAGTGAATCCAGCAAGTAATGCAGGAGGAACTTACCGTCTGAACAAGCGGACAATGGGCTTGCACGTCACAACACCTGGCTTGGGGATGCCATCCTGAGGTGGATTACACGAGTACTGCACCATCTCCAGTAACTTGCAATTCTCCAGGTCGACCGGTCCGCCTTTGCGACGTCGTTCCTGGAAATTTCGGTTGACGGTATTGACATGCTCGGGGAGAGATTCGGCGGAGAAGACAGGAACGAGGGGCGCCATTGAAGTCTCGTAGAGTGTAGCTTTGTGTTCCAGTTGAGTAATAAGAAAAGCTAAGATATCGTAATGGATAAATGGTATGTGTGCCTCAAATCTGACGGTGCAAGTGGGAAAGTTGATGGAAGCGGAATCCTCCGTCTTTTGGCGATGCGATTATTGAGTCGGGACCGATGCGGAGGTCGAATGGATGCCGGCACAACAAATTCCCAGGCCATGATCAACACCATGGCCTTCTGTAGAATCTTAATAACAATCATTGACAAAATATGACGCCAAAATATCCATGACATCTATTCAGCTCGCCCGAGTAAGGAATGGCGGCCAGCTTCGGGGAGAAATTGTTGAGGGAAGTACGCACGGAACGCCTGGATGAGGTATGTCTAACATTATAATGCACATACCGGCATGCTTGCTGATATTATGTCTATCCATGCTGAGATTCGCAGCTTTTACATGACTTGAGAATTCTATTTCCGAGGAGCCCTGGGGAGAGTGCCTCGCAGTTGGGCGTCAAACAGTTGGATGCCCTCTTGGAGGTGTTCATGCCTTCCCTCCCAGCTGCTCAGGCTCAGATTCAACAGGCGGGACGAGATACATATCAAGAGCAGCAGAGTGAACATGAGGTGCAGCACATGCAAGCGGATGTTGAGGATGACCAGAATACTTCAGCCGAAGACCGCAGGCTCCCTATGGCATCTCTCACAAAGCAAATCAACCCGGTTATAGAAATCTCCAGTATATCTTCAGCAGCCGGCAAGACTCAGTTGCTGTATTATCTCACTGCAATTGCCGTCCTACCATCGACAGTCAACGGGATTCGTGTCGATGGTCTGGCCTCAGCCGTCGTCTTTATTGACGCAGATGGCCGTTTTGACGCTGAGCGACTTCGAACTGTTGCCTGTGGGCTCATAGACAGGAAGCTCAAGGCGCATTCTGATGCAGGGACCAGAGAGTCACCAGAAGGGCAGACAGACCAGCCGGTTTTTTCTACTGAAGAGCTGGAATCCATTATCGCGACCTCCCTACAACACGTCCATGTGTTTCGTCCACAATCATCCGCTTCCCTACTCGCGACATTGGAAAGTCTGCAAGCATACCTGCTCGACATTGCGCGGCATTACTCTTCTCACAGGCCACTGCACGCTATCTTCATCGACAGTGCCACTGCCTTCTTCTGGCAAGACAAACTACACGACGATGTCACCCGCACAGAGAACATTGGGCGCCCTGTGGCCGATATCGAGCACGAGCGAAACCAGAAGCGAATATTCTTTCTATCGGATATCTATGCCGAACTGGTACAACGCCTGAAGAACCTTCAGCGACATTTCGGCTGTATAGTCGTCTACACTTGTAACACAATAAACAGCAGATCCATAACTGGCTATCAGAGCCACAGCCAGTCAACCCAACAACCCTCTGGCCCGTTCGACCTGTACAACCCTTCAAATCAGACGGCGGCCCGAAGTATGCCTTCTTTTCGTTGCCCGTTGCCTGCTCCGTGGGGCACTTTCGCGACGCTACGACTTGTGGTTCGGCGTGATGCGGTGCGTCCGTTTCCGCCGATGATGACTGCCCGTGATGCGCAGCGGGATGCAGTCATGCGACAGAATGTTATTTTGGAAGGCAGATTCTTGGGCTGGGTCAACGAATGGGAACGCGGAGAATGGCCTCGGAGATTTGCGGACGGATTGAAAGAGAGAAATGGGGGCGTGTTCTCGTTTCATGTAGGCAGAGGCGGCATAGAATTTGCCTGATATCTTGCCTCCTTTGTTTGACTGGAGTCTCACATATGGAAACGATGTATGCACATTATGTGACAAACTATCTGATGCTATGATATACCTCTACTTCACACATCTATCTCACCCTTGAATGGACGTCTCAGCATCAGGCGAATAGCTTCCCAATTGCCTCAACGGTAGTGTTGCCCCGGTAAACACAATACCGATGTCCCATCCATCCGGACCAGCTTCCTTCTCAACGAGTCGTCTGAACTCCTCATTGAACAAGCAAACTGCGAGCCCTACGACCGCGCTAGGCTCCACAACCACCTTCATGCGTTCCAGGACCAGTCGCATCGCAGCCTTGATCTGGTCCTCAGTCACGGCAAACACACCAGCGACCTTAGTCCCGTCCGAGATGACCTCCCAGTTCAAGAACCCCACGGGGGTACGCAGCCCATCGGCAATGGTAAGCGTCTTGACGGACTCCACACGCTGACCCGCCTCCAGGCCGCGGCGACAATCATCAGCGCCTTCAAAGCTCGGTTCCGCGCCAAAGACACGCGTAGGTTTCCCGGAGAAGAACGTCGCAACACCAGCGTTCAGCCCCCGCCCCCAAGGGGGGTGATGACCGCATCGAGGTGTCTTGATCTGGCGTCGGCCTCGGCCCCGCTGGCATGCACACTCAGGTGCGGCTTATCGGAGACAAGCGCGCGGTATTGTTCTTCCATCTCCAAGGCGGTGGTGCCCTGGCCGCAGATAATATCGAAGTGATCATACGGCGGGACGAGGATCGCATCCGTCTTGGCCTGGATCTCCGCGACGACGGCCTCGCGCTCGGTGCTCGTCGAGCCGCTGAATATGACCTCTGCGCCGTGCGAGCGTGTCCCTGCTATCTTCGACGGGGTGCTGATGCTGGGCATGACGATGTACGCGGGAACGTGGAGGGTGGAGGCTGCGAGGGCGAGGGCTTGCGCATGGTTTCCTATTTCGTTCTCAGCATCATTAACCTCTAACCTAGGCATGATTTGGTAAATTCTGTACCAGAACTATGTGTAATCACGCCGCGTCTCTTGACCTCCTCCTCACCCCGCTCTGCGAGGAGTCGCAGCAAAGCGTGAAACGCACCGCGGGCCTTGAAGGCTCCAATCCGCTGATAATTCTCGCATTTGAAGAAGAATCGGAACTTGGGATTTGCAGGTGTTTGGCCTTCGAAGGGTGTTCCGACCAATGACTCGGCTGATTGGGGGGTCGAGGCGATGTTGTTCAACGTTTGACAGGTGAGGAGAGGGGTGCGGTGGACGTACGACTGGATCAAGGTGTAGGCGGAGCGCACGGCATCCGGCGTCAATGATCGGGCTGTAATGGAAGATTCGGCCATGTTGAATATTTGAGGTTCTAGATGTCTTGTTTTCGATAAGGAAAAAAGGAGTACGTGAATTCTCAAGAGGCAGGAAAGATGATTTATACGAAAGGCGGAGCTCCTCATCGGACACGAGGCCGATGACTCGATTTGAGTCATCGGCTACAGAAATGGCTGAATGCGCCTCTGCAGTCATGCGACTCCGAAATTATATGAAAAAATGATAAATGAAATGTGGTATTCTCAGTTCCCAATTAATAACTCAAGGATCCCATGTCAGAAAAACAAATCAAGTCATAGTACAGTCGTAACTTTTCCCAAGCCTTCCCATTGATGCAAAATTAGATTACTTCTGGTTCTCAGGGCGGAGGGAACTGCGGTATGATTAGCATATTGGTCATCGACGAATTGTATGACCGAAGAAACTTACCGAACGGCCTTTCCAGCGCGCCAGATCTCGAGATCACGGATGTCCTGCATCTCCTTCTCGTACTTCTCGCGGTAGTCCTTCTGAGAGTTGTATTCGAGCGAGCGCTTGGTCTCAGTGCCGTCACGCACACTGTCGTAGAGTTCATTGAAGATAGGCTTCAGGGTGTCCTTGAAGCGGCTGGACCAGTCGATGGCACCACGACGGGCAGTGGTGGAGCAAGCGGCGTACATCCAGTCCATGCCGTTGGCACCGATCAAAGGGTAGAGAGACTGAGTGGCCTCCTCAACGGTCTCGTTGAAGGCCTCAGAGGGGCTGTGGCCGCGCTCACGCAGAACCTCGTACTGAGCGAGGAACATACCGTGGATACCACCCATCAGGCAACCACGCTCACCGTACAGATCGGAGTAGACCTCCTTCTCGAAGGTGGTCTCGTAGAGGTAACCGGAACCGACGGCAACACCCATGGCAATGGCCTTCTCCTTGGCCTTGCCGGTGACGTCCTGGTAGACGGCAATGGAGGAGTTGATACCACGCCCCTCACGGAAGAGGGTGCGGACGGTACGGCCGGAACCCTTGGGGGCGACGAGGATGACATCAACATCCTTGGGGACGTCGACCTTGGTGAGCTCCTTGAAGACGGGGGAGAAACCGTGGGAGAAGTAGAGGGTCTTGCCCTTGGTGATCAGGGGCTTGAGAGTGGGCCAGGTCTCGCTCTGGGCAGCGTCGGAAAGCAGGTTCATGACAATGGTACCCTTCTGCACGGCCTCGGTGAGGTCGAACAGGTTCTTGCCGGGAACCCAGCCATCCTGGATGGCCTCCTTCCATGAGGCACCATCCTTGCGGACACCAACAATAACATTGAGCCCCTGGTCACGGAGGTTGAGACCCTGGCCGTGACCCTGGGAACCGTAACCGATCAGAGCGAGAGTGTCATTCTTGAAGTATTCCTGGAGCTTCTCACGGGGCCAATCCGCACGCTCGTAGACGGTCTCCTTGGAATCAGCGAAGGTCATGGTCTTGATACCACGGACGGGGGCGGTCGAGGCAGCCACACGGGTAGCAGCCTTAGCGAGAGCAGGCCGGGGGAGGGCGGCCGAGATGACTGTGCGAGGGGCGGCAACACGGGCCAGACGGAGGGCACGGGGGAGTCCACGGGAAGCCATTGTGATGCGTAGGATGTGAAGACGGAGGAAAAGGGGGTATAGGAAGAAAGAGGAGGGGAGATTGGTCAAGAAATTGATGCTTTGCAAGAAAATAATGAAGAGGGAAAAGAAAGTTTTCCTGGGACGGACGCTGGGAGACTTATAAGCTCGTTGACGAGGACGACGGTACCAGCTGTGCTAGGCACGTGACCGGAGTTGGTGCTGAGCTCCCCGGCCGATGTCGGATAGTACGCGGTATGATTGGCCAACAGGACCACCGCCATCGCCGTGCAGAACGATCTGTCTGCTCTTCTTGAGTCCCCATAGTGAAATCTGTGCTCCGTCCACGGGGAGCATCCACCCAGAATATGGAGAAAATCCCAAGGTTGAGTCACAGAGTCTTAGGAGTCGGGGGTTTTGAGATAATAGTAATTATTATTGTGATTCATATCAATCTGAGAATTGTCACTTATTCTTCTCATCTACGACAATTGCCTTTTGCTTCTAGACTGCGTCCAAATTAACGCGGAGTCAGCTCTCTGCATAATAACTAATTGCTGGAGGTACGCCTGTCATACAAACCGTACCTCGCGGGCTACACTTTGTTGTAGGTTCCTTAAGTGTAGTGAGGTGCCTTGAGAGGTACTTTGCAGGTACTTTTGGTCTCGGAGACGCCTGGTTGCCTGAGGTATCATTCTCTCGTATCCCCGCCAGCATCAACCACCACCTGGCTCCAAAGTCGACGGTCGGTGACTGTCTCAACTCCTCTCCACCCTGCATTGAGGAGTCATAATCAACTGGCGTGTCTTATCCTGTAGCGGGCGGCTCATGTTGTCCCATTCGGATATCTTCTAAGACCATCACTTACGCTCCTCTTACCATGTGCATACAATGAGCCTTCTCTCCGCATTCAGTGCTCTGCCCACCATCCAGACACGAAAAGCCCTTTTGCTCCTCGATTTTCAAAACGATTTTGTTCGCCCATCTGGTGCACTTCATGTTCCTAATGCAGCTGATATCTTGGAAAACATTGCGCAACTAGTCACTGCTTTTCGTCGCACCGGTGATGTTATCTGGGTCCGCTCCCACTATGAATCGCATCGACCCCTCATAGATTCGGACTTCCAGGACCGGATAGTGCTGGGCCGTGACACAGATGAACGAAGGGAAAGGCTCAAGCGACCCAGCTCGAAAACACCGGTCGATGAGGAAGCGTTTCTGTCGAGGGAGTCTTCGCAATGTTGCCGGCCGCAGTCGAGCGGCTTTCAATTCCCCGCACCGATATTGGCTGCTATCGATGCTGAGAACGACACATTGATGGACAAGTCGGATTACTCCGCTCTACAAGATGACGCAATGATACTTTCTCTTCGCACAAGGTTTATTACGGAGTTATATCTTTGCGGTTCGCTCTCTAATGTCTCGGTGTATGCTACCGCCCTCGACGCTGTTCGCCACGGCTTCTCTGTAACCCTCATTGAGGATTGTCTGGGGTTCCGTGATTTCGTACGTCATGAGGAAGCTATGCGCCGCATGGCCGATATATTCGGTGCCAGTGGAATTACAACTCAGGAGCTTTTCGAAGAGCTTGATTGGCAAGAGACCGACGCTATTGCTCGTCAAACTGCACACAGACCCGTGCGAGCTGTCGCGCCCGCTGGCATCGAAGGCGTAATGGATGAACTCGATGTCAAAACTATCCGTGGGCCCACGGCCAACGAGGGAACACCGGAGTCGTTGAGCAGTCGGCGACGGAGGCTCGATGCTCTCTTAGCTGAGCAGACTGACGACGAGGAGGACGATTTGTTGGATCTGACAAGCCTGGCCCGCTCCCGCTCCCGCTACGGTCCATCTGGCTCACCAGGGAGCTCGTCTCAGGCTCATGGTACGGGAGAAAAGAAGGCACGCGTACGTGTGCGTCGCACAAGACGACAAGGTCAAAAGGCAGAGGCGTCCAATCGGACAGAAGAACGACGGAGCGGTAAGACCAAAAAGTCGCGAGATATACGCGGACCGGGTGATAAGGTTGGAGAGGGTGATTCCCGCATTATTTATGACTTGGACCTACCCGAGGACGCCTTTGCGAGTATCCGCAGCGAGGTCGCTTGGCAGAAGATGTACCATATGTCGGGGCAAGTTCCTCGTCTCGTCGCAGTCCAAGGTCAAACACAGAATGACGGATCCGTCCCTATATACCGCCATCCCGCGGATGAATCTCCACCGTTACGCCCTTTCACACCGACTGTGAACCAGATCCGCATCATTGTAGAACGTATCCTTGGTCACCCACTCAACCACGTCCTCATTCAACTCTACCGTGACGGACAGGACAGCATATCCGAGCATTCAGACAAGACGCTTGATATTGTCCGAGGTTCATTTATCTGCAATGTGAGTCTTGGTGCCCAGCGAGTGATGACACTCCGAAACAAAGTCAAGGCTGCGGACGAAGACCAAAGACCCGCACAGCGCATACCCATGCCACACGAGTCACTCTTCATTCTAGGAGAGAAGACGAACATGCGCTGGCTGCATGGCATACGGCCCGACAAGCGACTGGCGGCAGAGAAATCCACCGAAGAGCTAGCTTATGGAGGCGAACGTATATCGCTCACCTTCCGACACATTGGCACTTTCTTGAACGGGGCCGGGGATGCAATCTGGGGCCAAGGAGCTGTCTCCAAAGACCAGAGTCAGGCGAATACCGTAATCCATGGAGACCCTGTAGAGACAGAGCGGCTGGTTCGCGCGTTCGGCCAGGAGAATCAGGCCACTGAGTTTGATTGGGATGCTGTGTACGGCGGAGGGTTCGATGTGGTCAACTTTGTCACCACATCGACAGCCAAGTTGGTTGAGGACTCCTCCGACCCTGTGTCCAATCTCCGAGTTCGACTCGCGCTCAGTGAGAATGGTATCCGATATGAGGTGTCGGCTTCTTCAGAGGACGCAAACAGCGTGGAGGGAAAGGCACGGCCGGTTTTGATTACAGCTGACGGCACTGAAGTTGCTGGGGAGCTGGATATTATGAACTATCTTTCAAAGCATGCTCCAGAGCTTACACGAGCGGGTGTGGAAGCGTTGCGTGGTGGCAGCCAGCTTCTCGAGATCAACGAGCTTTTGCAGAACTGGCGAACATCCCATAGCAATGGTGAAAAGATTAATCCGGGATCCCTAGATCCATGGGAGAAGGCTCTGGACGGGCAGTACTATCTTGGGGGAGCAGCTCTTGGTCTCGACGACTGCTTCCTCTGGCCAGTACTGCGAGATATTGTACAGACATGCGGACCGTTTTCGGACGACGAATATCCCAATTTGGCGCAATACTACCGACGTGTGGAGAAGCGGGGAATTGTCAAAGCGACCCTGGAGGAGCTCAAATAATCATTTCGTCTTTATTTCAAGTTCAAGATACCACACAACGCAGCGTGCAGTTCTGACGAGCTTATGACTAGCATTTAGCGACGGCCATACTGTGTATTTTCACTTTCGGTTATACTTTGAACGTCGTTCGTCGACTGACTTTGTGGAATATTTTTGTTTTAATACGTACTGCGGCACGAATACAGTTTTGAATACTCGGGTGATTTGGATTCTGCATCATTTCTATATACATAAGGACTATCGGTAAGACCACATCATGATCTGCAAACCAGCGGGGCCTCAATCACAGGCATCTTCCCGAGAAATCCGTTGTTGTCAGGACCTCCTTCAGATTAGCGCCGCTGCACACTACACCCTTGAGGAAAGCGTGTGCAACAACTTCAGCTCCTTTAGCGCTGGTATGGGTGTGGTCGTTTGGGAAATATGAGTCAACCGTCGTCTTGCCCAGAGATTTAAACATGTCGGCCACATAGGCGCCATGGTCGACATAACCCACGCCGGCTTTCTGTGCAGCCAATTTGGCGAGCTCGACGAAGCGCGACGGAGTATAGGAGAAGGTGCCGGTCTCCCACGGATTGTTGGGCGTCTGACTGGCGATCAGCACCTTGGCTTGCTTGGACAGAAACAACTGCGCAGCATTCTCCAAGTACTTGGGGAAGGTGAGCACGGTTTCCTGGACACCGTTGTAAGTGGTAGTGCAGGTCTCGTCGCCTGTTCCGGGACAGTCTGTACGGCCATTATCGGTGCTGAGGCTGCCGCCGTCGTTGTGCCCGAACTCGATGACTACATAGTCGCCTGGCTTCAGGACATCTGCGATGGCTTGGAAACGTTTTTCGCGGGTATAGGAGCGAGCACTGCGGCCGCCAACTGCTTTGTTCGATACTGTGGCAGAGACGAAGGGGGCGATGTACAGACCCCATCCTGTTTTAAAAGAGAGCGTTAGAGACATATCTTGCAAATGGACTCGTTGGCTTGGGACATACCGTCAGTGTTAGCTCCACCTCCGCCCTTAGCCATGGTCGAATCACCCGCCATGTAGATGGTTGCACTCAAGGTGCCAGGAAGGAGGGCAAGCGCTGATAGGAGAGTGAAGCACTTCATTTTCAATCGAGGTTTATAGCTCTGAGGACTGATTCCAGAGTATCGAATTGTACATGGAAGTCTTATCCCTCATGGCCGAAGCAACGAACGCTCTTATATAGTCCCTCCACTGCTACGCCCCCTAGGAGCAACCTACAACTACAAGCAAAGGCATACGTGGAAAAAGTGAATGAAAAATGCGGTGTTTCTCCCATCGCGTTCCAGGTTTCTTTTTCAGCCCCTATGTGTTGACGGATCCCAGATTCCTTCGGTCCACCGGAGTTTCATCAGTTTGCGCTTGAGAAGTTAGAAGTTGAACAAAGGGGTCGCGGGGCATCAGATGCTTCTCCGCAACTTGGCACGGATGTGCGGAATCTTATGTATTACCCCGGATTCCTCACCAGCTGAGGGGGGTCGGCTAATATCGTTTCTGCAGAGATGCAGGTTTATTGTGGAGTGGAATATGTGAAAGGGTGGAATTTCCCGCTGCAGGGGGAGTATGGAGTACATTTGTATGGATTTTCCACCTGTCATTAGGATCAATGGATAGTCCCTGTGGCGGATATATTCCACAGGATCAGAATCAGTGGCTCATTGGAGGAATTGATCCAGATCCTTCAAACCATGTGGCGATGGGATACGCTCGTATACATTACCCCAACGCAGACTTTAGGCACGGAGCATCGGTCCGAGTATTAATAGAAGTAGAGTCAGGAGAGACAGGCAAGTCCACCTGGGAACATCCTTATGGAGAAATATACAAGTAATTACAGTTTTTCAAATGTAGGAGTACGCTTCTTCAGCCCGGATAGCAGCGCAGCTGAGACATCCTTGGTTTGCAGCATGGCACTATTCCAGACGGCAGTATATCTGAGACCTGCAGTGTGTCAGCCTATCGTATTGCTTAATCACGCGTAGATGAGGGCGAGTAGAACACTTACCGTCCTGCACAGAGTGGTCCCTCGAGTAATTCAAAATCTCCTTCGTTCCCTGCACCGCGACCGGACTCTTCGTCGCCATCAACGCAGCCATCTCCAGCGCCCCCTGCACAGCCGCCTCCTTACTCTCAAACACCCGATTCACAAACCCAACACGCAGCGCCTCCTCCGCCCCAAATATCCTCGCCGTCAGCGCCACCTCCTTCACCCACCCAAAGCTCCCAACCACCTTGGGCAACCGGCTCAACGTCCCAATATCCGCCGCAAGGCCAATATCCACCTCCTTGACGGCGAACTTGGTGCCGCGCGCGCAAACACGCACATCGGCCGCCGTGGACAGATCGACCGCCAGACCAAGCGAGAAGCCGTGCATCGCGACGACGACGGGCTTCTCGCAGCGCTCGACGGCCGTAATGCAGCCCTGGAAGGAGACGATGTGACGGCGTAGATGGGCCGCTTTGCGCGCGGGATCGACTGCCTGGTCGCCGTCCGCGGACAGGAGGCCCTGCGATGCGGCGGTGACGTCTAGGCCTGCGGTGAAGGCTTTCTCGCCTGCGCCGCTGAGGACGATGGCGCGGACGGAGGGGTCTTGCGAGAGACGGTCGAAGATTTGGCCCAGCTCAATCCACATTCTGCTTCCTGTTAGTTCGGATATTGTTTCAAGTGAAGAATAACCCAAGGAACAGATAAGCATTAGCGACTTACGCCTCGAAGAAGGCATTCATCTTATCCGGGCGGTTGATCTCCACGTGGGCGACATATTGATGGTCGGCTGGAAACCGGATGATGAAGTACTTGAATGATTGGTAGTCGTTTTCTGCCATGGTGATATGATTCTGGTCTGAGTTCGACTCGCAATGTCTTGGAGCTTCTCTGTTCTGATATTGTTTGCTGAGTGGATATCTGGTTTCTGGGGTAGAAGCTCGGTGGACCTCGGTAACTTGATCACCGTCCTATATAGCCGAGCACTGGGATAATGATGAACAACGAGGAAACCTAGGAGTTCATAGAGCACAGCCAGGCCTTTGGCGCGAACGATACGAATTATATACAAATTTGAATCCTAGAAGATGGATGGAAGACGGGTTGGAGATGCTCTCTGGCGGTGACTTCACGTGCCTCGGTCCGATCAGATAAGCGATGAGACATCCTGAAGTTCAATTGATCTAAAGCGGCCAGCATTTTCCGATTATATGATCGCAGTTGGTATAAAACATATCTGCATATACAAACCCAAAGGAAAAATATATAACCAGGAAGGCTTTAGAAGCAGGGGAAGAAATAAGGTGAAGCTGAAGTTCTGGTCTTGCGAATATATATTGTGCGCTGCAACCTTAAATTCGAATTTCTCTCGGACAACTGGAGACAGTGAACACTATGAAACTTTAAGATTTTCAGTATAACTGCATCAATAAACTCATCTCTCTTCAAATGGCTGGATAAATTCATACCAGGGATGAACGTGACTTGACGACAAGTGATCTCACCTACCATGCCTCTGTGGCCTCCTTAGCCTTCCCAGCGGGGTCCTTCAGCACAGAGAGGTACTTTGACTATTTTGAAGACAACACCACCTTGTCATATATTCTATTGATTTGGTAAATGGCGTCGCGAAGGGAAGATGAACGAACAAGGGCTTTAAGATGAACGAACAAGGGCTTTGAGATGATGACGCGTGGCATAAACGCAGCAGCAAGAATACGAGGACAACTACTCCTCCCACTTCAGCTTCCTCTCATCAACCAAACATAAACATGTCGTTTCTAAACAGCTGGTTTGGCCCTCTCTACGATGCTATCTTCTGTCCATCATTACCACCCACTTTTCGCTGGCGTCTCCTGGCTTTCCAGCCGATCGTACTACTCTCCAACACAATCCAATATCTCCCCAGTGTCTTCACCAAAGGCCGCCGCACTGTCATCTGGATCCCTCTCAAGCGAGCGCCAGGCCACTCAGTCCGCGCTATCGTCTATCACCCATGCACACAAAACCCGTCCGGATCCAGAGCTCTCCATCTCAACATCCACGGCGGCGGGTTCCTAGGCGGACTCCCAGAAGGCCAGGCGTCATTCTGTCAGAAAGTCGCCCACGAAACCGGAGCGATTGTCGTATCTACTTCCCACCGATATGCGCCGCGCTACACCTTCCCCACCGCACATGAAGATGTCCAGGATGTCGCGGAGTGGTTGATCGAGAACGCCAAGCGGCTCTGGGGCGCAAATCCGAAATCGATGAGCGTGAGCGGGTTCTCCTCAGGCGGGAATCTCGCATTGGGCGTTGCGCAAGGGCTGGCGCATACGGAGTTTAGTATCAAGGCGTCAGTGACGTTCTATGCACCGGTGGGTATATACTTTATTCAAGCGTCTTCATCGACCGTGTTAACGTGAGATTATTGCCAGATTGATCTGCGGCTCCCACCGTGGGAGAAACCTCGGCCCGCTGGATTCCCAGAGAAAGACCCCCTGGCCTTCTTGCAGCCGCTGATGGACGCGTACGCAGGACCGGGACGGGAGAAGAACTTGACGAATCCACTACTTCATCCTATCCTGGCGGATATTGAGTGTCTGCCTCGGAATATGATGTTCGTGGTTCCCAAAATGGATATTCTGCTGCATGAGCAGACTGTGTTCGTGGAGAGGTTGAAAGAGGAGGCTGCGGCCATCAATCGCGGGTTGGCTGGTCAGCAGGACCCGTCCGAGTCGCGAGTGCAACCTTATCGCATTGAGAGCAGGTTCGACGAGGGTCAAATACATGGGTGGTTGGAAAGTATGACTTTGTATTCCTGATATGCTGGACTGCACTAACTGTGACTTTACTAGTTCCATCGATATTTATCGACGCGAAGCTCAGGGACCAGATATTCGAGGATGCAGTGCAATTCTTGAATGATATCTACGCTCTTCATGGATAGTGCGTGCTAGGTGCATTGCCTATTGTATTCGCTGTATATGTTATGCAAATACTCTCTCCTCAGTTACATCTGTATAATAGTGCGACATCTCCACTCGATACATCTACATACTTAGATCTACGATTGTGAGAAACAAAGTTGAAAGGAAAAAAAATTAAATTTTAATTATTGTCTGACATAGTACACTGAGTACGCAGGAAAGGACAGACTTGAAAAGCGCTTGCACCGGAAACATTATGCTATCGAGAATCTGTTCGAACTAAATCCGCGAACGTAAAGGAAAGACAAGGAGGTATGCAAGTATCGTCACATCGTCACATCATGCTCGTATCCGAATGGTTCCAGTCGTCGGCCATTTACTCGATGGTAATCTTCCTGGCGCCAGTGTTGACGACCTTCTTCGGCACAACGATGGATAGAATGCCGTTCTTGAGGCTGGCCTTGACGTTGTCCTGGTCGACAGGAGTCGGGAACTGGAAGGTGCGGTGGAACTCGCCGACAGAGCGCTCGCTCACCCAGTAGCGGTGCTTCTTGTTGTCGTTCTTGCTGACTTGCTTGTCACCGGACTTGACCATCTCGGTACTCTCCTTCTCCTTCTGCTTGTCGTCAGAGGATTCCTGGGTCGCCTGCTCGGGAGTTCCGGAGCGGTATTCGCGCTCGCTGCGGCCCTTGATCACGAGAGTGTCGTTGTCGGAGAACTCAATGTCGATGTCCTTCTGGGCAATACCGGGAAGCTCGCCGTCCAGAAGGTAGGCATCATTGGTTTCGCGAACATCAAAGCGGGGCGCAAAGGAGCGCACAGAGGAAGTCTGGCCTCTGGTCGACCGGTGGACATCGTAGTCGTCCAGAAGGCGGAAGAGAGGGGCGAAGTCACCAGGAGTGTGGAAGGTGTGGAAGAGAGACATTTTGAATGTGTGATGTGAGGTTGTTAACGAGTTGATATCGCTGAAGAAGTGTTGTTGTAGTTGATGTGAGCGCGTTGTTATCGTAATTCTTATGTTCTGATCTGGTGAACTGAACCTCGAGTAAACGAGGTGTTAGAGGTCCCTATATACCCCAGAGCCATGGTTCGAGAATCTCCTATGATTCTATCCTGATGACTTTAGAAGGGTTGATCGAGAGCACCGGATGTTGCTTGATGCATCACGAACCATCGAGCATTGTCGAATGGACACAGCTTGAGCGCACTCGATGATTCGCGGACATTCGACGGTCACGTGATCGAAAGCCTCGCCACATGAGCTTCACGGAGGAGCTTCACGCAGCTTGGAGAAGCTTCGAAGCATGAGATGCTGTCCATGGAACATCCTAGATTGACGGTCATTCGTCTGATGAGCTGTCATACAGCTTGTAGGCTCATTGCATGATTCCCCCCCATCGTTCTGGCTACAATCTGAATTCGCCACCAGACCAGAGCTCAAAACTGCGTCACATAATAACATGGAAGTGATAGAGATTATTGGCTCTGTCACACCACAAACGCATTTTGCAACGCGTCTTATTGCAAGGATTATGCTGCGTGATTTCACTGTGAAATCACCATGTGGACAGCGTAGATTCGACGGAGTTCTTCAATATCATTTTCGCAGTATGGTACTGCTCCTTTCGAAGAGCATGCTCGTCGCGGCCGTAGAATATTCAGGTAATAGCTCTTCGAACAACGTGTCGACGACGGCCTACTGTCGATGGCCAATGGCCACAGACGCGGTCAAAAGACCAGGAGATCGTATCATTGCTTCGGCAATTCGGAGACGTCGTTCCTCTACTCGGATTCTGATTCTTCGGGCTGCATTACTTTCTCATCAAGCTCCTATCCGAATATTAGCGCACCCATCACACTGAAGAGGTTTCGGGGTCCATACCCTTCCTAGCCTTTCCTTCAAATTTTGTAGCTGGCTTTCCTTGATGACCAGATGGCGGTCATCGTCTAGATCCTCCACGATGTAGTCGTGGCTTTCTTCGTCATACTTCAGTATGATGGCTTTGACGGACGGATCACACTCGATAAGCACTCCTGTTGTATGATACCGGTCAGAAACAGTCAACAGTTAGCCATCATAGGGGTTCGACGATCGGCGCACCTTTAATTGCACGGGGCATGATGGAAATTTGTTTCGATTATTGAGATGACGGTCTAAGGTACGCAAATATAGGTTCTTAGGCTGTATCGAACTGGGATCAAAGGAATGTAAGACCTCGCGAACTTGCGAGTTTCTGTCGAAGGTCCACACGGGAGTGCCAAGACTCAACGGGACTAAGGCACCAAGGCACAAAGTCTTGGAAGAAACGATGGATTACTGTATTTGGATTAGCTCTCCTATTTGGGTATAGTGTTTCCTTCCTGCTGCTCTATACATATCCCCTGTAACCTAGATGACAATGTTAAGCACCTCCTGCAATTATAGAAATCGTTGCTGGAGTGGTACTGAGGAGGTATATCAAGAGCTGAAGGACGTGAACTCGTTGACAAGACTATAATACCTGCGCAATCTTGAGTTGAGGTCGAATTTGACGATCACAGAGAGCGTACCCCAAGCGTCGCCTTGCATCTTTTCTCAACAGCATATTTCCAGCTCCTTAGGAAGCCTGCAGTAATGCCTCTCAAAGGGCGACCAAGCTAAACATCTAACCAAGGAGGAGGGGAGAACCTTGGGATGAATTTGGATTCAAGAATGAGGGGTTCCACAATGTTGGCGAAGCGGTGTATATAGATCGGCTATTACACAACTGTCCTTTCCGCCTTCATCAACAGTTTGCTACGATTATGAGATACTCCATAGTATGGAAGGTATTAAAACCTGCTGATGGACATATATACTGCAAATAAATTATGTGGAGTTCTGGGTAGTCTATTATTCCCGATCGAGTCTGTCCTCCAGATCATCATCGACAACTTTCTCGACCTCATGAGGTGCTCTCCAGCCTGTACATGCTTGAAGCATGGTCGCTACTAGAGCCAGAACACAGCCGCCCAAGATCAGAACCTTGACTGCCTGCTCATAGCTTTGAATGGCCACCTCTTTCTCCAGTCCGCTCAGATTCCTCACCAAGGCGGGGCTTCCCAAAAGTTTGCGAACAAGGTCATCTTTCCCGGAAAGTCCGTGCTTGCCAAATCCCTTCTCAAGCGCTTTTTTCAGCTCCCGCTGAAAGAAGCCTCCGCCAATGGCGGATCCAAAGCTTCCAGCAGAACCACGGAACATGCCTAATAGGGAGGTCACAATGTAGTGCACGTTTGGATCGGTAAGGTGTAGCATATGAGACAATGCATAGTTCATCGAAGCGCCGATGAAAAGGCCATTAAAAAAGGTCGAGACGACGTAGGCGATGGTAGGTGAAGAAGGAGTCGATAGTATGGCCAGTATAAAGTTCGTCAACGCAAAGAGCAGGAACACTATCAGCGTCGAGCTATAGCATGAGGGGTCAGTTTTGGGACTTTTCGGATCAATTGCAACAACACCCACATGTAGTAACTGCTAGTCTTGCGAATATGGATCCATCCGACCAACAGGCCTCCAAGGCCGAACCCTGCGTTCGTTGGAACTAGGATCAAGCCTGCCGAGGCGGGAGACCATTGTCGAACCGCCATTGCATACACTGGCGTGAAAAAAAGAACAGACCAGCGGGCCATCATCGAGATCAGAGCTGCTAGGCAGGTAGCCAGTATGCTTCTCGCTTTGAGAACTTCAATCGGGATTATGGGCTCTGATGTAAACTTCGACTCAATAAGAAGGAAAACAGCGAAAGAGACGAAGCTCAAGATCAGAGGTGTGATTGTGACGGTTGAATTTGGCGACGCTAGGCTGAAAAGCAGCAGAAATACTGAAGTTGCCTGGAAGATTGGTTAATCTTCAAGCTCTGTCGTCAAGCCTTGGTAGTCTTACCAGAGTCAAGGCACCCGCATAATCGACTTTGGCTAGTCTTTGCCAGGGAGAACTGCTCTGAAGACTCATGGAAGTACTCTTGGCGCTGGGAATAGCGCGGAACAAGGTTAACCCCAGAATCAAAGAAGCAGGTGCTTGAACCCAGAAGATCAGGCGCTACGGTTTTTGGGTTAGCTCGGTATCCTTTCCAATGATGTGAATGAAGGATGGCATACCCATCCGAAGACCGGCGTCAGCAATCCGGCAAGTAGTGCACCGCAAGAGATTCCCGTTGTCACTCCGACATTCAACAAGCCAATGAAGAGACCTCTTCTCTTCTTGCTTGTAAGGTCGAGGATGAAGATGAAGGAGGTGACCATAACACCCGCACTGCCACAGCCAGATAGTGCACGTCCAAAAAGGAAAACCGGCAGGCTTGGGGAAGCAGCAGTAATAAAGAGTCCAACAGATAATATCGCCACAGAGAAAAGAGTATAAATACGGGCTGTGAAGATCTGACAGAGACGTCCTGCTAAAGGAGACACACTGGACATTGCGATCTTTATGCGAGGCAGCAATTAGCCCGCTGGCATGTGATGGACAGCTCTGGAGGACATTAAATAGACGTACCAGGTACGCTGAGCTGAACCACGTCGTTTCCGAAAAGGCGTCGAAATCTTCTGCGATATCCGATTGAGCCGTGGTCAACATTGATATGTTCGTGGCTGCAATGGCATTCGTTAGTGATTGCGGCCTCGAAATGGCAAATCTATTTACTCTGAATGAATAGCAACAGGCCCACAGTGATAGTGATGACCGTTCCTCTGAGAAATGAAGGCGATATTTGCGTTTCATCATGGTCCGTGAGCGGATGCTCTATCAACGGTGTGGCCTCGGAAGGCACTGCGTCTCTTTGCGGTTCAGCCACCATGATGCTTTCTGAATGCGGGATGTTTTGAAGACAAAGATAGTAGAGCGTTCGTGCCCATTGATATTGACAATTGGTATATTATTGCTGCCAAAGGTGACAAAGACTCGATTCTGCCAGAAGTGGAAGCTGGCGGATAAGCATTTATAATCAAGCCGAACTAATAACTAATTCTCCAATCGACCCAATCATAAAGGAGGTTTGCTCATTTTCCTGGTATCTGATATGATAACCAAGTTGATAACCCATGCAAACATGGCAAAAAATGCTGCTCCTGGGTCAATGACAACTCCATTTCGTGTCCCTCCTGGAGCAGGTTGATTCGACGCGAGCTGTTAGGTCAGGAACCCATAGCTATTTCATCATCCTGAGATGAGTTATGGAGGCAATTATTCATTTTCGCCAGGATCAGTTCATGAAATAGACACGAAAATACTTGCAGATCTTCTGAACACGCCCTAGAGCTGGGTGCCCAGGGACAGACATGGCATGCTCCCGTGGCCCTACCATTATTCTCGTACCTGACGTCCCTTTTGCTCTTGCAGACCGTTGAAAATCACATGATTTGAAGTCAAGACAGAAATAAACTGCCACCGCCTGCCTGTTGATCACATGACACAAATGTGGTGATCGCGTGTGCTCACTTTGATTGCCTCAGGTGTCATTTTCATGAGTATTCTGAATTTATCATGAATTAACGAAGAAAAAGCTTCCTTGTACCATTTTCACACTCGATACCGAGATTGCAGGCCCGGCAATCATGAATCGTACCCAAAATGTATCCGACAACGGATCCAGGGCTTGCTTACTCATCGTGTTGCTTGGAACGGAGATGGATAGTCACAGATTGCTGTATTGGCATCTATGTGAGCTATCAATTCACAGTTACACACAAAGAGCATAGGCGAGGGCCCTTTTTCTTGGTCCCATAGATCTTCATCTGAGCAACATTTTCATGGATGAACGAGGTTTTGGTTGTCCATGGATACCATCATTCTCGCTTTCATTTAGATTGTGCTATGAACAAGACAAATACATCATCGTCTGATATTATGTCTGATATTATGCAGCAATCCCGAATATTTGTCTATGCGACTAATCTGCTCTCCCAATTCTTACAAACCCGCAATTGTTAAGGACCGATCAGCTGATGTACATCCAGCCCGCCATATGACACGAATATGTACGGTGGCAGATGACAATCTCATCTGAGCACAAAAGCCGTCGCTTGATACATACATAAAACCAGTACTCTCGGGCCCTTGACTTGAGGAAAAAGAGAAACCCATCAAGCCCATCAAACCCATCTATTATAATGAAGCCTGTCTATATCTCCGCGATGTTACTGTACCTTTTCGCCGTCCAGGCACAACACCACAATTCCGCACGTAAGATTACCATCCTTCGGATCATCAACAGGTACTCAGTAAAGTATACAGGAGAAATAAAGATGGCTCCCGCAGACGCGCGGAGAACCCCTGCCTTGAATCTAGAACAGACCGTCCTAGGAATAGACGACCGCCGTACGTTGAAGCAACCGACGAATGATCGACGGAACTGATGAATGCTAGATTGCTACCGCTGCTCGTCTCCGTGCTCGCACGCTGTTTGCTGTCATGGGGAGTTTTCCCAGTGCTGTTCGGACGGGCATTATTGCTACTGTTGTGAGGAGTGAGGGCGTATTATCCAGTTATATGGTTGTCTATTTGTGCCTGGTCTAATTGCATTGACCCCACTGCTCTGTTTTTGAAGAGACGCGTCCCTCGTGCAGTTTCCAGTGGTCATTCTTTTATCAAGGACAGCGCAGCTGTCGATAGTCCATATCCAATAGAATGCAATTGCCTTTCTTTCAAATCTCCAGCTTATGATTATACCAGCCTTCAAACTCACTTTTGGTCTTGAACGGACCGGCACTGTAATGCATGAAGAATCGACCGTGACAGGGTCCTCCGCAAATTGGCCCTGGCCCTGGTAGTTTAACAGACTGCATTTCGTATCATCTGGGCGGTTTGTCTTGAAACGTCCAGCTTCTGCTCATCGCTGAGGCCGTCCCAGCAGCTATCGAGAGGTTGACCATTGATGTACTCCATCACGATATATCCCATCGTGCCGAAGTATTTCGTGTCGTCTGCGACTTAGAAAGCGCGATGGGTGCGTGGAGCCCGGATGCCGGGCTTTGAGGTGACAATTCTAAGGACCTCGGCCTCGCAGGGAAGCACATTACCGCCATTTTCAAAACTTGGTCATTTGATAGTCGCACCACCGTCGTTTGACCCAGATCGTGAAGGACTGGGCGGAGTCGAAATGGGTGGTAAGAGACTCATCAGACAGAGAATGGAGGTCAGTTCCATCCAGTGGAAATGTCCCATCTACAGCTCGACTCGCCGGCTGTGAAAGCTCTCAGTAAAGACTCGCGTAGACGCTAGATCTCCATACATCAGTAAATGGGCGGAGAATTCCCTCCATCTTTATTTGTACAATGGGATATAAAGCGGCCACATTTCCAGTAAATGAAGAGTGTTATGGAAGGATTTGCCCAAGCCGGCTGAAGATCAAGATAAATTCGTTCATTTGTCAGTGAGTGGCCATGGGATTTGATATTGCATCGTCACTGCCAAGAGACAATAAATGCACAACTACAAGCGGAGTCTGCCATAAACAGAATAGTTGCCTGGGGATATCGCATCAAGTTGTACTATTATTCTGATGTGAGACGTCACATTTACTTTGAGATGTTCAGTCAAGCTAACTTTATACGGATATTTTCGGTTAATTACACATTGATTTGATATCTTCCGGGATAAAAGGGCGTAGGATATCCAGCAATTTGGACAGTGGGATCCAATCCAGCCGCCCATGAATTGTTTCAATGGCGTGGCCGCTGTACAGGACACGGGCGAAGTATCCCGAAGTAGACGTTTTCCTGATTTCGTCAGAAACCGATCCTAGACCCTAGAAAACGAGGAGACAAACTTACCAAACCTCAAAAGCGATATTCGAGCCCATACCCGGCCACCGCATCGCTGTGATCCCCAGCGCGCCCAGAATAGGGGAGATGTCCCCATCATGCACGAAGTTATGGCTATACGCCAGCTTCGATGCACCCTCCGCAACTGCCTCGAGCTTCCGTACTATCTCCCCAATGAACAAACCCTCGATGACCTGGATGTACCGTGTCGCGTTTGCGTTCCGCCGCCACATGTAGTTATACTCCCAGTCACCGGCGCGGAAGACCTCGTCCGCTTGGGCCGCGGTCACGCATTGCGTCCGGTCCTGGACACGGCACGGCAGCCTGTATCCGTTACACAGGCGGGCCTGGAAATTGTCCGCGAAGTGGTCAAAGTTCGAGGTCCAGGCGGACTCGTCCTGCGCGTCGAACATGGTTGCGAGTTTGTCACGGAGGGCCTGCGTGACTGTGAGATGCTCGTTCCATTCGGCAGTGGATTGAATCGCGGATAGGAGGGCGTTGCGCGCCGAGCAGGGGAAGCCGCGGTTGACTGTGTCGACGGCGGAGGCTTGCTGGTGCACTGGAATCGGCTCGTGGTACTCCGGCCAGAGGCCGCGTAGGACGGCGCCGGCGGAGCCCTGCGTCAGGGCTGAGGAGCTGGAGCGGAACCAGACTTTCTTCTGGTCTGGGTCTGAGGGGATCAGGCCTAGCCGGCGGCCGTAGACGGCCCGGAGATCACGGCCGTGCTGGTAGCCGTCGAGGAAGCCGCCCAGAGTGAGTTGGGGGTACTGGCAGGACCCATTAACATAGGCGGTAAGGTACGGGTTGGACGGATCTGAGTAAGCTTGACCATAGACAGCGACTGGTGACGGGTGCTGCGAAGCTGGCGCTGCGTAGACGTGCGGATCAATGTTGTCGCAGTTGTATTCTTGATCCTGGACGGAGTTAGCGACCGATCGGTTGAATTGGGAAAAGGTTGATTACCTCTCCTCCAGGAAGAATGTTGTAAGGGGTCCGCCGTTGATGGCGCTGCAAATATTCAAGGTATACCAGCTTAGCCTTGATGGAATGATTTGCAACAGGGGGCGGCAGAGAGTAGGTTTCTCCGCGCGGATGAGGCATGGAACAGTAATTGTAGACATTATCGGCGGACGGTGAGCTAGCACTATCAGCGGGAGCAGTGTAGATGCCGCCATAAGTGCCGTAGGAGGTGTTGGTGATGAATGTGGTGTGGTTCAGAGGCGGATAGAAGGTGTCCTGGGAGGCAAGGGTTGCCGTCCCTGAGAACAAAAGCGTCAAGCCTAATGATAGCATGTTGACTAGAGCTTCGTAGAGTGAGATGGTATGATCATGAGAGACACTCCATATCCGCATTATTTATGCATGAGCTGTTGCGTTCCGACAAGATGGAAGATCCCTTAGTTGTTGCTGAGGACAAGTCAAAGTGGGAAACACAACTCTGTTAGATGATCTGCGTCCACTAAAAATGCTACATCTTCCACGTGGTGCAGCCAACACAAAACAGTAATTCGGCCATGTTCTCAAAGGCTTGCAATCGGTTGGACATTATTATTCTGGCTAAGAAATTAACTATCATAATCCTTCAACGTATTACAGAAAAGCTGCTAATCTGTACTAAGAAGAAGTTTTGGAAGTGGACATCAGAAGTTGTTGATATATAGTTGGCCTAGCACATAAGACACTTGGAAAGCACCACATAGTGAGCAGAGAATGAAACATTCAGTTCTATTCGTCTGAATCATTATTTGTCTGGCTATAATTTCGATGCCCCATAATGAAGTTGGCACCCCCATCACTTTTACTGCAATCCTCTTCCTCAATGCCCCTTTCTACCCACTATAGCTGCGTCTGCCATCGACCTTGCATGGAGGCAAGCAGAATATAGACAATTTATAGTCTCCTGTAGCTTTATAATTACTCCTATAACTATAGGGGACTGCTGTGGTGATATAGTACGTACTAGGTTTTACAGCCTACTATAATGCATTCTAATTATACAGGCTGCGGGTGATATTCAACCCACACGTACTTCATAGAATCCTATTCGAAATTGACTACTAGGATCAACCTGTTATTTGCCCGTATAAGACTTACCCAGTAGATTAAAGGTATCAACAGTTAGAAGACCAATGTGAACAAGCCATAAGTCCCTGCTGTCCCATCTAACCACTCCAATATCATTACGACTTTTCAGACAATACTAATTCATTGTGGGTCTGTCAAAATATGCTTTAAAAAGTCTCATGAAATCTAGACGGTTGCGCGCAAAGGCCTAGTTGGGATAATAGTGTCTATAGAAGTTTGAGCACGAGGAAGTCTCCTGTGCATGCATTATTTGAGTGGTTAACACTTATTAAGCTACTTATCATGCTCATAATATTTCTTATACAACTATGTCTCTACTGAATTACTGCATTCTTGCATATCATGTGGCTTGGTGTGCAAAATTTAGACCTCTAGAATCATGATTTCCTGGCTTCCTGACGGCTGGTAGACTGGAAATGTCCAGAAGACTAAAACCTAGCAGGAAGCAAACCGTTCCGAGAGGCCCATGGGGTAAAAGGCAAGACTGGATCGGTATTCTAGTAGCCTACCTCACGATATGGATTTCTGAATGAAGATACCTAGTTCGGTGTCAGATGCAGAAATCTTTGATGATTCGTTGACAGTGTCCCTAGAAGTATAAGGTATGCTGTGTGCCTCGGATGGCCAGAGGACCACTCTTAATCTAGCCTTAATCACATGATTGAGTTTGAAATTATCCAAGGACAAATTCACCATCTGCCAATTGACTTAATTTCATGGGTGATATCTCGACCGGCTTTAATCCATGTCTCTCTCAACTGTTATCACATTGATAGGTGCAATGGCCCAATCGCGTGTCATATCCCAGGCGTTCCCCAGGCGGGGCCATCCTCCCCACCCATTATTGGCCAACCACAAGATAGGGCACGGAAAGCTTCCGCCATGGAAGCTATTCCGACATTCCGACGCTCCGATATTCTTTGGCGTCCCCTCACATCCCAATCAGGCAAGAAATACGCCCAGGCGGTACAAAATGGCTTCAACTTCGCTGCTTCATCTTCAATGTTTCATCTTTCGATCAATGTATTTTTCATCATTCGGTCCCTCCCCACATGGCTCCTCACCCTCTAGCAATCCTCTCCGAAGCGGAGACTAACCTTGCGCGCGATGTTGTCATTGCAGAGCACCCCAACACCGTCATTGATTTCCGCGAGATCTACCTGTTGGAACCTCCCAAAGACCAGCTGCGCGAGTTCTTAGCTCTTGAGCACGCTGGTCGTTTGAGTCCAACCACACCTCAACCTCCTCGTCTCGCTACTTGCCAATACGATGTGATAGGAGCCGACCGCATCCCCTCCTTCCATGAATCCGTTGTCGACGTGGTCGCGCGCAAGCGTGTCAAGCACCACATTGTCGGAAAGCAGCATCATGCTTCGATTACTATGTGCGTTGAAATACATGTCTCAGAAAGTTGAATACCTGCTAATATCGATATTACAGGAGCGAGTTCGAGAACCTCGTTGAGCGATGTTTTACCTCTCCCTTATTCAAGAGAGCCCTGGAAGATTTCGACCTGCCGCCGGGATTTGAGGTCACAATCGAGCCATGGCCCTATGGTGGCTTGGACGACACTGATGAGAATCGGCGGTACTTCCAGGGTCTTTGTTTTGCTACCGACAAGAGCAAGAATAACCCGGATGCGAACTTCTACTCCTACCCTTTGCCATTGATTCCTGTCATGGACGCTCATACCCAAGAGATCGTTCGAGTAGATCGTCCGGCGACCGGCGGTAAGGGAGATGGTTTGACCGAGCAAACCTTCAAGCGTGACATTATCGGACATTGCAAGGCTTCCGACTACGTGCCGGAGCTTCTGCCCCAAGGCACTCGACAGGATCTGAAGCCTCTGAATGTTGTGCAGCCTGAGGGCCCTTCTTTTCGCATCACGAACGAGTCCTTGGTCGAGTGGCAAAAGTGGAGTTTCCGTGTTGGTTTTAATCCTCGTGAGGGTGCGACTATTCACGATGTCTGGTACGATGGCCGTAGCGTGATGCACCGACTGTCTATCAGCGAGATGGTAGGACTATTCTCAGAGGAATTATTCTGACATTTTGACTGACCGGGATTTAGACTGTTCCCTATGCAGACCCTCGTCCTCCCTTCCACCGCAAACAGGCTTTCGACTTTGGGGACGGCGGCGGTGGTAATATGGCCAACAACCTTTCGATTGGCTGTGACTGCCTGGGTGTCATCAAGTACTTTGATGCCATCGTTACAGGACCAGACGGTAGTGCGAAGAAACTGCCCAATGCCATCTGCCTGCATGAACAGGACAACGGCATCGGCTGGAAGCACTCCAACTGGAGGACAGGCCGTGCTGTGGTCACCCGCAACCGCGAACTGGTCGTGCAATTTATCATTACGCTGGCAAACTATGAGTACATATTCGCCTACAAGTTCGATCAATCTGGCGGAATTACAGTCGAGTCCCGCGCGACAGGGATTCTGAACGTCGTCAACATCGATCCGGGCAAGGTCAGCGATTACGGTAACGTAGTTAGCGGAGGTGTCTTGGCCCAGAACCATCAGCACATCTTCTGTGTCCGCATGGACCCCGCAATTGACGGACCAAATAATTCCGTCGTGGTTGAGGAGTCTCATCCAGTCCCCATGAACGATGTCACCAACCCAAAGGGCAACTTCTACAAGGTCACTCAACAGACGCTTGAGCGGGCGTGCTACCTCGACGCGGCCCCGGAACTGAACCGTACCATCAAAATGATCAATCCCCATAAGAAGAACCCCATCAGCGGTCACCCTGTCGGTTACAAGTTCATTCCGCTGGCGACCCAGCTGTTACTGGCGGATCCCAAATCCGTCCAAGCTAAGCGCGCGCAGTTTGCACAGCACCACGTGTGGGTGACAAAGCATCGAGATGGTGAGCTGTATGCGGGAGGTCGATACACGCTCCAGAGCCAGCAGGAGGTGGATGGTGTGGCTGACGCCGTCAAACGGGGCGAATCCGTGGTGGATACTGATGTGGTGGTCTGGAATACCTTTGGTATCACGCACAATCCTCGTGTAGAGGATTGGCCAGTCATGTGAGTAATGTTTCTCCCCTTTCAACCAGTGAGTCGGTGCTAACATCCAATAGGCCTGTCGAGATATTCCAACTGATGATTAAGCCGGCGGATTTCTTCACGGCCAATCCCTCTCTGGATGTGCCCTCGAGCAGGAATGCGGCGTCGAGAGTTGTACAAAAGGAATGTTGCCGTGACGCTCAGCTGTGATTGAGACTGTTGGATTAGGATTATGATTCATGACATTTATAAGACTGTATACTTGATCATTAAGCCATGGACTGATCCTCTGATGGACACCTTGCGGAGGATCTCTGTATATAAACGCTTTTTAATCGAGGGGTCAGACTGATCAGTTCAATTGATAAGATGAAGCTTGATGCCTCAGGCTCTTATCGAATCCGCATCAATTCCGCTGTCCGCTCGAGACGCGGAATTTGTGTTTCTTCCACTCACCTGATGCCACCTCCACCTGATATCTTTTCAACCATGCTGCAAGTATCAGCCCATTTCGATTTCACCGGCATCGATTTCTAGTTTCGGATGCGGTATAGATCTTAAAATTAGACCAGTTACAGCGGCTAAGGCGCCAGATTATGGGCTCGGAATCACCCAAGCGCAGTGCCGACATTCCGGGTCAGCCTCGGAGCAAGAAACGAGCCAAGTACACACAGGTAGCATGGTGCGTCCCGCCATTTTGAGCTGGTCATCAAGTTTTGTCTGATAATGATGGCACAGCAATGAGTGCAAGCGGCGAAAGCTAAAATGCAGCGGAGAGATGGTCTGTTCGCGTTGCGACCGCGACAATGTTCAATGCGTCTATGTTCCCAACACATATGCACTCAGCAACAGAACAATTTCGTCACCAGAGGTGCAGATCGATGATGAGAGGTTCGCTGCATCGGCTTCGTTGAGTAATACATGCTGACGATGATCAGGGTGTCGACCCGACTGAGTACCGTTGACCGTCAGATTGAGGCACTGCAGCGCGAGATGCGAGCCATGTCTGCTCGCCTGCGACAACTTGAATCAGCCTCCTCCTCAACGACAAACACTACCCCGACGGCTATCTCAACGGTGTCCCCATCGTCAACGGCTGCAGGACTCCACCGCATCATGAACCGTCCGCAGTCACCGTCCTACGTCGGTCCCACGAGTGCAGAGTTTGGCCTGACTGCGCGCCAACGGCAGCCGGAGGATTTCGACAGCGGCGACGACCTCGTTTCGACGGCGGTGCAGAGTCCGGCGACCCGGCTTGGAGACGACATCTCTTCTGACGATCCGCTGGGGTGTCTAGGTTCTGCTGAGGCGCTCCGTCTCGTCGACGTGTACGAGAATATGGTTGGGTTGATGTACCCTTGCGTGGATCTGGAAAGCGTGCGTGCGTATATTGCGGAATACTTCCGGGATAAGGACGGCCTGGGGTCGAGCTCACCGGCTACGCTGGACCAGGAGTGGTTCTTCGCCAGGGATGTTGAGGTGCTGAAGATTCTACTGGCGACGGCTTTGTTAGCCGAGTCGCATGGCCGCAGTGAGAGGGCGGCGTTGCTGGCGGATAGCGTGGAGGATCGGTTTGCGACACGGCTCAAGGTCCCCGAGGTGGATATGAAGGAGTTGCTCATTTTGACTTTGCTGGTATTGCCGTCATTTCTGCCTGATGTATCTTTGAGTGTCAGCTGATGAGACAGTCCATCTTCCATTCCTATCGTGACGACGAAGTCATCTCCTGGCGGCTTATCGGCATGGCGGTGCGAGGAGCAATGCAACTAGGCCTACACTGCCAAGAGACCTGGCAAAAGACCGGTGGTGTGTTCCCCGGTGAGCTGCAATGCGAATATGCCAGCCGGCTGTTCTGGTGCATCTACGTGCTCGACCGCAAATGGTCCTTCGGCACGGGGCTGCCCTTCGCCATCCAGGATTCAGACATGGACACTAATCTACCCGAACCCGGCACAAGTACCCCCTACCTCACGTGCATGATCAACCACGCACGTCTGAGCACCAAGATCTGGGGCCTAGTCGTGGGCTGGCGCAACCGGCCCGCGCCGCAACAGCCGACTACTGCTCCTACCTCGACTTCCAAGTCCAGCAATGGATCCAGTCTATTCCCCCAGAGCTACGCTTCGACCCGACCCAATCGCCAACCCAGTCTGAGCGTGTCGGCCGCCCTGCCACAGTTGCAGCCACTCCACAACCTCAGTCTCAATCCCACACGCAAACTGATAGCATGGTGATGCTCCAAGTCCTCCTCGCCCTTCAGGCAAACCAACTCCGCATCCTCGTTTACCGCCAGAACCTTCTCAGCAGCGAGAGCATCGAATCCAACGTCTCCGGCGCCTCGACCGCCGTCGAAGCAGCCAAAAGCACAGTCCACATGCTCGATTTCTTCTCCCGCGTCTCGCCACTCTACTTCCAACGCCCCGAACCCTTCAATTACTTCCTCATCTCGGCATTGGCGGCACTGTTTCTGGCAGTCCTGCATGCCCCTGCGCGGTTCAGCCAAGTCTGTCGGCCCGAGTTCTACGCCGCCGTCGACATGGTCCGGCGGTCGTCGACGCGCGCGCGAACATCGCGCCGCTTACAGAAAATCATAAAGAGCTTGAAGATGATCTGGATGAATCTCGGGGCGCAGAGGCCCAGGGAGTCAGTGCGGAAGAACGGGGCGAATCGTCGCACTCCGCTTGCACTGGATGCTACGGGGACCCCGCTGTCGACGGGGAATCATGCCGAGTCGCCGTCTACTCAGAGACCCATGTCGGGGGTCCCCACGCCGCAACACCCGGGGTCTGCTTACGTGCGCTCCATGACGTCTCTCACGACGGTTCTTGCAGACGAGACAAGCTGTGAGGACTTGACCAGTTTCTTTGAAATGGCGGGTGGCTTTTATTTCGATTCGAGGATGGGGAATGGGGAGCGAGCGATGAGGGACTGGTACAAGATGCCGCGACGGAAGGGTTTGATGCCTTTCAAGCGGAGGATGAGGCGTTGACGAGGGTAATGGCTGGATTATTATAGGGTTACTGCAAGGTATGAGCAGGCTCATGCCATCGTATGCTTTCATACTTCAAGCCTAGACGGCAACGAATTTATGTGCTATTGCTGTGATACAAAATATACCGGACTTAGGCTGCTTCCACGGCTTCCACGGCTTCCACTGGCGGTTCAAGAAGCGTCATCCGCACCATGACCTCGACTGAGCTCCACAAAAGACCCGATGGCACATCTCGGTCCCACTCAAAATGGGGATTGACAAACTGCATATCGAACAGGAACATGAATTTAGCGAGCGTGAGCCGAAGTTTCTGCAGCGCGATCTGCCGGCCCGGGCAAGAGCGGGGCCCCGCGGAGAACGGCCGAAAGGCGCGCATTTCGTCTGGGTTCTTGGGGTCCAACCAGCGTTCGGGCTTGAAGGTGTCCGGGTCGTGCCAATACCTCGGATGGCGCTGAAGAGTGTACAGATCCGCCGAGACTAAGCACTAATCGTTCACTTCTGTCAGTTGCGGGGTCCGAGGAAAAACGGCACGAGAAGAAACATGAAAGGAGAGGAATGCATGCGACGTACTCCAGGGGGAACGTAGATCCCGTCTACCACCGCGCCTGTCGAAACCCGACTCGTGAATTGCCCGTTCAATCCGGGCCAGAGTCGCAGTCCCTCGTTTATGCAGGCAGTAAGGTACGGAAGCCCTACGAGTTGGCTGTCGGCGATGGGCTTGCTGGCAGAGAAGTTTGACCGGATCTCCTGTTGGAGAGTGCGGTAGCGCACAGGATCTCGCATAAGAGCGCATAGGATTGCTCGGGTGGAGGACTCGGATGTTTCGAAAGCGGCATAACTGAGAACCTTTAGCACTTTGCTTCCATGACTGAAGTGGTCGCGGCTCACATCAGACCAGTCACGTTGCTGGACATCTGTTTGGTTAAGTGCGGGTACTTGTCGTTCTTATATGGAATTGCTTGGGAAACGAAGGTGCTCTTGCCTTCGGCTCGCCTGTGTCCATCTGTCAGTCGTGGGTATTAGCATGGGCCCGGCCTCCAGACATACTGCTTTAGTGCAACATCAAATAGGTGTGCCGGGTCAAGGTATTTTGGTATCCAGAAAGGACCAAAGCTATCGACGAGCACCTTGAGTCCGCGCCGGCTCAGAAGGAACGAACCCAGCGCGAAGGCAACCCCGATCAAGTTTTGGTGAGTTTTTTGGCTGATCCAGTTGTCTATCCACGACACATATGGTTAGCATTCATTGGGTTGAGACGAATGGTCTTCACATAGTGATACCTTTCAGCCTGTCCGGAACGGAATATCCCAGTCCCAAGTCGCCTATGAGGTCCCATTCCAACTTCTCCAGAAGACCGGTGAGATTAACACATATAGGCACGCTAGGTTTGATGTTCAACCCGGCCACGAGCTCGCCGAATCGTCTCTCATGGTGGGCCTCCATACCGCCCGCGACTGCGAGACGGATGGCTGGTTGAAACACTCTCCGCAACTCTTTCTGCTCTGCCGGGCTGTGATGGCTGACGAAGGTAACCCCCGGTGGACAGAGACCCTCCACAGCCGACTGGAAAGATCCATATGTGATGAAGGAAGTACTGTTTGTGTTGTAGATGGTGTCGTGGGCACTGAGGGAGCAGAAGGAAAGTTCACTTGGTCCGAGACGTACGACATCGCCTTTATCCCGGTTAGTTTATCCGAGCGAGTGAAAGAGTTAAAGAGAAGAGTCTCAAGGGCTTACCATGCTTCTGGTGCTGCTCCCGTATGCCTTGATTCAGTTTGTTTGACCAAAGAACACGAATTAACCATGACTATATCTGTTAATTCTGACCTTGACGACGCTGCGTAGGACCTGACTCACTGGACATAGTTTGGCGAATCGTGGCCCGGGCACTTCAGCCAAAGCATCGGAATATACGTAGTACACAGCGTAGGCAACGCAAAGAACCGATGCCTACAGCGAGACGACTCGTTAGTACAAAAACATCCATGAATGTGAGGGCGAAGAGGATCTTACCACAATCACAGCCTCCATAATGATAGAGAACTGGAATCCAGTTATTATGGAAATTGGTCAGAAAGCACAAATTGCTTTCCTATCTCCATCCACTGGGCGATTCTGGCAATCGGTGCAGGCCCTTTTTTCTTATCTCTCCATATTTATCGGAAGTAGGAAGGAGGAAGGGATGTGACCAAGGGGGTGCGCTCGCGGCCGACCAGAGTATACAATGCACGGCCAAAGTTGATCCATTGGATCTCATTCACACCACATAGCAGGATTGTATCATGTAACGCCAGACCTGCGCTGAAAGATTTCTAAAACGAGAGCGAGTACGCACTGGCATACCACGTTGGAGCAAGGGATGGGGAAGCTTATGCGTTGGGGTGATTGTGATGAGCATGGAATGCACGGGATATTTGCTGGAGAAAGGGCTTCATCTTGCTGAAAGCTGGAAAGCTCAACGGGGGGTGGCTCGGAGGGCATGGTTTGTCCAAACACCCCGAGCAAGGTCAGTCTGCTTGAACGATGCCTCTTCTGCAAAGCTGGGATTTCCACTGGAATAAAGTTGGCAAAAGACGGGCTGGGAAGAATCCTAGGACTGCAAGGGGCAGCTTATGATCATCGTGGAGGCGAAATTGTATCTGCGTTTCATCGTAGGGATGGGAGAAGGAGATGAGATGGCGCATCAAGGGATAAACCAAGCTGGGAGATCGATCTGCATTGTTATTACTACGCATTGTGTGTTCAAACACTCGTGAGATAGGTCCAGAATATTGAACCGACATGGGAGCTAGTCAATTGCTGAAGCATTTCCGAAATATTTTCCGGGCACGACTCGTGCACGCCTGCTGCCCCGGAGTGGCTGACTGGGTCGCAAAGCAATGAACCGCAATAGTCAGAGGCACCCTGAGGATCAACTCAACAGTGCTCTCGCAACTTGCAAGGTTTCTTTCAGCATCCACACTGCGATATTTGTCGCTTTTTTGCTTTGTTGCCTGACCATCAAACTCAATCAAGAGGTCTGGGAGCCCATGTCTCATTTCTATTTCCGAGCCGTCGTCAGCCATCGACATTCTTTCAATGCAGTGAAGAATTGCGCACAAGCATAGGATTGTGCACGGATCAAAGCATAGATCTTGGTGATGGAGGCAACTTGTCGAGAGCGAATTTTAAAATGAGATGTCAAGCACTTGTCTCGCGATCCAAACGTATGATCGAACTGGACAGCACCGAGCTCAATAACATGCTCATATGACCATCTCGAAGTCGTTATGCGCGAAAAGACAACGTAGAACGGGCTAAAGAGGAGGAATTTGTTTCCACACGACCTGCTGATTTCCGATGAACCTCGCCAATATTGTCCGTTTGTATGACTGGCTCCCTTCAACTCGAGGAGTATTCGAGTCTCTCACCTGTCAAACAAAGCAAAAAGAAAATGTGCTTATACAGCGGCACCAGCGATCCTGTGCTCGTGATCTTAACTCCTTGAACGCGTCCTTATCCTCTAAGTAGAAGAAGTGCTCCGAAGATCGTAGTACCCAGTCGTGGGATCTCCTCATTCTCACTCCACAGTGCAAATGGCGCTACCAGAGCGCCGTCCACGCCTCTTTTCCGTGCAACTCTTGTAAGATCATCTTCTTGTCCGCCGTGAGAAGAAGGCAAGTTCAACAGACCATTGGCGAGGCGAATGGACTAGCAAAAGGACCTCAGTTCGGTGATACTGTGTTCGGCAATCAGACACATCCCCCTGCCAAGGGGTTGCAAATCTCTCCGTGAAGCGCTCTGGCATGCATGAACGCTGGCTCAGGTGAAGACAAGAGGGAAGAATCATCCGTAGATGCGTTGAAACCTGCATCTTTGGCTGAAACCACGTTTCACAATTGCGTCTGCCTAAGAAATACCTGGGATAGCCTCGTATTCGTATGGTTATCCTGATTAATTACCGGCAGCACCCGGCACTCCAGAGTCCAGACAGTCAGACTCCACGAGGAATGCCCAATTGGTGGGTATCCACTGCGTATTGCAGCTAGTAGTGCTAAGAGCCTAAAACAATCCGAAACAGCAACTCCGGAGTCTAGATGGACTATATTTTTCCGGCAACGCGATACCCGGCAAGTCAGGGATTATGAGACCAGAATATCGAACCAATTGGATGCGCCGATGTGAGAGAAGGATGAAGAATCCCAGTTGTCACCCCGCATTTTCCTCCACAAATCCCGCAAAGTGCAGCGTTGAGATGTCGGCTGATTTGCAGGGATCAGCATGCTAAGTAGCCAGTACCCAGTGATGCATACAGAATCAGCGAATCGAGAATCATTATGGATGCTTAAGTAGAGGATGGAAACCATCAAGGACAATCTCCGAGGTTCCTCTTGCTGCGATTGCTGGGACCAGGGGAAGCTGAAACTCACCGTGCCGTTAGTATAAGCCCCTACTACCCACCCATCTTGACGAGTGTGACAGAGCTAATGAACCTAATGTGGATTGATCCTCCCACCGGAGCAGAAAACGGGCAAATGTTTTGCGCAAATAGTTCATTTTTGCTTCGTGAACCCGTCAGCAGTACCAGCGGTTGAATGAATAGCAGGCATATATGTAGCAAGAATGGTTCCTCATATCATGCCTCTTTCTTCACCATTATGAGATCGACTAGAGTTCGTTCAGTAACCATGCATCCCTCAGCTTTCGTGGCTGTAGCGTCCTGCCTGGCAGCCTTGGCCCATGGCTATGCCAACCCGGGGTCATGTTCTGGAGCTTGTAACGTTCATGATCCTGCCCTGATTAGAAGACAATCCGACGGAAAGTACTTTCGATTCTCTACGGGCAATAAGATCTCCTATGCGTCATCCTCTTCCATTCAAGGCCCATGGACTGTGCTAGGTTCCGTATTGCCGAGCGGATCGTCCATCAATCTGGACGGAAACGACGATCTTTGGGTTAGTAATTCCTCAGTTGACTGCATCTCGCTTTATTCCACCCAGCCCAAATTTCCTGTCTGATCGTCCCCATGCTCTTCTCTATAACGCAAAGCTCCCGACTTAAGGTCTGACTCGAACTGCGTAGGCACCGGATGTCTCCCTCGTGAACGGCGTCTATCATGTGTATTATTCCGTTTCAACCTTTGGATCCCAATCCTCTGCCATCGGTCTTGCAACATCCTCCACCATGGAATTGAACTCATGGACCGATCATGGTTCGACCGGTATCCAGTCCAGCTCCTCAAAGCCATACAATGCGATTGATGGCAACCTCTTCAACGACGGGGGATCCTACTACATGAACTTTGGCTCCTTCTGGCATGACATCTATCAGGCACCGATGAACTCGGCCGCAACGACCGTGGGATCCTCGTCCTATAATATCGCCTATAACCCCTCTGGAACCCATGCCGTTGAAGGAGCGTTCATGTATAAGTATGGCAGTTACTACTATCTCTTTTTCTCTGCCGGGATCTGCTGCGGCTATGACACATCCCGGCCGGCATCCGGAGAAGAATATAAGATCAAAGTCTGCCGCTCCACCTCGGCGACTGGCAATTTCGTAAGTGAACGCAGGGAGAGACTTCGAATGTTGTAAGGCTGATATTGTCTTAGGTTGACGCTAGCGGTGTTGCTTGTACGAACGGCGGCGGCACGGTTGTCCTCGAAAGTCACGGAACTGTGTACGGACCTGGTGGACAGTATGTCTCTCATCCACATCGCTCCGCCAGTAAAAAGGTTTTAAAGTGCTGATTCTTCACAGGGGTGTCTTCACCGACCCTAGCCTTGGCCCTATCCTTTACTACCACTATGTCGATACCACGATTGGCTATGCAGATGGCCAGAAACGCTTTGGATGGAATAAAATTGATTTCTCTAGCGGATGGCCAGTCGTGTGAGCAAGCGGTTCCTTTCTGTTACACCATTCGCTTGAAGAGTCAGTGGACAGACTTCGTGGTTCAAGCTTGAAGTATTTGAGAGTCATTTATCAAGATATCGTCTGTCAGATATCGAATGAAGCAGTGCATGTGCGGATGAGCAAGTGATGTAGAAGTAATGTAGATGGAGACTGCTGCCCAGGGAAAGAATTTGCTTTGAGCAGGTGCAGAGTGAAGAGCACGCCGTTGGACTGCCTGAGGCCGTACTACTGTGCCATAGCCACTCCTGATGAGTATAGCGGAGTGTGCACACCTCTCTTTCTGTGTCTTTAATGAGGTACGCATATTCCCTCTTCCAGCAAATATTCAAAGGTAATTGCTCACTTGAAGATTGTGGAGGATTAGATCGATGCTCGTAAGCTCAAAATTTGGGCAAAGACGCAGTTATTGTGTATCGAATATTTCCATTCCAAACAGCCGATGGTCAGGTGGTCAGGCATTTTCCACCAATCTCAATTAGTATGACGCTGATTGCTGATTCTCTGCGTTGCAAATGGAGTACTCGAAGATGATACCTGTCATTTTATGTGACTATCACGTATGAAGCTTGAATACAGCAGGGTTCCTCTCAACGAGAAATGCATTTCCGACCCTGGTGGCCACTGGCAAGCGACGCTGCTAAAAGTTATTATGATACTCGATCTGGCAATAAAATCGACCATGATATTTGTCTGTACACTGGGATTTACTGCAGTTGTGGACCATTGTCCTTCCCACAGAAGCAAGCAGCGAGCTGAGCGAATTGTCGAACAGAATGGGTGAATGTGAGAAGAGGATGACGGAATCTCCGCATTCTCAGTCTGCATGAGACTCACTGGTCAACAGTCCCACCAAGTAGACGCGTCGGTCCCTACAGGGATGTTGACTCTGCTGCTCAGCTGCAGCGGACGGTAGCCGGGAGTACCGTTTCATTCATAGAGTCTCCGGCGAATGAGAGGATTATCATTTGGCAAGCGTCTACATCCGAAGTTGAGGTCCATCCACACCTGCTGATGGCTTAATATCGATCAGAATACTATTCGTCTCGATGACTGTGGAGACCTGTAGCGGCGCAGTGTCCACGTCTAGACCTGAAAATGGCTCTGCGTGTGGCTGATTGCGAGACGAATCGATCAGAACACTAGAAATTAACTCCCAATTCAATGGGCGGGTACTACTCCGTACTCGCGGCGTGCTTGGGAATAGACATGGAATTATCCTCATCTCGAAGCGCAAGTCTTCCGACAACGGTCATGCAGAGTATGGAGATTTGCGAGTCAATTGAGAAAGCATAACGCGGCAGGAGAAGCACACTCGACGCTCGATTGGGCAGTATCCGTATGCCTCAGTACAGGGGCCTTTGGCTATTATTTGATGCGATGTCTCTTACACCTGGGCTGAGCCTGCCGCACACATTTGCCATTTAAGCTGCACATATCTGTACTTTAACGAGATAATTCCAGCTCGTTTTACCTGTCACCTTGCTGCGGCCACAGGGGCGGACTTGATGAGATGGCTGGAACCTTCGCTCGTTTGATAGGGCGTCGAGGTCATCGTCAGGCACGTTTGATCAATCCTCTGAGTGATCATAATGGCTAGAAGATGATTGGATCATTCGGCCAATGGATGCAGATCATTACGCCGACTGTCACCGCAGCAGAATCAGCCGGCTTGTGACTGGCTGGATGTTGATTAAGCTACTCTATTTTCCACCAGTGCGCAGATCTTGCCGTTGTGGACATGCAGGCTAAATAAAGGTATTCGTCACCCACTGACGACTTTTTGTCTTGGCACAGCGGAGTATGTTCACCATGATACTTCTGCTGCTCCGGAGAATGAGCAGATCCGCGTATTCGCTTTTCTCCGCGTTGAGAGAAGCAACGGGTGTGCATTAGATGGCCCGAAGCTTGTCATTATTCGGACGGTGTTACTGCTAGAAGCCTAGCAGCTGACGCGTCGAGTTGGGGTTGCGATAGCCGCTACCAGGGAGACGATCTCTTGATGGACTGTGTCTCAACTTCATGGGAAGCGCTTGAATAGCGCTTCAATATGGTAGGTGCTCGTCTATATAAAGGGTCCGACGTCCGCTGGCTGTCCATGATTCTACACTAGACAATCCCCCAGATACTTTGCTACTGATATCGTCACCGAAACCTCAAGATGCAGGTCAAGCACATTCTTTCTCTTTATCTACTCGGAGCCTCCTTGGTGTCCGCTCATCCTGGCCACGAGGAGAAGCGGGCATCTAACGAGCTGCTGGCGTTCAAGGCCCACGTCCGTCGTGGTCTTTCGCTTTGTGCGCGCTCTTTCGATGAGAGTGGTCTCAATGCGCGCGCCCTTGCTCGCCGTGCGAAGCTCGCCAGCGAGTACCGGCGCCGTAAGCTAGCCGTTCGTGACACCGACGACGTGCTCAACACCTCTCACCTGTCCTCGGCCGACTACACGACCTCGACCGACGAGACGGAGATTTTCACCAGCACTGGCACCTGCGTTCTCAACCCCGAGGGCGAGATAGGCCCCTTTTGGGTTAGCGGAGAGCTGATCCGCTCGGACATCATCGAGGACCAGGCCGGTGTCCCCGTTGTGCTGGATATTCAGTTCGTCGATGTCAGCACCTGCCAGGCCGTCGAGGGCCTGTACATTGACACCTGGAGCTGCAACGCAACCGGTGTGTACTCTGGCGTGAGCGGCAACGGCAACGGCAACAGCGCGGACACCTCCATCCTCGACGAGACCTTCTTGCGTGGTATCGCCAAGACGGATTCGGACGGTGTGGTATCTTTCAACGCTCTCTTCCCCGGTCACTACTCGGGCAGAACGAATCATCACCATATCGTCGCCCATCTGAATGCCACCTTGCTTCCCAACAACACCTTGACCGGCGGCACAGTCCCTCATATCGGCCAGCTCTTCTGGGACCAGTCCCTCATCGACGAAGTGGAAGCTACTTCACCCTACAGCACCAACACCATCGAACAGACCACCAACGCCGAGGACCGCGTCTTCTCGGACGAGACCTCTGGCACCACCTCGGACCCGGTGTTCAACTACGTCCTCCTCGGAGACACTGTGGAGGATGGATTGCTGGGTTGGGCCACTGTGGCTGTCGACCTAACAGCAACCTACACACCTACCTATAGCTTCGTTTACACCTCCAGCGGCAGTGAGGCTGTGTCTGGTAGTTCAGGTAGCAGTGGTAGTGCTCCTGGCAGCAGCGGCAGCGCCCCTTCTGGTGGCATGGGTGGTGGACCTGGCGGATTCTGAGCGTCTTGGGTCTGATATAAAGTTAGGGGAGTCACTGCTCTCCCCAGCATGTCTAATTGTCGTTTGTTGAAGTTGTGTGTCTTGACAGTTTAGAGGATGTCACTCGTTTGGCGATAGTCTCCCTCTCTGCAACTGAAATTATTTGTGCTGCGTTTATGTACAGCACTTGTATTGTAATCACTTTGAAAAGCGCAAAGTATTTGATATTCAATACTCAAGACCATCAAGCTTGACTCCTTGAAACATACGGAGTGTTCGCCATCATCGGCTCTACCCGCGTCGGGGAAAGTTTTCCTCTCGGCCGAGGTTAACCACATTCCAACGTCAGTCATGGACTCATGAAATATGAAATGTCATCATCCACCATCTCGAATATCGACAAGTAATCGAATTATCAAAATGGAACCTCGTCCCAAACCAACACCAAGTAAAAGCTTCCTCAAATATCACGCTGGCTGGCGTCGTGTGGTCAGCCACTTTAGCCCATCGTAAGTTTGATGATGGCACAAGAAACGGAACACAACACTGATAATCCACAGATGGTTCTCCACGACAATGGGCACCGGCATCGTCGCCATTCTATTCCATATCATCCCATTTGGACATACATACCTGCATTATGTGTCCATCGTCTTCTTCATTCTCAATATCGTACTCTTTGGTGTAGTGCTCTCCATGTCCATCCTCCGGTACACGCTATACCCCGAGATCTGGGCCGTGATGATCCAGGACCCCACGAACTCGCTTTTCCTCGCGACCTGCCCGATGGGTTTTGCGACGCTGATCGAGATGTGGGTGTTCGTCTGTGTGCCGGCCTGGGGGGACTGGACGAGGACGGTGGCGTGGGTGCTGTGGATTGTCGATGCTGTGGCGGCTGCGTCGGTGACGGTGTCGTTGTCGTTCATTCTGTATTTCCAGCCAATGATCATTTGCTGGCAAAAGGCTGACGATGATAGGATTTCGCAAACGTATATTACGTCGCTTGAACGCATCACCGCTCTGCAACTGCTCCCTATCGCGGCGACGATCGTTGCGGCAGGGACCGGTGCGGAGGTTGCTGGGATCTTGCCAGATCCGCAGCATGCAATGGGTACCGTGCTTGTCTCGTATATCCTCTGGGGAATGGGGACGCCGCTCGCGATGACCATTCTGGTGATATACTACCAGCGTCTGGCGGTGCATAAGCTGCCGTCCCGGGAGACGATTGTCAGTTGTTTCTTGCCGCTGGGACCGCTGGGCTTCGGCGGATTTGGGTAAGCCCTTATTTCCTGTTTTGTATAACTTGATCTGACGAGATAGAATTCTGTATCTTGGAAAAGTTTTGCGCAAACTCGTCGAGACTCACGAAGTGATCGACCCCATGGCGGGATCGGTCGCGTACACCATGGGACTCTTCATTTCGTTGCTTATGTGGAGTTTCGGGCTGATATGGCTTGTCTTCGCCCTGGCGACAATCTATCACGCGTCCCCGTTCCCGTTCAATATGGGCTGGTGGGGATTCACCTTTCCGCTGGGCGTGTATGCGGCGAACACCCTCCTGCTGGGTGAGCAGCTGGATTTGATGTTTTTCAAGGTCTTTGGAATCGTAAGCATTTACCACGGTTTAGAAAGGTCAAATACTAAATCAGATAGATACTCAGTGTGGCCGTCATCCTCCTGTGGCTAGTTGTAGCCGCCCGAACAGTGCACGGCGCATGGCATGGGAGTCTCTTCTACGCACCTTGTCTGCAGAATCTAAAGAGCAAGGAGGATCCAGCAGAAGCTTCTATTCGCCAGGCATGATATAAGGCCCCTAGTGCATAGTTATCGTGATATAGATCTCGCCAATTTTACTCCCATTAGGCAACCCCGCTATCCTCTTTCGTCCGCAGGATGCGCCAAGCAAGACACAGCCAATCCAACCCTGGTCAATTCGGGATATCACCACAGTAGTGCTGACGAGGCAAATTGGAAATTCCAGCCGACCCGGCGCCTCGTATCTGCGACTGAGATACTCACGTGGTGAGATGTATGGTGGATCGCGTGCGGCTGAGGACGATGCGTATTTCATTTTCTGCCCCTCCAAGACTCGCCATCATGTCCCTTTCTCCAAGACATCATGGTACGTCCCCTACACCCATACAGTAGGCATGATATTAAGCTACAGTGAACAGGAAACCGAAAACGAGTTCCCCTTCCTCGAGGAGGTATACACCCCTCCCTCACAGTCCAAGATCGAGTACGGGTCCTTCCTCATCTTGTGTGCACGAAACAAGCTGACATAAGGACGTAGTTTCGTGTTTGTCCACGGTCTCAATCCCCGTGGCAGAAGTGACCACCCATACGAAACATGGCGCCATCAGAATGGCACCTTCTGGCCGAGGGATTATCTGCCGCAGGATATCCCGCACGCGCGGGTGTTTGTGTACGGATACAACTCGAACGTGACGAACCCGCAGGCCATGTCAACGGCGAGTGTGAAGGACCATGCGAATACGCTGTTGAATCTGCTCGATATGGAGAGGAGTCCGCAGCTGGTACGTCTAGCCTTATTTCACGGAATGCGGAGCTGATGATGGTAGAATACGCGTCCGCCGAAGATTGTGTTCATCGGGCATAGTCTGGGGGCTTAGTGATTAAACAGGTAGGCCACATGTCAAAACTTGACGTGAGGAGCGTGAGATTGATGGTATAGGCTCTGCTCAATGCGCATGAAGATCCCAAGTATACAGCTATCCGGCTGGCAACCTGCGGACTCGTCTTCTTCGGGACTCCTCATCGTGGCGCCAAAGGTGTTGAAGTCGGCAAGATCGCCGCCAAGGTCGCTCGCTTCGTATCGAAAGGGCATGCGAGTAATGAGCTGCTAGATTGTCTCGAGTACAATTCACTCTTCACGCGGCAGATGTCTAGCCGTTTCAGTCACCAGCTGGAGGATTACCGGGTCGTGAGTTTCGTGGAGGGTAAGGAGGTGTTGATTGGAGGCGCAGGCCCGGCGTCCGTCAGCCATGTAAGCATCCTCTCCACGCTGATGACCGAGTACTGAAGAAGACAGCTGGTTGTGGACGAAGAGTCGGCCGTGCTGGGCCTCCCCGGCAATCGGGAAACCCGACTCAAACTCGACGCCGACCACTCGCAGATGTGCAAAATCGGGTCGCGCGGCCCCATGTACAAACTCATCAAGGGCAACATCAAGCAGATCGTCGACCAAGTCCTCGTCGCCGAACAAGGATACATCCCGCAACAGTCGACGTCGCCTCATCCGGGCCCACCACTACCTCCGCGCATGCATACCAACAGCAGCTCGCCTTACCCTAGTGCCACACCTCAGACGACCGCCCAGCGCATCGTGGGGACAATGTACGTGGCGGCCGACAGCGACCCGCGCTCGATACAGGCGGCCGAGCACAAGAACGCCGGGCGCTGGGATCAAGCCCGCAACTTGGAGTATGCCATTTTCCAGGAACACTTGCGGACGCTGGGCCCGGATCACAACAGCACGATTGTGGTGGGCTACAATCTCGCCGAGATCGACCTCGAGGCCTCGTACCTCGCCAAAGCAACCGAATGGTGCAAGTGGGTATCCGACCAGGGCCAGCGGATACTAGGACCCCGACACCCGCTGACCCTGCGAGCTGAGAGCCTAATGGGCGAAATCCTCTGCGCACGAGGCCGCTACCAGGAATCCGAGTCGGTGTGTGCGAACGTTCTCGCACGCCAGCAGATGAACATCGGCGACGACGACCTCGACACGCTCGAGACCCGCCGCCGCCTCAGCATGGCATACAGCAATCTCGGCCAGGAGCAGAACGCAATCAACATCGCCGAGAAACGCCACGAAGCCCTGCAGCGCATCCTTGGCCCGCAGCATATCCGCGTGCTGGCCTCCGCGCTCGATACCGTCGAGGTGGTGATCACGTCGCGCACGCAAAACGCCGAGAAGTTCCTCGAGATGCGCTTCAGCGGGGAGATCGCCAACACGACGGCGCAAACGGGCCAGATCGCGCGCGAGGTGACTGACCTCCTCGGGCCGCGGCATCCGCTTTCGCTGCGCGCGCTGCGCCTACAGGGGATCCTGCAGATGCTGCAGCAGGATTCCACCACTGCATCGGAAACACTGCGGCGGGCGCTGGCAATCGCAGAGGAAACGCTCGGGCCGGACCACACGGAGTCGATGGCCCTCGTCGCCACCATCGGGATCATGTACACGCTACACAGCGACGGGGGCAACTACATCACGTTCATGGTGCCGGGGAGCAACAACAACAAGCTGGAGATGGGGGCCCGTGGCTAACGCGGTATCTGTCATGGGCGGAGACACGCAAGGGCAAGGACAGCTCCGACGTGCAGTCCATGCTGGATATGCTTGCGCAGCTGCACCTCGGGCGGCAGCAGTATACGGAGGCGTCCAAGTACTACGAGCGGCTGGTGGAGTCGTACCAGGCGGCAGGGATGGCCGTTCCGTCGCTGGTGCAGACGAATCTGCAGACGTGTCGCACGCATACCATGCTGCTTACGCAGTACTCGTCCCGGGGAGCCGGGTCGGCTATTGAGGGGATACTGAATTCGTTTGTGAAGAAGCGTTTCTAGCCTTTTCTTGCTAATGAGGATATATATAATCCAATCAAGTCATGACCAATCACTCAATCAGTTAGAGAACTTCTCGGGAACCTTGTATCTGCTCCAATTAGCAGTTGTACTCTATATGTAGGAATGAACCTACCCAGTAGCCTTCTCAAACTGCTCCCGGGCGGCATCGGTAATCTTCTCATTCGTCGACCGCATCTTGGCAGAGTCGATCTTGCCGCCGCCGAAGCGCTGTTCAAGAGCGTCAAGGCCTGTGCCATTAGCATACGTCCTCAGCCAGGGGGGAAGGGTATGTACCCTTATCGACAAAATCCTCCTGCTGTCCCTGTGGCTGTCCCTGGGTCTGGTTGGCGGATGTGGATTGGCTTCCACCGAGTTTGGAGGCGAGACCGGAGAGTTTGTCCATTTTCTTTTCAGATATAGAATTTGATATCCTTGAAGTGTTGAGATGAAGGAAGAGAAGGCGAGATCAGGGGTAGAGGGGTTAGTTATATATGGTGGTTTGTCATCCCCCGCAGTGGTCCGCGCTATTGAAGATGCTCGACCCACTGGATGAATAGGTGCAGTCTGATTGGATAGAATAGAAGAGTGGGATAGATTGAGTTTAGATAGGGGGAATTGGTATAAGATCTTGACCTTTGATTGGTTAACTGAACACGGAAACTTCAACCATGTGCCATTACTCCTACTAAACGGGAATAGCAGATCAATAGACACGCCTTAAGTGACTACCCTAGAACTACCTAGGTAGTAACGATCTTCAGAATAGCATGTCTGCACTGGCACCATCTCTCAAAACAACACATCAAGAACGAGACCCCTTGATCAATCTCTGCGCTCGGCACACAATACCCTAGCGCACCAAAGGTTTGACCACCAGGAAGAAGTATGGACAGAATCTAGCAGCCACAACCAGCAGCCGGAGATATGCCATGGGAACAGGCATAACTAAAGGTTCCACAGTCCTGCCATCTTTTGCATGGGATGTAGCTACCCGTTCCACCCAACGTAGCAGTCCAGCACCATTCACCTCTGTCAATGTTGCCGCAGGCCTTCCAGCAGAACCCGCCAGAGCATCCATACGGCGCATCAAGGTAGCAAGCGTTTTTGGTCTGAGTATCGAGGCCATGGTATAAGTCTAACCATATAACCGCTTAAGCCTATAATGTCTTGGCAGGTCGATGACGGCGTCTCCAACGAATTAGTTTCCGACGAACGCCCCCCGAATGGGCGAAGTGATACCGGGGTCATCGCCGCGCCAGCTGAGGTAGCAAACATTCCTAACAGAGTAAATCCAACTTAATCAAACAGCTCATGACAGGACTTTAAAGTCTTCATACAGCAGAAGGCTGCCTGAACATAGACATACTGGCTTGGTGTTGAATTTCTAAGATAGATATTCAAGTTAGTGATACAGGTCATAAGAGCTTAGAGAAAAGTAAGGGCTCCTAAAGAGAGAGTGCAAACAGAAAGCAAGATGATCCACATACATAAAGAAGCGTCAAATAAGACTGAACGTATCATCTATCCCAGAGGTAATTATTCCACAATTACCTGTATTTCATAAGTACTGCATTAGAATAATACAACTGGGCTAAAAAAGGTGATATACCCCTCAGTCTAGTGTAATATTTCAATCCCTCTGTGTTTGTACACCCAAGGGGCAGGAGTTGTACTTCAGGACCAAGGAATGGTTCAGAAAATGATGGACGAGGAACCATACACACAGTTGTCCTCTGGACTCGTAATATCGTCTAGACTGCGAGTACATCTTAACATTAGACGAATACTCGTGGTATCGCCATATCACGCTGCAGGGGCGGGGTTGATATGGTCACACGACAGCATCCGAAGGCACGTTTATACCAGGCTGACCGGACTCGCGCCAATCTGTGGTGCGGTATCAGACGAAAATAACCGCCCAGTGACAAAGATCCTTCTATATCTATAATAACCAAGGCCCCGGTGATTGATTCAAAGGAAGTACGTGGCCGATTGGCAGAGATCAAGTAGAGAGAGGATTTTACGTTGGGAAGTCGCCCAGCCTAATATGTTAGCGGCCGTCAGGGTCTTGGACAGCCCAACAGAATATGTATCTGCCTAGTCTTTGGTCCGTTAATCTATGCTTAGCTTCTGAACCCCAGTCAGCGTTACCTTTAATGGCCTTAGTATTGCACCGCCCCGTACGCGAGGACCCAATCAGGTAGAAGAGAAACATAACCAATGAGTCAATGCTACGTATGGAGGTTCTGCTTGCCATATATCCCTCTTATGACTGACCTATTACGATATGTAAACAGTAAGGGTATACATAGGCGACTACGTCTTGTTTTCTGCTCAGCTTTGCTACAAGTTACCTCCAACAAAACACAATATCAGTAGGAACCTCCCCCTTCCCATTTCACCTACAGGATACAGAGGTATTGACTGTTTGCTACAGATCTAGGAACGCATCCGAGCATGAAGCTCCCTCATAACCTCATCCTGTTTCTTGGATCAACCTCCATCGCATGGGGTATCCTTCTTCCGGCCCCAGGCGCCACCGAAGAAGAATGCGGACGTCTAGGAATCATGTATTATGATCCGGACGATCTCCCCAAAGGGGCAAGCCCCGAAGATGTACGCCATTGCGATGCTCATCCTCTGAGCGCCCAGAACTACTGGGGTTGGGGAGATCACCTGCCCCGGTGGTTGTTCCCTTGAGACACGCAATAGGCGAGGCCAGCGATGAGGCGATCTGGGACGGATGGTGTCTGTCTTTTGTGATTCAAAGCATCACTGTGTCAAGATAGAATATGAGTACTGCTACTACGTTGTGATGTTTTGCTGCCTACTTTCCGGCTGATGTCCGCCTCATGTTGTCTTGCGTTTGTCTGGGCCAGGGTCAGACGGGTGGAAGCGTTGTTACCCAATATAGGACGAGTATATCCTAAGCATATCCGTAATTTTCTGGCCCTATCTAGCTAAGTAGATAAACCATCATCACTGGCATTCTGATGGGAGCGGTATAGCGGGTGTGTGGAACCCTTGCCGGTCGAACAGAAGAGGTGGCGCCGCTGGCAGCGATGTGACCATCTGGCTTGATCGTGCAAGAAAATAGTGAACGTCATTCTGCAGAATGATCATCGTTATATATAAGATTTCCTGTACTGTGGTTCTACCTCGTGACCTTCTTGAGTGTAGTGGATATTGGTCGCAGTGGCCTCTTCCCACAATATCGGGCCCACCAATCACCCTCGATCCAACGAATCTCTATTAGTCTGCTTGACTTTCCCCATGGTGGGATCTGGGGAAGCTGCTTACCCTGAAGGGAAGTTGTCCAGTAACCTCCAACCTGTTCCCACTTCCTCGCTTTGCAGATGAGAAGAGGTTCAGGTCAGAGACGCCGCTTATTGAGGCCTTTCCTACTTGCTCGGTGATCTCCTTTTCCTGTGTTGACAGCAAGCATAACAGGTATCAGTGTGCACAGCAGCTGAACGACTCAATTCCTGAACTAGTGTTCTAGGTGCGCACGACAAGTTACATACTTTGGAAGAGTAAAACTTCATAGTCAAGAGTTTTAGAGCCAGCTGAAGCAATATAGCACACTTCCCAAACAGATCTTCTGCTCCTTCTCAAGCTTATCCCAAGCTAATTACCCAGTTGCTCTCTCTGTATATAGGCTGGATAATTATGATGGTCTGCACAGCCTAAGTTTGGGAACGAGCCCCTGGGGTGACCCTAAGCGCTCATAGGTCAGCCCGCTCAAGTCTAGGACCAATAATGCAGTTAAAGGCCTAGCCTCTAAGCCTATGCTAAGATCCCCTTAATGTGAGTTGGTTAATTACATTTCATGTATACATATTATACTAGGCAATGCAGCATAATAACGCATCTATAGACTCACCCTTAAAGCAGACACTTAGGGAATATAGCTGGGATTTACCACTAGCTAGACCATTTTCCATTCTTTACATCTTCATAAATGTGAAGCAGATATCTTTACCAGGTTAGACTAGACCTACAGATTACAGTTTCTGCAGTTACTATTATTAAGACTCCATGAATTATATTCCAAATATTAATATAATCTATTAGTGGACTGAGCAGAGTCCAGGTCAATCAGCTGATGTGATCTCCACCAACTATATAGAGTACTTTAACTTACTAACTCCTTCAAAGAAGCATTTTACTAATGAAACCAGTGCGGTCATCAGTAGCTTTATCCATCTTAGGGGGCTAATGAATCACTATTACAACCTCTTCCATCTGCAGGGCACTAACAAAGTAGTTATTTACCAAAAGAGGTGTACGGCTGATTGGAAGGATCAGCTAATAAGCTGGAAAAAGAGACCTAACCTGCAGTAACTAGTGGTAATTAATCTTCTCATCATTAACTACCAATAAATGGCCCATTCAGAGATCCGCATTAGTTCTCGCGATATTGTGGCGTGCAGGGCTGAATTGCCTCAGCCTTCTCCTCTTCCGCCCAGTGGTCAATGTGCGCCCGGGCGCACATTGACCACTCAAACAGTTGCGCTCGACCACCACACTCCCTGCTCTCCTCTTCTGCCTAGTGGTCAATGTCTTCCCGGGTAGATATTAGTCACTCAAAGAGTTATACTCAACAGCCATAGTCCCTATTCTCCTCTTCTGACCCCTCTTTCATAAGCGTGACCACAAGTCAATAATAACTACCATAGCAACCGCAGTTTCTCCTTCAACTCTTTTAACTCCCCATCTTTGATGACAATAGCCGGCAAGGAAGAGTCTATAGTTAGTTTAAAGCAGGCCATCTCCTCCAAGATTTAGAGCTGGAGTTACTTACTTAAGCTGTGGGAGATGCTGTGAGTGTTCCTTACTCTAGGCTTATTACTCCACTAATTATTTCCTAATATAGGTAGTAAGTGGTGGATTGCAATCCTACAGTACTATAAGGGGAAGTGGAGAGACAAGCCCACACCATCTCAGACAACCAAGCCCAGTCCTTAGGGAATCAAAGAATCCCACATCAACGCCAGGTCATCAGCGCCGCAAACACCAACATCACTGGACCAACAGTAGTATATGATGCCTGTCAGACCACTAGCGCACTTTTCCTCCCATCATTCAGCTAGTAGCGCTCTGCACAATGGCATCCTCCTAGAAGGTCATCTAATATTATATAAGATATCCAGATTGTGCAAAAGTTGCGTGTCTCCGGTCAGTATCTACCAGGATAGACGTTGACCACCAAAGGAATAGCTTAAGTATTAACTGCGTAATATTTTAGCCACTTAAAGACTCTTTTTCATTTGCCCTATCATTCCATAACAGTCCTCCTGCAAGCACCTAGACATAACTAGCAGCACTCATGACATAGCAGCATCCAGGAGATATTCTTTGCTTCAGCTTGGTTTGTCCCAGCCATATCCGAATATCCATAAGCTTCATTCTATTTCAGCAATGTGGAAGTAGAATATTTATTACCACCTTTATCAATACCCATTAGAAAACTCCAATCGTTTCACCTAATTCAGGTTCATAATCACAGATTATCAAACAAAGTATTCAATATCAACTCTTCTCTGATGTGAATGTGCAAAATATGGTTATTCACTGTGCACAGTGAGCACAGACCAGTCACAGATCACCATTTGCAGGATGCTTGCACTTATTGGCCACATAATACTGAGTACTAGCTACTAACCAACCATTTCTTCAGGAGGAAGCCTCCTAGATTTCGTCACCCTGACCATCATTAATGATACAGATGTTTCGGCGAGTCTATGCTAGCATCTGGGCCGGGAGTCCGGGACATTAGCTTTGGATAGAGTATTAGGATTGGAAGAAGGACAAACATCTTTTGTCTGGCTGATTAGCATGTTCTGACTTGCTTTGATTGGTCACACGTTACCTTGTCTGGAGCCGAAACATTAACTTCAGCCCTGCCTTGTGTATATATAGTCAAAGAGATGTTGCCATCATGCTCAATTCTCCTCATATCAGTACTGAATCAATTTGCAACAGTGTGATCAGTGTCTTTGCCCAAATTTTTCCACAATGGCTTTATCAGCCGAGGCGATAATTGCTCTCATAGCTCTATTCATTGCTTCGGTTCCTGGCATTCGGTTGGTCGTCCAGAACAGAGAACGGCTCCGGCAGTGGTGGAGCCGAGGAACCACTACCGAAGGTTCGGTATCCGTATTGTCTGGTACGATCTTAGCGATGGCTCCATGTCTTTGTGTTGCGGGGTCATTCTAATTCTTTATTGTTATTGTAGTCCATGACCGGCCGAATGAAGAGAATCGGGAAAACGGCCCTCTCAACTATACTCCTGACTCTCATCCAATCATCCCATCTTACCTTCCGCTGTCTTCAACGAGAGATCCACCCTACCATCATCGCTCTTCTTCAATCTTCGAACCCATTTACACTGTGCTGCAAAGATACGAGAATGCCAGTAGAGGACAGCCCTCACAACGACTGGAAAGCGGCATTTTTTTCTTCGCCAGGGTGAGCATTTCCATATATGACAAAATTATTCAGGATTTCAGTTAATGTATGCCTTATGTGGCTTCACAGTCCTCTGACACTGGACAAGCTTGCGGGAATGATTCCTTCGCAGGCGGTAGTACCAATAGCGCTTCTTCATCCCATGAGGAATTACACCAGCTTGTGTAGGAAATTTAAGTTCTTGGATAACATTCTACGAATTGTGTCTATCATTGCCATGTCTTAGTAGTGAATATGCGTGGTAATAAATGTATGTATACATATGGATGTACATATTTCGTCGCGTCTGCCATAGTCCCCCTCCTTAATAAAGAAGCTAGATACTCTCTATATGCAGGAGAATAAAGGAAAGCGATTGTGTACACCGCTGTTCTCACATTATTAAATACTTAACTCTGTGGAGTGACTGTATACAAACCAGGTAAAAACTGTGGATAATAACATAGGAACCGACATTATCGGTAAGATCTTAATGTATGATAGCATTATCGAACAACCGGAGCCTCGCCTAAGATCACGATTATGCGCTTTCAGAAACAATAACCTGCAAACTGTCTCCCTACATACTATTATATGAATTCTGAAATAGTTGTTGATAATCAGGTTACATCCGGGGCAAAGCATTCTATGCCTATATCCAGGCAACCAGCTTGAACCCGGTCATTATCGTCCAATGTAAGACTTTTCCTTGGACATCCCTGTCCGGTTGGGGTCCTACAGACGCTACTGCATTTCTTGTTGGATATTGGCAAGTCTAGTGGGCTTGACCCTGGCTTAGATTCTCCGCAGGGAGCCGTACATAAACAAACAACCGGTGTTCGCACCTTGGATTGGCTGCTGTACCCTGCTTCTGTTGGTTTCTGACACGCTTTTACGGTCATCTCTCATTTGGAAAGAACGTATATGGGTGGCCTGATCAAGGTGTTCTCTTGCTATAAAGGCCAGGAAGCGAGAGTCCAACTTCTCGCATCGTCAGGATTTCACTTTCCCTCCAATCCTCCAGAATTACTTGTGAAATCCCCTATCCGGTGAAACTACATACTCGCTCCGAAAATCTCATCCTCACAACTCACATTGACTCAGATCAGCAATGAAAATCAACATCCTTACCATTCTATCCCTGCTCATCGCCAGCAGTCTCGCCATGGCTACAACCAGATACACCGAGCCTATCCCCGAGGGAATCCCCGTCCTCGAAACACGCAAACAACTCAACGACATGGCCGACCAATATCCCATGGGGACCCTGGACGATAGAAACGGCGGCTACTACCTGCTCGACCACGACGGCACCGTCTTGGCCGTTACCTCTGATTCATTATGCGAGGAACTAGACGCCTCGATGGAAGAAGCGAGAAGAATTCACGCCGATAATCTGGACGATGAGGCCGATGTTGTTCCTAGGGATGATAATGCGGCTGCTACTTGCTCACACCCGCGCTGTCATACCCATGCTTTGTGTCGGACATACAGTGATTGCCATGTTTGTTCGTCGAGCTATCATTGGTGCTTTTGATTCTTTATTTTTGATGCCGCTTGGGATGGATGTCTTGCAGATAAAGGGGAAAACGGATTGAAGCTCATCTCTGAGGATTAAATATGGTGATATTATGACTTACTAGGTATTCAACATACTGTGAAGTGATTGGATACGAATCACTTTTTTGCTTTAGTATAGGTAGAGAAACTACTGAATCAAGCACAATTCTTTATTGTGGTCCGATTGCACACAGTCTATGTGGAAAATGCAGACCCGTTGACACTCGTTATCAAGGAATTAGGTGGAAAATTTGAACACCAGACCAGCCGGCAGGCGTGCCAGCGACATCCTCGCCAGCCCGCTCCTTCAAAATGGATCAGAGGAGTGGATGCCATTCGAGCTCAGCTACACGCAAGGGGTATTATCTGGTTCCTCGGGACCATTCACCTGCACCAGATCAATGCTGTGCACTTACTGAGAGCGAAATTCTACTCCGGGTTGGTACTCCACAGTCGTTCTCGGCATGGTACCTACATACCTCACATTCCCGAGGCTCCTCTGTGGGGGAGTGTATGGGAGGAATCTGGCGTTGAGACCGATGACCACATGCGAACTTTTATCAAACCCCAATTGCCTAAATCCATAGCCGTAATGGATCTCGGATGTGACATCAAGTTCCTACACCTATGTCTCGGGGTGGTTGCATCGCGCTGGGGCTTTCGGGCTGATAATGACCGCGATCCCAGCTTCAGTCACCATATGGGGGGATCGGCTCGTCATGTTCAAGGTGCCAGTATCTTGCATGTATCCTCTGAGATTGTCATACATCGTTCAGCTATGTTCGGATTTCTGGCCGTGAGAGGCGGGACCGACCCCGAGACGAGGCGAGCCCTACCGGCAGAAAGTGCTAGATCGCCAGGACGATCTCGCATTGTGGCTTTACTAAAGAACCTGCAAATCACTCCGGAAGGGAAAAAGCTACTCGGACTGCATTACCCCGGCCCCGCCTCCCCGCACTGTTCGGCTTTTGTGGTCCTTATGTTGATCTCGGACATCTTCCGGGTCGTCATACTCTTAAGAAGTTCCCGTCTTTTAAGACAAGGATTGTCATAGCTATCAGCGACCAACACGACAGCCAGCATGTCAAAATCACCGACTGAGCATATAGAACTTTCACAGACGAAACTTGAGAATGCCTCGGACGCCCTGTACGAGGCCTACGCCTCCAAGGGCCCTGAATGGCACCAGCAGATGACCCGACGCTTACTCCGAAAGGTGGATCTGCATCTCCTGCCCTTCCTGGTGGTGATGTATCTGCTGAACTTCCTGGATCGAAAGTATGCTTCCTTGCCTCGGAGTAAAATTAAGCTGACTTCCTTGAAGCAATCTCTCGCAAGCCCGACTTGGGACATTGGAAAAAGACCTGGGCATGACAGGCACCGACTTCAACCTGGCGACGAGTATTTTGTTCGTCGGATACTTGCTCATGCAGCTCCCATCTAATCTGCTGCTGACGCGCGTGAAGCCGTCATGGCTGCTGGGTGGTGCAATGGCGATCTGGTAGGTTTCCCTCTTGGTTTCTCGAATTGGTCTGACCAGACAGGGGTATAATATCTGCAGCTCAGGCAGCAACGACCTCGTTTACCGGGTTAGTTCTTGCGAGGTTCTTCCTAGGGTTTGTGGAGGCGCCGTTCTTCCCAGGAGCGATCATGTTGATGTGCGTATACAACCCCACACCTAGTATGCATTTGCTGATTTTGTAGGTCGAGTTGGTATACCAGGCAGGAGGTATGTCCACAGTCTTCTGGCATTTAGGACATACTAACCCAAGTAGTTGAGTCATCGAATTGCCTGGTTTTACGCCGGCAGCTCCTTGGCCAACGCGTTTGGCGGCCTTATAGGCGCGGGAGTACTGGGCAATCTGGACGGGGCACACGGGATTGCGGGCTGGCGATGGCTTTTCATCATCGAGGGCAGCATTACAGTCGGTGTATCGCTCTTCTCGACCCTCTGGCTTCCCAACTACCCAGCGACCACCTCCTGGTTGGATGAGACCGAACAAGCCTATGCCCAGTGGCGTCTCATCAACGATGCCGGCGAGGCCGATGATACAAACGCTGTCAGCATCAAAGACGCGCTGGTGATGGTGTTCCGGGACCGACGAATCTATCTCTTCATTCTGCTACAGCATAGCTCGCTTCTCTCACAGACTTTCCAATACTTCTTCCCGACGATTGTCAAGACACTGGGCTACGGGAGCATCGAGACCCTGCTGATCACTGCGCCCGTGTGGATCGCCACGTTCCTTGTTTCTCTGTTGGTGACTTGGACGTCTGGACGGACCAACGACCGCAGTTGGCACATCATCGGGTTGATGAGCGTGAGCGCAGTGGGTTGCATCATCTGCACGGCCACGACCAATATTGGTGCAAGGTTTTTCGCCATGTTTCTGTACGCTGCTTACCTCTGATAAATCTAAAGATATACTGACAACGGTAGGATGCCCATGGGCGCTGTGTCAGCTTACCAAATCATCATCGCCTGGGTGGCCAATTCGTTCCCTCGGCCGCTGGTCAAGCGCTCGGCAGCTATCGCGACGGCCAATATGGTCGGGAACACAGCGACGATTTATGGCAGTTATATGTGGCCATCATCGTCAGGACCGAGATATGTCCCCGGCGGCAGTGCGACGGCAGTGGTTGCGGTTCTGGTGGCAGTGTTGGCGTGGGTCATTCGGATGGTGCATGTGAGGATGAACAAGAGGCTGGAGGAGGAGGAGAGGGACCACGAAGTGGAGAATCCAGGATTCAGATACATTCTGTAAACGTTTTCCTAGTAGTACTAGAGAATAAGTGTGAAACATGCGGCTGAATACCGTTGAATAGTGCTGCCTAGACAATGTGCATAAATTACCCGAAGCAGCAAATGGAAAATGTTATTGCCTAATGCTCAGCCCGGACGACAACAACAAATACTCTGGAATCAGCCCTACATGACCCGCAGTCCCGCGAGCACCGAGCCCTGAATGATTGGCAGTCCCTTCTGGAAGTTCCACTGTTTGCTATCTGCAGCTATCCGATTCGTGGAGAAGAGCCATCTGGAGATGGGTCGAGGATGCTTTACGGCTATCCCGGAAGTATGTCCTGAGCCGGAGAACCGAGTATATCTACCACATCAATATTAGCTATCCTTCACAATGGCAATGGTGACTTCTTCAAAGCAGGCAGAGGCACCAATATGAAGGCCATTTCAACCCTTCTAACTACCCTGGCCGTGACCACGGCGACTCCTCTGGACCTGTCTATCCGGGCCCTCCCGAACGCTCCCGATGGCTATACTCCGGCAAATGTGTCCTGTCCAGCAACACGACCCAGCATTCGTGGTGCAGGCTCTCTTTCTCCAAATGAAACTGCCTGGCTCGAGATCCGTCGCAACAACACTGTCCAGCCCATGAAGGACCTGCTCGGGCGACTCAACCTCACCTTCGACGCTGCGAGCTACATCGACCGCATGTCGAGCAACGCGTCTAACCTGCCAAATATCGCGATCGCTGTTTCGGGTGGTGGATATCGGGCTCTGACCAATGGAGCTGGAGCTATAAAAGCTTTTGACAACCGAACACAAGGCTCGACGGGGTCTGGACAGCTTGGGGGTCTATTGCAGTCTGCGACGTATGTGTCCGGACTGAGCGGAGGAGGGTGGCTCGTGGGCTCAGTGTATGTGAACAACTTCACAACCGTCTCAGACCTCCAATCCGGGGGCGATGGCGACGTATGGCAGTTTTCCACGTCTATCCTGGAAGGCCCCAAGGCCAAACACCTGCAGTTCCTGTCCACAGCCGACTACTGGAAGGATTTGCTTACAGCAGTCGACGGTAAACGCGACGCAGGCTTCAACACCTCACTAACGGACTACTGGGGCCGCTCTCTGTCCTACCAGTTCATCAACGATCCGACCGGGAACGGCGGGCCAGACTACACCTGGTCGTCCATCGCGTTGACCGACGCTTTCCAGCGCGGGAAGATGCCGCTCCCCATCCTGGTGGCGGACGGCCGCAACCCAGGCGAGCTGCTGATCGGCAGCAACTCAACCGTCTATGAGTTCAACCCGTGGGAGTTTGGCTCGTTCGACCCTTCCATCTTCGGCTTCGCACCGCTGGAATACCTCGGTTCCCGCTTCGACAACGGCCAGCTCCCCAGCGGTGAATCCTGCGTCCGCGGGTTTGACAATGCAGGCTTTGTCATGGGTACCTCCTCCTCGCTCTTCAACCAGTTCATCCTGCGGCTTAACACGACCGATCTGCCGGACCTAGCCAAGGAGGCCTTCTCGAAGATCCTCACCGCATTGGGTCAGGACGGCGACGACATCGCCGTCTACGCCCCCAACCCGTTCTACGGGTATCGCAATTCCACCGCGTCCTACTCGCACAGCCGCGAGCTCGACGTCGTCGACGGCGGCGAGGACGGCCAGAATATTCCCCTGCACCCGCTCATCCAGCCAAGTCGCCACGTTGACGTGATCTTCGCGGTTGACTCCTCGGCCGACACGGTCTACAGCTGGCCGAATGGGTCCTCGCTCGTCGCCACCTACGAGCGAAGCCTGAATAGCTCGGGAATCGGCAACGGGACGGTTTTCCCTGCTGTTCCGGACGTGAATACCTTCGTCAACCTGGGGTTGAACACTAGACCGACCTTCTTCGGCTGCGATCCGGCGAATCTGTCCGCGCCAGCCCCCTTGGTGGTCTACCTGCCGAATGCCCCGTACAGCGCGCACAGCAATACCTCCACCTTCCAGCTGTCGTACTCTGATTCCCAGCGTGACGAGATCATCACGAATGGCTATAACGTGGTGACGCGGGGGAATGCAACGGTCGACAAGTCCTGGCCGAGCTGTGTGGGGTGCGCTATCCTGCAGCGGTCGATGTATCGGACTAACACGTCCATGCCGGAGGTGTGTAACAGTTGCTTCAAGGAGTATTGCTGGAATGGGACGGTGGACAGCAAGACGCCTCGGACTTATGAGCCGAGCCAGGTGCTGGGGAGCAAGTCTACCTCTGCTGCTTACAGGGAGGGGTTGAACTGGCGGGTGGGAGTATTTGCTGTTGGGGTGGCAATGGGGATGACAGCGTAGCAGAGGACAGTCGGCCTCAGATTAATTGATGTTGGACACAGCTTATAGATATATATTCCTTAGCTCCAAGTCGTTAATTAAGAAATGAAATGAAACCAGTGAAGTTGCCTGCCCTGCATAGCAAGAATGCGGCATCCCATAAAGTCTGCAACAGTGTATTAATAAATAGGTCCTGTTGTTTCCTAATTGAGAAGCCATTCCTGGAAAAAATTGCGACCACTTGTAGGTCTGATACAAAGTGTTGAAAGGTTTCGCTTGGGTACTATAGCCATCTCGTAGTATGATAATCCAAACTATTCCTACGGCAACACGTCTAAGGGGAGCCCTCTTCTGCAGTATATGTGGACACACGTTCAGCTTCACGCATTCGCCGCCATCAACGCGTAAATCTCCTGCGCGGCTTTGGGTATTTTGCCCTTTTCGCCACCCTCCTCGATATCGATCATCTCATTCGCAAAGTCGCAAAGCGTGGCCACCAGATAATCCACCTCTTGCTCCGTATTCCCAGCATGGATCATGACCCTGACGCGAGACTTGCCTTTGGGAACCTGGGGATAGTCAATGGGAACAACGGCGATTTTCGCCAGTTGCAGGTGGAAAAAGAGCCACCAGTTGTACTTTTGCCGGGTCCAGATTGGTACAATGTGCGTCACAAAGTCCAGCGACTCATAGTCCTCGGCCACGGGAATAGACAAGATACCCATATCGGCGGCTTTGTCCCAGATGTCGCTAGAGGTAATGGATTTGAAGAAGTATTTGACGAGATGTTGTATGTTGTCCTGAGCCTAGGTTTTCTTTTTGTTATTATTGAACCTTTTTTTTTTTTCTTTCAGTCATTTCACCCAATCGTTGCATACCTTCTGTGTGGCACCGGTTCTCATCAGGTTATAGGCTGCGCGAATGACTGCAACCGACGGGAAAGATGGGGCCGTGGTATTCACCAGGGAACCAGCATAGTTCAACATCATGTTTCGGACCGTGGCGTTTCCAAGAACCACAGCTTCAAAAACAATTTGCGTCAGTGATGCCGCTTGAGCAAGGAGTTACTGCCAGGGTCTATTGATCTTACATCCAGTACAGGCCAAGGCCTTGCCGCAGGTGTTCAGTCGAATTGCAACCTCATTTTCCAGACCCAGCAGCTTGACGAGACCGACACCTCTAGGACCCACGACTCCAGTGGCGTGAGCTTCGTCCGCAATGAAGGCAAAGTTCCCCTTGGGACAGATCTCTCGAGCAATCTCGAGCATCTCCACCAGAGGGCAAACGTCTCCATCCATGCTGTACACCGACTCTACAGACACGAGGATCGAGCGTGAACCGTCCTGAAGCATGGGATGAGAGTCCATGGTGGAGGACATGGCCTCTCGAAAGGCGTCAAGGTCATTATGGCGGAAGGCGACCTTGGTGGTGGCCAGCGAGGCGGCCATGCCTGTGTGCGTGCTGAAGTGAACCAGCTCATCGTACACGATGGCATCTCCGGGCCGTGGGATGGCCGTGTAGATGGCGATATTTCCGTTGGAGCCCGAGTTAAACATGAGGGCCGTCTCTGCCCCGAGGAAGTCGGCGATCTCCTGCTCCACCTCCTCGATATAGTCGTAGTTGCCGCCCATCACGCGAGAACCCCCGGAATGCAGCGAGAAATCGGGGTGTCTTGCCAACTCGGCCAGGAACTCACGTCGCAGTTCCCCTGTGAGTCCGAGAGAGAGAAGATCGTTGGAGCAGAAGTCTATCGCGTCTCCTGTTTTCCATGTGCTTTGTCCTCGGGTCATCAAAGATTGGGTCGACCGTCGAACATCTAGAGCCTCCTCGAGATTTCGGTAGAAGGTGGGGGCATCTTTCATGCGGGGAGCAATCAGTTTCTGGCTCTTGATCCAGGAGATCATCTCCGAGACGACCTTGCCGTTAGCTGCCATGGTGGTGAGGTTGCGGAAGGTATAGTCTTCGACAGTGGGTGCAGCGGCCAGCGTTGGTGTCACCTAAAAAGAGAAAGAAAGGAAGGTCAAGAATAACATCGAGTCAATATGCCGAGTTAATTCATAAACCCATTTAAGGATCATCTGGTCCCCTATCGGCGTAACCGGCCGAGGTGCTGCGGGTCGTCGCCGACACGGGTTCCGGCCAGCGAGCAGGACGGGGGGCGCATGGCCGCTGCGGAACCCAGCACATGGGAAATGCAATGCAACATTGTCGGCAACAATCATGTTAATGATCATTTTAAACTCAAATGTAGAGATGGTCCGCCAGGTGACTGACTGCAAAGCAAGCAACTTTTACTTCTAATTCACATCAATGACTATGGGCGAAAGTAACGGCACCAATGGCCACGGGGTAACAATGGGTTCGAAAATGATCAATGGGGCTACTCTCAACGGCCATCCCACCAACGGTGTGCACCCTAACGGCACAAAGGGTACTTCGGCCCATGGGGTCCTTCGCAGTGCTCAAGTGCCCATCGCCATCTGTGGTATGGCATGTCGTCTCCCTGGGGGTTTGACGACGCCCGACGAGCTTTGGGATTTCCTGCTCGCAAAGAAAGATGCTCGATGTCGCGTCCCTCAATCGCGCTATAACATCGACTCATACTACTCGGACACGAAGCAACCAGGGACGGTCTCGACCGAGTATGGATACTTCCTCGATGAGAGCGTCGACGTTGGAGCATTGGATACGTCGTTCTTCAGCATGACGCGAACCGAGGTAGAGCGGGCCGACCCCAGCAACGGCTTATGTTGGAAGTCGCACGCGAGGCCTTTGAAGATGCCGGCGTGACAGAGTGGAGAGGCAAGACTATCGGCACGTATATTGGCAATTTTGGAGAAGACTGGCTGGAGATGTTTGGGAAGGAGACCCAGCCATGGGGTATACATCGCATTTCCGGTTCAGGAGATTTTGTAGTTGCGAATCGGCTCTCGTACGAGTTTGACCTGCAAGGGCCAAGGTATGATCTTCTGTTGGCAAGTTGTTCCAAATACCAGCTCTGTGCTGACACTTTTCCCTAGCATGACGATTCGCACAGCTTGTTCTTCCGCCCTGGTGGCTTTGAACGAGGCGTGTTCTGCTATTAGTAGAGGCGACTGTGGATCCGCTCTGGTGGGCGGCGTCAATCTGATCCTCGCACCGGGAATGTCGATGGCGATGCAGGAACAGGGGGTTCTATCCAGTGACGGCTCGTGCAAGACCTTCTCTGCTGACGCTAATGGGTATGCCCGTGGAGAGGCGGTGACGGCGATTTTCATCAAGCCGTTGGCGGATGCCCTGAGGGATGGCAACCCAATTCGTGCTGTCGTGAGAGCCACATCCCACAACGCGGACGGAAAGACCCCCACACTGTCGCAGCCTAGCACGGACGCACAAGAGGCTCTAATGAGGAGAGCATACGAACTCGGAGGTATTACTGACTACGCGGAGACCGCCATGGTTGAATGCCATGGAACAGGTACGCCGACTGGGGACCCCATCGAGGCGGCAGCTGTGGCCCGGGTGTTTGGAGACAAAGGCGTCTACATTGGATCGGTCAAGCCCAATCTCGGACATACCGAAGCTGCGTCCGGCCTTGTATCATTGTTGAAGATGGTGAAAGCACTCGAGCATCGCGTCATCCCGCCAAATATCAAATTCACCAGCCCAAACCCAAACATTCCGTTCGCGGAGGGTAGGCTGACGGTCCCTACCGATCCACTTCCATGGCCGAAGGACAGACTCGAACGGGTCAGTGTGAATTCCTTTGGGATTGGTGGCGCAAATGCCCATGTTATTCTCGAATCTGCCACTACTTATGGTGTCCCCGCTGCGGTTCACGAAACACCGGAGACGCCGCAACTTCTGTTGTTCACAGCCAACTCGTCAAAGTCGATCACGAGGATGATCGACGGCTACAAGGCATGGGTGGAACAAAATCCGGACAAAGTCAGTGATCTAGCCTACACGTTGGCAAGGAGAAGGGAACATTTGCCGCACCGAGCTTTTGCCATCTTCAGTAATGGTGTGCTTGAAAGTGTGTCACAACCTGCAAACTCCAAGTCTGCGAAGCCACCGAGCGTGGTGATGGTCTTCACCGGTCAGGGCGCACAATGGCCCCAGATGGGACGGGAGCTGCTGCGATCGAATGAAGTGTTCAGGTCTAGCATCCGATCTCTGGACCAACACCTGCAGACCATTGCTGGGGAGAAGCCGCAGTACTCGATCGAAGAGGAGCTCAAGAAACCAGCCAAGAAGAGCCGTCTGTCATTGGCCGAGTTCTCTCAACCTCTTTGCACTGCCATTCAGATTGCACTGGTCGACACGCTCAAGTCCGCGGGAATTCGCCCAGACGCAGTCGTGGGCCATTCCAGTGGCGAGATTGCTGCAGCATACGCCGCCGGGGCTCTCAGCGCTGGAGAGGCCATCACCGCTGCCCATCACCGTGGAGCAGTGACGCGCAGGCAGAAGAGAGTAGGAACGATGGCGGCTATTGGAATGAGTTGGGCGGAAACGGAAAAGTACCTCGTCCCGAACGTCACGATTGCCTGTGACAACTCACCCAGGAGCGTTACAATCTCAGGCGACGTCGACGCCGTCCAATCCGTTGTTGCTGCCATCAAAGAGGCACAGCCACAGATGCTGGCTAGACTGCTCCAGGTTGACAAAGCCTATCATTCATACCATATGAAAGAGATCGGAGAGGATTACCAGTCCTTGATCGGCGAGGAAGTGGTCGGGAGAGCACCATCGGCGCTCTTCTTCTCCAGTGTGACCGGACATGCCCTTGGCCCCGACCACAGAACCTGGTCAAAATATTGGCAGGACAATTTGGAATCCCCGGTCCGGTTCCGCGAGGCTGTCACGGCCATTTTGAAACACGACGTGGGAAAAAATGCTGTCTTCCTTGAGGTTGGGCCTCACGGGGCTCTCGCGGGTCCATTGAGACAGATATTCACTCAGGCTTCTTCTCCAGCTCCCTATGTGTCGGTCATGGCGCGCAACCAGGACTGCAATGCGTCTTTCTTGTCCGCCATTGGAGCACTTCACTCACTCAATGTCGATGTCAATCTCGAGGCCCTCTTTCCCACGGGTTGCTGTCTTCCGGATCTTCCCCGGTACCCGTGGAATCACGAAGGGAGCTACTGGTACGAATCTCGTCTCAGCAAGGAGTGGCGCAACCGCAAATTCCCATACCATGATCTCCTTGGTGCTAGGGTGGCCGAGAGCAGTGATGGTGAGCCTGCCTGGCGTAACATGTTCCACGTTACAAACACGCCGTGGATGCGTGACCACAAGGTCGGAGAGAACATCGTCTTCCCGTTCTGTGGCTACATTGCCCTGGCTGGCGAGGCCATCAGACAACTGACCAATGTTGAGGAGGGATTCAGCGTTCGAAACATCATTGTCAGCACGGCGCTGGTGCTCAGCGAAGGCAAGCCGACGGAGATGATGGCCACGTTCCGGCCGCACCGCCTGACAAACTTCCTAAATAGCGCATGGTGGGAGTTCACTGTTTCAGCCTACAACGGGCGCAACTGGACAAAGCACTGTACAGGAGAGGCCTGTGCTCAGTCTTCGGCGCCCGAGCAGACCCAGGATCCTGCTGGCCTGCCTCGGAAGCTCAATGTTAGAAAATGGTATGAGAAAATGGGCAAAGGTGGCCTCAATTTGGGAGGTTCTTTCCAGACCCTCGAGACGATGACGACCTCCACTTCAGAACAGCGGGCGGTTGGCAAGGTTGTCAATGGAAGGCAGGGAGATGAAGCCAACTACCACATTCATCCTACCGTCCTCGATGCAACCCTGCAGATTCTGGGTGCTGCTGCAGTCAAGGGCTACGCACGCAAAACCAAGACCTGGCTACCGACCAGCATCGATAAAGTCACCGTCCATAGGTGCTCGTCCGATATCATCACCAGCGTCTCCGCTAAGCTGTCGAGTAACTTTTCGGTTGTTGGAGACGGCCGTTGTACGTCCGGAGGCACCACAGTCGTTGAAGCTGTCGGTATCCGGATGTCACTTGCGGACGGTGCCGGTGCAACTGACATTTCGGACACACATGCCGCATCCAGATGTGAATGGAGACCCGACATTGACTTCCTCGATGTGGATGAGCTCTTCCGCACACCGGCAAGCCGAACAGACCATCTGCGTCTCCTGGAGGAGCTCGGGGACATCTGCTTGCTCTTGTCCCAATGGCGTTTTTCAGAATCAGCAAGCAATCCAATTCTGCCACATCTACAGAAATATATGGCTTGGATCGGGTCTCAATCCAGCGCGATTGCCTTCAGATTGCCGTCGACTTGGACAGGCCTTGATCACGAGGCTATCTCCGCTCGAATCGACACTATATTGAGTCAGCTAGCAAACACTCCGGCAGCCCCAGTCGCCAGTGCCATGCATCAAGTCTGCATCAACATGGATTCCCTCTTGTCCGGCGAAAGCCTAGAGAGTATCCTCCCCGGGGAGACCCTAACGCACGTCCATGAATTCCTCGGACAGCTAGACCGAAGGGAATTTATTCAAATGTTGAGCCACTCCAAGCCCAACCTCCGGATTCTGGAGATTGGAACTGGAAACGGCGTCTCGTTGTACCGAGACATCCTCGCCGAACTGACACGACCTGATGGCGAGATTCTCTGCGCTAAGTACACATTGACTGCCCCAGGCTACGTTGTGGCGACAACGCAAGAGAAGATCTTCCCAAATATGCAGTTCGCCAGTTTGGACGTCAGCCAGGATCCGTTTGAACAAGGATTCGAGGAAGCTGGGTACGACCTCATTATAGCTGTCAACGCTCTTCGTGAGTGCAAAAATATCCAGGAAAGCTTGGCCAACCTGAGGAAACTCTTACGTTCCGATGGTAGGTTGCTTCTGCAGGAGCTTTGCCCATCATCCAGATGGATGCAGTATGTGCTCGGTGTGCTCCCGACGTGGTGGGCGGGCCCTGCCGATGGGGCAATCGAGGTACCTTACTTGAGCCAAAAAGATTGGCAGTCGAAGCTTGCAGCTGCAGACTTTGGCGATATCGAGGCCATGGCTCTGGATTCAGAAGAACCCCATCAAGTTACAACCACCATGGTCGTAAGGCAGGTCCGTGATACGCCCATGAAGAAGGTCACGGTGCTTCTGGAGGAGGAAGGACCCGCTGTCACACACATCTTGAGCGAGCTCGAAAAGGAGGGCTACGAGGTGACCAGATGCAGATTAGAGGATGACCCACCGGCTGGCCAAGATGTCATTTCGCTCCTGGACATCGAACAGCCCTTTTTCCACGAGATCGATGAAGCACGCTTCCTGTTATTCAAGGCCTTCCTTCTCGGTCTTCAGGACCGCAACGCCGGGATGCTCTGGGCAACCCATCTTATCGACATAGGATGCCGTGATCCCCGATATGCGCAAGTTCTCGGACTCGCCCGAACTATCCGTACGGAGCAGCTGGCTGATTTGGGAACCTGTCAGATCGACAGCTTTGACAACTCGAAGTCCATTGGCGGATTCCTTCGGGTGTTTGCCAAGTTTCAGACTCGCCAAGGTGATGAGGAACTCAACCCCGACTTCGAATGGGCCATTCTCAATGGCCGAGTGCAAGTCGCACGGTTCCACCCTTTCATCCTGGCCGATGAGCTCTTGGTCTCGGAGGAGTCAAACGAGATGGCCACGCTGAATGTCGGCACGCCGGGACGGGTCAACAGTCTACACTATGCGCGGCATGAACGAAAGGACCTCGAGAAGGACGAAGTGGAGGTCGAGGTGTACTCTGCCGGGTTGAACTTTAGAGTAAGTCATTACGAAGAGATATTGCCCAGAGTAAGTTTCACCGTTACTGACACGAGACGTCTAGGATATCCTGGTCGCACTGGGCATCGTTGAACTGCCGGTCCGTCTCTTCGGAATCGAAGCCGCAGGCATCGTCACGCGCGTGGGGGCAGACGTCAGCCCCGACGACCTCCAGGTAGGTGATCGGGTTGTTTGCTTCTGCAGGAAAGACGCCTTTTCCACATATACAACCACGTTGGCTGCTGTCTGCGTGCGTATTCCCGACAGCCTCACCTTCGATCAAGCTGGAACGATGCTTATACCGTATTTCACCGCGATTCATTCTATGGTCAACATTGGACGCGTCACAAAAGGCCAGGTAAGCAGCGACGGAAGAACTCGATGTTATTGTGTAATGTGGCAGTGCATTTACTGATCAATGGTCCCGTCCCTCCATAGTCCGTCCTGATACACAGCGCGTGTGGTGGAGTGGGCCTGGCGGCTATCCAGGTAGCCCAGATGCTGGAGGCCGATGTGTATGTCACGGTTGGTAGCGAAGAAAAGGTCAAGTATTTGATGGAGAACTACCACATCCCGCGAAACAAGATCTTCCATTCTCGCGACCGGTCGTTTGTGGATGGTGTCATGCGAGAAACGGAAGGCCGTGGCATGGACTTCATCCTCAACTCCCTCTCTGGCGAGCTCTTGCACGCCACGTGGAGCTGCGTTGCTGAATTTGGGACTTTACTCGAGATCGGAAAACGCGATCTGATCGGAGACGGTAAACTCGACATGAAGCCTTTCCTGGCGAACCGGAATTATTGTTGTGTCGACATCGATGGGCTCTGGAAGAGAATCCATGTCGCCAGAGCGTTGATCTTCTCGATCTTGGATTTCTACAGCAAAGGATACATCACCCCGCTACCGATGACAATTTTCCCCGTAGCCCAGACCCAAGATGCATTCCGATTCATGGAGAAGGGACAGCACATCGGCCGTGTGGGCGTTTCGTTCAAGCCAACCGAAGGGGAAACCCAGCTGGGATTGGAAGCCACCAAGAGAGCCCTGACGGTTGCCTTCAACGGGTCCGCCTCATACCTCATGGTCGGTGGCCTTGGCGGTATCGGTCGTGCCGTATCCACCTGGATGGTCGATCACGGCGCCCGCGAGCTCGTCTACCTGTCCCGTAGCGCTGGCCTTACGCCCAAAGATGACGGCTTTGTCACGGAGCTCCAGAGCATGGGTTGCGCTGTCAGGCTTGTGAGCGGAGATACCACGAAGCTCGAGGATGTTCAGAGAGCCATTGCTGCGGCAACATATCCCCTCAAAGGTATTGTACAGATGTCTATGGTGGTCGCCAATGAGAACTTTACTAGGATGAGCTTCGACGAGTGGATGGCGTCGACGGCGCCCAAAGTACAGGGAACCTGGAACCTCCACGATGCTTCCGTGGTCGCGGGTATCGATCTGGATTTCTTTGTGATGTTCAGCTCGGTATCGGGCATTGTTGGACAAGCCGGCCAAGCAAACTATGCCAGTGGTAACAGCTTCCTAGACGCGTTCGCCCAGTACCGGAACGGCCTGGGTTTGGCGGCCTCGGTGGTTGATATGGGAGCCGTCGAGGATGTGGGATGGATTTCGGAGCACCAAGGGATGATGGGGAAAATGTCCAGGAGCGGCTTCAAGCCTGTACTGGAGCAGGAGGTCATTGACGCCATGGCAATCTCCATGTTGGTCCACAACAAACCCGGTCAAGCCGTCGCCGAAGAAGCGCTTGCAGCCGATTCAAACGCCACGTCTTATTTCGTGCACAGGAATACTTTCCTCGTCGGCCTTGCTTTGCTCATTCCATTGCACGATCCCAGCAACTACGTGATCTGGAAGAAAGACCGCCGCATGGCCTCCTATCACAACAATTCTACGGTGGCGGCCGCAACCGCAGCCTCGACGGATGTCCTGAAGACCTACTTGAGCAGTGCTAAGGCGGATCCTTCCATTCTCAAGTCGCCAGAAGCAGCCAAGCTCTTTGCGGTCGAGATCGGCAAGAGGCTCTTCGACCTGTTGCTTAAACCTCATGAGGAGCCTAATACGAGCTGGCCACTGCTGGATCTTGGCCTGGACTCGTTGGTGGCTCTTGAATTGCGCGCTTGGATCAAACAGGTCTTCTTGTTTGATCTTCCCATGCTGGAGATGATGAGTATTGGCTCTCTTGACATTCTCGGCCAGTATGCAGCAAATGAGGTTTATAGAATCGCGACAGAAAACAACGAGAGCTAATCCATCCGCCATGCGGATTGCCACTCGGAAAGGGTACGTTGTATCGTTCTACTACTTGCTGCGATACAGGCTTCACCCCTCCTTTGGCATCAAGCACAGGATCGGTTGAAGTATTCCTTGCATCTATTCATGTTTTTCTACATTCTTTGTATACCGTTCAGACCGTACATCTATGTGAGAAATGCCAAGTATCTATCTGTTCTCAGAGGCTTTCATAAGTAATCTTCTACGGTCCATGAGGAGTGAATAATGGCCTCGTCCGTGTACAGGGGCAGGAAAACTCAAGGCCTCCGAATTGGTGGCATGTTGGTCTGTATACGATGTACGAAAGGCATTCGCTCGTAAAGATCATGGTTCTACAAGCCTCAACCCAAAGTTATCTCATAGTCCTTTGTCCCCCGGGCTCAAGGTCCGCAGTTGTTGGCTAACAGACAAAGGTCCGTCTTGGTGGCCACATGCCTCCCCTCGGTAGCCTCCGGTCATCCAGGTTTCTATGTAAGCTAGGGGCCGAATTGAATCGTACGACATTGACTTGATAGACGAACCGAGCATGTCACAAATGCTGCGTGCATCAACCGGGCGGTCGGAATCCGAGAGCCCGGAGGTATCAGTGGACGGGATCCGAGTCTGACAACTGAGGTCAGGGAGCGAAAAGGCCCTATATGCAATTATGAGACCTCCTATTCATAAACCCGCATGCAAGCAACTAGCATATCGGCCATTTTCACCCACTCCCATCTTCTCTACCATCAATACATCGTTCGGAGCCCATCCTCCAGAACTCCAAATGTGGCGAATCCCGACAGACGTCCCGCAGGTCGCCGAGCCCAATGGACTCAAGCTTGCCGAAGTGACAGTCGACACGCCCTTGGACGAAGTGTTCAAGCACTGGAAAGAAAGCGGCGGCGTCATCCTGAAACACATGCTCACCACCGCGGAGGCACATCAGATCACCACAGAACTCGAGTCCCGCATCGACTCCGTCCAACGGGGCTCCCGGGTGCCCCATGCGGACCTGGCAGCCTTCCACGGCACCAAAACCAAGCGTGCCGGCGACCTAATCAACCACAGCGCGACGTTTCGAGAGCGAATCCTCGAAAACGACTTCATCCACGCCATCTGCAAGCGCTGCTACAGCGAAGGCGGGCATAACGGAGACTACTGGCTCTCGGCGGCGACCACACTCAACGCCTCCGGACCGCAGCCCGCGCAGGTCTTGCACCGCGATCTGACCTCCTATCCACCATACGCCCTGCTCGGACCTGAAGGCACAGAGCCACAGATCAACTTCCTCTTTGCCTTTTCAGACTTTACGGATGACAATGGCGCAACGCGCATCATCCCCGGCAGCAACAAATGGCCCTTCCATCAGCGCGGGAACATGGGACAGACGATCCCAGCCGAGATGAAGACTGGTGACTGTCTACTGATCGGGGGGAAGGTCATCCATGCCATGGGCGAGAACAAAACGGAGACGGAAAGGAAATGTGTCCAGCTGACTGTCATCCCCAGTTTCCTGACGCCGGCGGAAGCACATCCTTTCATCATCAAGCTGGAAACCGTGAAGACGTTGTCGAAGCGCGCGCAGCGATTTGTGGGGTTTAGATCGCAGTACCCTCGGGGCTCACCAGGCTTGTGGACAAAGGATTATATCGAATTGGCATTGCATCTCGGTTTGGACGATCTTCCCGGTGCGATGGAGGATTTGCAGCATGTTCTCAACCAGCCCAAACAATGGGATACAATTGATTATGACAAGATATGAGAGTTGTACATGAAGCTACCAGGTCCTCGGTTACTTCTTAAATGATATACTCTACATGATAGTATGCAAACGCTTTATCCATCTTTTTTTTTTTTTTTTTTTTTTTTTTTTTTCCCCCGACTATTCCTCGAAGCGCTGGTTCCCCAAACCCTGCGACTTCAGATCAATCTCATCCACGAACAGCGAAGTCACCAACCCCAGTCCACTAAGCCCCGTCATTGTGTAAAAGATCGTCTGGAAGCACTTTAGATAGACCCTCAGAACCCGATCAAGCGTTTCAGCAGGAACGTCTGTTGATCTTAGCTTGTCAATAAAGGCAACCGCATTGGTGACGTCCTCGAGAGGCGCCAGAGGACCGGTAAGTTGGACTGTAGTGGCGGAGATGGATGTCGAGAAGACAGAGTTGAAAATGGTTGCAGAGATCGTGAGGCCGACGAGACCGCCAAACATGCGGATTGTGAGAAATTGTCCGATCGCCAGGCCTGTGTCGTCGACGTTTTTGACGCTCGCCTGCATGGGAAGAAGGTTGAGACGCAGCAAGGCAACACCCGCTCCCCAGAGGATGGGAAGTCCGAGCCGCATGGATGACGACGATCCTACGTCGAACAGGGCCAGCAAGCCGGTTCCCAGCGTGAGTATGATCCATGCCAGCCTCAGAATCCATACATATCCACCAAACCACGGAACCAACATCATGGAGGCAGCGGCGACCACCACGCTAATGATGACGGTGGGCAGCAGGGAGACGGCCGATAAAATGGCAGTTTCGAGTTGTACGGCTTGGTAGATCAAGGGTAGGTACTGCAATAGCGAGACCAGGACCGCGCCATGGAGGAAGCCTCCGGCTAACGTCATGTTTCCAGTCTTCGAGTGGAAGAGTCGATGAGGAACAATAGGGGCTTCGGGTTTCGCTTCGTAGAAAGCAAATATGACCAGTACCGCAACCCCTAAGAACAGTGGCACGAGAGTCTGCCAGGCACCCCATGGAAATAAGGAGCCCGCCCAACTGAGGGGTAACACAAAGATCGTGATCCCGACGACGACCAACACCATACCAATCCAATCGAGGCGGTTCAAATTCTTGGCTAGCGATGCATCGAGGGGGACTGGTCGTAGCTTGAGGAAGAAGAACACCAAGGGTGTACCGATCCCTAGCAACGGCAAGTTCACCCATCCAATCCATCTCCAGCTCGCATAAGTCGCGAACAGTGCACCCACTGAGGGCCCCATGATGTTGCCAATCGCCATGGGAATGGCCATCAAGCCCAGATATTTCGAGCGTTCCTGCAGCGTCGTCATATCTGCGAGGATCACCTCTGCCAGCACGTCAATGCCTCCACCTCCGAACCCTTGAAGGACGCGGCCGACGATAACCGTGTTCATATTTTGGGCCACGGCAAAGACGATGGATCCGATGAAGAATAAGGCCATGGAGACGTAGAGAGGCGGTTTCCGACCGAACGCGGTGGAGATACTGGCCCACACCGGTTGCATGACGAGGCCACATAGGGTGTAGGACAAGTTCGCCCAGAAGGACTCCAAACTCTCGCCCTTGAGATCAGCAGCTATGGTCTACCGGCGAGGTTAGTCTTGGGGCAATTCAGCACCCGATGAGAAAACGTGGTATTGCTCACTGGAAGGGCGATACCGAGGGCCGTTGCATCCACCTGGAACACAAACATGCTGGCAGCGAGGCCTATGAAAGCGAGTTTAAAGGCTAGTGATTTCTTTGCTGTCCGCTCAACATCATCCTCGCCATTTCTCTCTGCAGGAACTTCCGTCCCGCCTGCCTCTGTCTCTGCGTCTGTCTCTGTCTTTCCTTGTTTTTCTGACATGGGTTCAGAGTCTGGTTCTGGTCGAACTGCGAATGCGGATATCTCGGCGCTGGCGTCCGTTCTGGCGTTAAACTCGGCCTGGCCCATGCTTGGCACGATAGTTTAACTCTCAGACCACGTCGGCTTAGGGCTCAAGCTCAATCACTCACACAAGTTGAAATAGAGTTTTCAGTTGCAGAGAGAAGATGCTTACCAACGGATTGGTCCACCGCAGTGTGTGGAGATAGGGGAATGGAGGAGTGTCTATCGGGAGTGGTGATTTCTGTATTTGAGCAGCCAAGAGACCCCTTTCCAGGATCACATATTCTTCCGGATCGCTGGTCGATATTACTCAGCAGAATCCGGACCGTCACGTGTCCTGAGGATGAAGGAAGCAGATGAAAGAGTATGTACTTTACTCTGTAACAGTGAATGTCGTTCCCAAGCGTGGACTGAGTTTGGAAGATGACAGCTGAGCCTAAGAGGCGCCGGTTCCGCGCGGGTTCCGGTCCCGAAGGCTCGGCCCGGTTGGTGGAGCAAACTAACCTGGGCAGCGCTATCATGAAAGGCAGTGACTGCGACCACCACCAGGACAGGACCACGATCACGGTCACGACCAGAATCATCTTTGTCGTCAACCCAGAGGCTCCATTAGAGGCAACGCAACTTGTCATGGGTTTTCTTGGATTTGGGAGGGAGTCTGCCCCTCCGCCGACCGTACCAACCGACACAATCATTCCCTTCCACTACTGGGATGATGACCATCATACAAGAGGCCTTTCCTTTGACGTCACGTTCCGCTTCGATGACATCCTGGACCCGGAGAAGCTTCGGTGTGCGCTATCCCGGCTGCTAGAATTAGGAGACTGGCGGAAACTCGGTGCTCGAATCCGAAGGAATGCAGAGGGGGGTCTGGAGTACCATATTCCGCAATGTTTCGACGACAAGCGGCCTGGCTTCGCATACTCCACGGTCGCATATGACATGAACGTGGCCGACCATCCACAAACATCGCGTTTAGCTCAACCTCACCACCTTGATGCCGCTGGTCGCCCGGCCGTTCGGGGCATTACATATACAACTACACCCGAGTTCAGATCATTCATCCGGACTCCTGCTTTCCCCGATCGCTTGGAAGGTTGGCTTTGTTCAGACAGTCCCCAGCTGGGGGTTCGCATTATCACCTTCCTAGACGCGACACTTGTTACCGTTTCTTTCCTTCATAGCTTGACGGACATGATGGGACTCGATGCCGTTCTGGACGCCTGGTCTGCAGTGCTGCGCGGACGAGAAGATGAAGTGAAGCCGTTTGTGGGATTCGCTCGTGACCCTTTAGCTGGCCTCACCGGGTCGAAGACAGAACCGCTGCAGAAATACGTCTTTGCCGACACGCTGCTCATAGGGTGGACCTGGTTTTTGTTTGCATTGCGGTATATCCTTACGATTGAGCTGTTTTGGCAGCACCGGGAGGAGGAACGGGTTATCTTCTTGCCCGCAAAATACCTGCAACAGATGCGATCTAAGGCGATGGCGGAGCTTGCATCGCGCGACGCCAACGAGGGCGACAGACCCGTTTTCGTCAGCGAGGGTGACGTTCTGTTTGCTTGGTGGACGCGCGTGGTTCTCCGAGCCGAAAAACCTTGCCCCAGCCGCACAGTTAACATGCGGAATACATACTGTTGCCGGTCAATCTTAGCAGAGCTGGGCCACATACCATCCGCCACATGTGCATTGGTAACCAATGCCGTATTCGCAACCCTGACATTCCTTTCCGTTCGCCAGGTTCTCGAAGAACCTTTAAGCTTCACCGCACTTGAAATCCGCAAGTCTCTTATACAGCAACGGAATGCCGAACAACTCCAAGCACTGGACAGCATCCAGAGAAATACACTGGACAATGCACATCATCCAGCCCTATTCGGAAATCCTGGTATGTACACGGTAATGATGTCAAACTGGGTCAAAGCAAAACTGTTCAAGGTTGATTTCTCCGCTGCCGTCATAAGAAAGGGAATGGCAACGGACAAGCGAAGCAATCAGCTGGGCAGACCATCTTGCATCCAAGGGACTGGGACTAAAGGCTACGCGACGCGAAACACTGGCGTGGTGATTGGAAAAGACGCTGCGGGTAATTTCTGGTTGTTGTACAGCTTGCGGAAGGAAGTCTGGCCGGCTGTAGAACAACAACTTCTTTCTATGTCTGATGAAGATGCCACATAATCATCGAAGCCGTGCTTAGTGGCTAGCACATATAATGTATAAATTGACAAAATCTGGCCACTCAATCTCATGCGAGATGCCCCTGGGGCCTTTTATCGTAACCGGCTACTACCATCTTCCTTGCACATCCTCTCCCACCTCCTCCTCAACACCGGCACGACAAACCACCCCATCACCACGCTCAACAAGGAATCCATTATTCCAAGTCCTCTCTTGGGGCTCAACCCAACCATATTCGTAAACAAAAGGCTCGCGGCCAATGAATCCTCGCAGATAATAAAATCCCCTTTATCTACCCGCGCAACTATCCCCTGGGCCACTTTCTCCGAAGAAGGGAATTTCGCCTCCAGCTGCGCGAAAGTGGCGACGTTGGTTCCCTGTATCCGCTTCGTGAGGTCAGGTTTGGTGTCTTGTTCGAGGACGAACCCAGGGGAGATGAAGTCGGCCGGAAAGGCGATGTGGATTGTGTAGGTGGTATTGGCGGAGTTGTGGCGGAGGACTTCCAAGCGGAGGGTGTCTGCAAGGGCTCGGACCGCGCTTTTGGCAGCTTTTTGAGTTGGATGGTGTTAGCCGGAAGATGACAACAAAACTTCGAAATCAACAGATCAAGATCATGGGCTTACGCGTATAAGCAACGCTCCCGGGTAACCCCAAGAACGCCGCCGCACTGTTGGCGAAAACAATCTTTCTGGGTTTGGGTCCAGTGGTGTTGGTTGACATGTCGATGCCGGTAGGTTTCTTGTCGTCCTCAACCCAGATATCCAACATGGCCTTGGCAGCATAAGCAGAGGAATAATAATTATTCTTCATGCAAGAATCGAGCTGCGTGGCTTTGAGATCGATGAAAAACCCGTTCTCGGCATGGTTTCCCCCCGCGCAGCAGTACAGGAAATCCGCGATTCGGGGTTGGGATCTGAATGCTTCCGAAACCTGTGTGCTGGTTAGGGGGAAAGTTCTATTCGCATGCTGCAGTAGCAACGTACCTCAGAGGCATCAGCCATATTCACCGCCACGGCATTGATCTCTTGCCGATCCGCATCCACACAATTCCCGACTATCTCGTTCTTCGCATCTGCTAGAGGACCCGGCCGTCGCGCGAATATTGTGACATTGGCACCTTGAGCTTGGGGATCAGTGAAAATATAGGCTTTCCGAACGGGAGGATTCACAAACCACGCGCAGCAAGTATGTTGGAAATCGCTTTTCCTAATCCACCGGAGCCACCCGTTATAAAGGCAGTCTGCGAGATCTGTCAGCGAGACCAGTACCAGTATCCGCAAAATACGTTACATACCTTGCCAAACAGGTCCTGATCTGGTTTCATGCTTTCTTTCCACTCTGGGCTCTTCCAGGTTCGGTGTCAGCAGGAAGGTAAGATTGCGCAATTGAACATTCAAACAACGACTCGCGAAGTCAGGATCAATTGAACCTCGTTCCATCGATCTTGTCAAGCTCTATGGAAAATATGGAAATATTATGCCAGAGATGCCAGAGAATGCAAGGAGCCAGTCGGCGCCCTCGCCGGTCTGACCAAAGTGGGCGCTGATGACGGGTCCCGTCCCCGAGATGAGGGAAGTACGGTCGCTCCAACATCTTCAAATGAAGGTCTAGTCGCTCTTCAAGGATTGTTGAGCAGATAGCGCGTTCTCTTTCGTTTCAAACACAGACTCCACCATTCGTGTACTCGGTATGTCAGCAACGGTGTCCTTAACTAGTCTGCCTTCAAGGGGGTTAATCCGCCTCGTTAATGCATCTAGTCTCTAGTCTCCCCCCAATATCTAGCTCACACTTACCCCTCCGTTCCAGTCTCACACTACACTGTCAACCCATATGCGCAGTAAGCAACGTCCGCAATAACTGAGTCCCGAGCATATATTTTTAGCGCCCCTTTTTACTGGTCGGAACGTTATGATGAAGGTGGAATCCACAGATTTCTGGTTCAGTCAGGCAAACATCATAAGCATGACCAATTAGCCGAGGGGATGGGAACCACGCCGAAGAACATATTGGCGCCAGGTAAGGGGTAGTAAACCCTCCCTGCAGGTAAGCTTACGTCCATTCACCTCTTCCTGCTGAGATAGAGGCTGACTGTGCTCGAGAACTGACTCGCTAAGGATCAGCGGAAGATCGCCGGGATGTGCCGCAGGTCATGTTTCTCCAGAGGCGGAAGCCAATTTGTCTGATGCTCTCCGTGCTTGGGTGCTAGTGCAGCTAATCACACCATCACGGGCGTCAATCTGCTGAGAGGCGCGCCACCCCCTCACGCTAGTGTCAACATTCTGCAGAGGTATGATGCATAGGGTTGTTGTATAAATGTTAGCAGGACAGGTTCCACAACGCGGCATGGCACCGTTGCATTTGGAGAGTCTTCTTTGGTGTGACCAAATGGCAAAAACTGTTTGGGGTGTGGCTTCGCAGTGTACCCTGGGCGCGTCTCGCATCTCAACTGAGCTGGCGTCAGTTCTATCGAGACAGACTGTAAGAGAGCCGCATGATATCTGACTATGCTCCGGAGCTCCGGGAAAGTACCTCCAAACCGGAATCACTCAAGTTCCTGTCTCGCGAGTAAATTATCAGCAGCTCCTCCGTAGTTCGCAGTCTATCCTCATAGTCAGACCTAAAACCATATACGAAACTCAACCATTTCAGAAATGTAATTGCGGAATTATTGCACGGGAAAGCTCCGGAAAGCTACATTAGAATGTTATTAGGTTATCGAAATAAGATTTCGGTCAATCAGCCGTGGCGACCAACTGCGGAAGCGAATTCGATCATGGCTTGATGGAATTCAGCCGAAACTCGGCAACAGTATATTTATCCAGCAGATCCACATGGACATCGTGACTACTTCGCCTCCATGTTCGAATACTTTTCAAACTATCTTCGCTTCCCCTCTCGGCTGACATACATAATGGATTACTATATACTACGCTAATATATTCGTCCGACACTGAGATATGAGCAGCAAATCTAGAACGTTGGAGAGTACATTTTCCTCTAACCTCTTATCAGGCTGATGTTGTCTAATTGGGCTGGACATCCAACCACTCTCCACTGATGCGCCCTGGTTGGCCCTGTGCATGCTTGGCCTTGGGCCCTAATGACCCTTAGTCGTTGGTGATGTTCAAGTAGCCCCCGGTAAGAATGCATGCCAACATGCAGAAAGGAAATGGACCGACGGTGGTAAACCCCCACTGCGGCTGGCAAACGGAGCCTTATTCTCCTATAAATGCTCTTACCCGCAGTCATTGTAAGATGTCAAGCTGTACGTTAGACCCTGTCGCCACCTGTCCCGAGGATAATCAAAGATCTGCGCGGCCTACGACTTCTTCCTGGCAAACCCGCGACAATGGCCAAAGAACTTAGTAGAGATGAGTACACAGGTAGGCGAGCCTCGGATATGCGGCCCCCAAAAGCAAGCAAACCATAGGTAACCAATCATTTCGACCAGTATGTGACCAATGCCGGACGAGGAAAATACGCTGCAGTCGAGAAAAGCCCTCGTGCAGGAACTGTGACCGCCTGGGCTTGCAGTGTGAGTGGTCCGGTCAAGGCAAAAAGTGCAATCAAACAACCCTTCTGTATGTACTACGTCACTACTTCACTACTTCCACGCGTTGCTGTTCCGAGCTCATGATTCATAGAAGCCATACTATCCTGGGTATGGGTAGTCGCCTTGAACAACTCGAGGTAAGCTGGACGCCAAGTCCCACATACATCTGTAGACGATGTCTAAGAACCGCTTATTGAAGACTTCCTTGGCGGACACTCAAAGGTCCTTGAAGCGACTTTTCGAGGGTTCATCGACAGTCTCACCTTCCTCAAGACGCCCAGCCAGCCCAGCGAGTCCTACACCGCAATTGAGTGATCAACGGTTCCCCGACTCGTCACAATCGGCCTTATTCACGAGGCCGCTTGGCCGTTTTCTAGTGGACCAAAACAGTGACGAGAGATGCTTTGGCCCGACCTCTCTCGAATCACTAATGCTCAACATCAAGGATGAGCTCGTTCAGAGTCCCGACACCGACAGGCACACCGTGAAGGAATGTGTGATGCGAGCACAACGCAAGATTGATCTTCTGGTTGGCCAGGGAGAAGAGATTCCCACTGGGGAAAAGTCACCGCCCGCGATGCCTCCCTTTGCCATTTTGGACGCAATGATCGAGCCATACTTTACAACAACCAACGATCATTTTCCTATCTGGTCCAAGAAAAGGTTCACTCAAATGGCTGCGGCTTTGCGGCAATCCGCGCCATCCGAACGGGACCTTGCTTCTATCGTCTGCTGCAACAATCTCATCCTCATGGCCATGTCAGCGGACTCCCTAGGCTCCCACCAGCGCGAGTCAATGATGTCCAAGCAGACCCGCAAGGCGTCGTCAATCGACTTTGACCTCATTGCGGGCTTTTTGACAAACGCGAAGCGCGCTGTCAGCAATATTGACCAACTTGTGTCGCCGCACCTCATCAATGTGCAGGCACTGCTATCTCTGGTAATATTTCCGACTAATACTCACCATTTCCTAGTTGCACCGAATCACTGACAAACGAGAAGCACATGGTCGCGCAAGTGTACCTCTCTATAGGTCTATCCGAGACGCTGCTAGCTCTAGCAATCAGATGTGCAAAGTCCATCGGCATCCACCAGTGGCACTCCTTTCAAGGTCAACTGAGTGAGGACGACGTCAAAGAAAGACAAAACCTTTCATACTGCTTATACATGCTTGATAAGGCCGTTTGCTGGACGGCCGGGTCATCTCCCAGTATACCAGTCTCCGAAGTCCATTTCGACCCACGCCTGGTGCCTTCTGAAAACGGTATCCCACCCTGTCTCGTTGCAAAGGCCGAGATGGCTAGGATAGAGGAGACCGTATACTTGGAGATATACGCGGTCCATGTGCAGGCGAGAGACGAAGATCAAGTTCGCGGATTCGCAGCCACGATTCTGTCAAAACTTCAAGTCTGTCTCACCGAATCGGGAGTTGACTTGGACCAGATACAGAAGTCTTTTGACGGCTCCGCTTCGAATCTGCAGTTGGCAATCAGATATCTCTCTGTTCAGCTGCTCCTCATTTGGCCCATAAGCACCATCCCGATCCCATGTTTCAACGGGCTCCCGAGGTCGCTCGAATGTGTTTGAAACTCTTGTTACGCCTGTGGCATTCCCCACCCGACCAAGGGAGCCAGGCTGTTTTCTCATTGTAATGACTCTTTCTCTGACTGCCTTGTATCTTTTGAACCACCAATGGCTGAGACTGACCGTTTGGTTCCGATATAGCTTTCTCGCCTCCCTTCCGTCACTATATCTTTACGAAGTGCTGTCATCCATCCTCTGTGGTGGGGGGTCCAATCGGGACATCGACATGCTTCAAGAATTCATTGAGATGCTCCAGACCATTACCGACTGCCGCGCAGAAGCCTCATACAATCGACGGCTGTACCAGCTGTCACTTATTGTCAACGACGTGGTAAAGGCCAGGAAGGCTCAGCACAAACGGCAGAAGCCGACCTCGGAAGGACCAACAGATCCTTACTTGATGTCAGAGCTACTCTCGCCCCCAACCAGCGGGTACAGCTACATGAATTCAGAAGTTCAAGAAACCTATGACTCACGCTTTGATGGTGCCGTTTTCCAAGATGCAGATGGTTCGTTTGCCCCCATGGGTCCAATCACCTCGACAAGCGGCGAGTTGGCTCGAGGCTCAGATGAGTTTCTGTCGCAGTTGAGGAGCTACGGGAAGTCGGCTCCCGGGAACGAAAACTTCAATTCTCTGGCCATGGAAGCCCTGGGGGAGTCTCTTCTCTTTTGGAAGGGCGTCAACCAAGGGGCCAGTGCTGATAGTCCGTCAGTCAGGTGCGATTTGGGGAAAGGTTAAACTATATATGAAGAGGAATTCTTAGAGCGGAATTTGTAGGCATGGAAAAGAACTGGCAGCGAAGGAATCTTAAAGGGCAGCCATTGCAGTCTATTACAAGAGATTAGTCGCGTGCAATCAAATATGTGCTCACAGACAATCTGTCTAAAGTGGGGCCCCAGCACTCTGCCCCCATATTTGCCCTATACTGATACCGAGTAACTGTCAGACAGTCGAACGCGGGACGGCGCCCGAGCCCCGGTGGCATAAGGAGTTTCAAGGCTTGGTTGTGGTAGAAGTTACACACAAAGAAAACCAATCATACGACTGGTCTCAGGTGGCACGGCTTCAGCCGATGCCCAAGCCATCGGTCAGCGATTTGATCCTCTAGATCATTGAAGTAAGGGTGGCCGCCACCAGAAAACGGCGGCCTCACTCTGAAGACCCAACCACCATTATGGGACCCATTCGCGATTACTTTGGTGTCCTCAGCCTCGGCATAGCTGCCGGTGTCTACTTCAGTCCAGAATGCGCCATCTACGGCTCCAGAATCGCGACCATTACCGTTCTGATTACAGGCATCACCATATCAAAGTTGCTCTATCAGTTATTTATCTACCCTCAATTCGTCACGCCGTTGAAACACTTTCCGGCCCCACCAGTGAGCCATCAAGTCCATGCTTGCCATACTGGACTCGGAATTAACTTGCATCGCTAGAAACGGCACTGGCTCACGGGCAATACGGGTAGTTGGCTCGTCGACACCCCGCATGCGCTAATGAAGGAGTGGGCCAAGACTATTCCCAATGATGGAGTTCTTCGTTACTACATTGTGGGAAACATGGAAAGGCTCACGATAACCAGTCCTGCTGTCCTAAGCGAAATTTTGGTGAGCAAGGCCTACGACTTCGCAAAGCCCTTGGTGATACAGCAGACATTGAGGCGCGTGCTGGGCAATGGCATCCTGATTGCCGAAGGCGAGGAACACAAGGTAAGAAACAGCCAATGCGCATTCGTTTCTCGTTTGGATCTCACAACCATTTCGTGTAGTTTCAACGTAAGAATCTCAAGCCAGCTTTTGCGTACCGCCATGTCAAGGATCTCTATCCTGTCTTCTGGTCCAAGGGCACGGAGATGGCCAAGTTGATCCGAAAGGATCTGCAGAGCAGAACAGCTCCAGACGATAACACCATTCAAGTGCGAACCTGGGCCAGTCGATCCTCGCTGGACATCATTGGTTTGGCAGGCATGGGCCGGGATTTCGGCTCCCTGCACGACCCTGAAAACAGTCTCAGCCAATCTTACGAAATGATCTTCGCCACACCGGGTCTGGGAACAAAGATCCTTTTCATACTTGGAATGCTCCTTGGGAATACGACATGGCTAGCAAAGCTACCCACCAAGCAGAATAAGCTCATTGACACGGGCTGTCGCAATATCCGTGATGCCACGCGGCGGATGATTCGCGAGCAGAAGGTAAAGATGGAGGATCCAAACGCAGAGGCCGAGGTCGACATCATTTCCGTCGCAATGCGGAGTGGCAACTTTGACGATGACAACCTCGTCGACCAGTTGATGACCTTCCTAGGCGCCGGCCACGAGACGACCGCTGGGGCGCTTCAATGGGCGATATATGCGCTTTGCAAGCACCCAGATGTTCAGGCCCGCCTGCGCGACGAAGTCCGCGCCAACCTGCCACCGATCAATGTCGAGAATCCCGGTCCGATCGACGCTGCAACCATTGACAGCCTCCAGTATCTAAATGCCGTCTGCAATGAAGTCATTCGCTTCCACCCGTCTGTGCCAAATACCGTCCGTGTGGCTTTGAAAGACACCACCCTGATGGGGTACCCGATCCCCAAGGGTACGCAGGTCGTCATTTCGCCGGAACTTGTTAATCATATGCCGGCGCTTTGGGGGACAGACGCGGAACAGTTCAACCCAGATCGATGGATGGGCCCCGGTAAGGCCAACACCGGTGGCGCAGCCAGTAATTACGCTTTCCTGAGCTTCCTTCACGGTCCCCGTAGTTGCATTGGGCAGGTGTTCGCTAAAGCGGAACTAGCATGTCTCCTCGCTGCGGTGGTCGGTAGCTTTGAGTTCGAATTGAAATACCCCGACGCTCCACTGGAGGTGCGAGAGGGAGCGACTATCGCACCAAAGGACGGCGTCCTGGCTAAATTCACTCCTTTGGAAGGATGGTGAAGCGGGTGAGGGATTTCTCCTGTACTGTTTTGCATCTTCCTGGGTTGCTTTTTGGCGATTAGACTTCCCATCGGTTCAAGCGAATCGACGCATTTCTCAATCGTTTATCATAAGATGATCTACGTATAGCCTACCGGAGTAGGCCAAAGGGCACAATTGAGCAGCAGTGCCACAATGAGGTCAGGGGGAAGCGAATGCGGCAGCGGTCTGATGCAAAGGGGAGCGGGATCCGGCGCCCCGACACGTAACATAAGCCTCAAATCTTCCCACATCATGTATAATATTACCATCTGAGTGAATCTGTTCTTCCTAGAATGGTTTAAATGGGGGTTTTTTCTAAGATGATAGATCCGTTATCTCCAACACGCTCCGCTTGGGAAGTCTTGACCTCAGTCGGACATAAAACTGTGGTAATTCTAGGACCGGATCCATGCAGAAGGATAAAAGAAACGCCTGACTATTCTACACTTTCCATTCTTTGAGTTCTGACTTTACACATCATGGCGCGTCAATTAGTCTTCATCACCGGCGCAACAGGTTTCCTTGGCAGCGCCACCGCGATGGCAGCACTCAAAGCGGGATATCGATTGCGAATCTGTGTTCGAAAGCCCTCAGACAAATTACAGGATCTGCTGTCAGGGTATAGCGAGCAAGTGGAATTTGTTACGGTTTCCGATTGGACAGCTGAAGGTGAATTCAGAGGACAGTTGGATGGAGCAGACTATGTCATCCATCTCGCACATCCTCTTCCCAGTGGCACCGATAAGGAGTACTATTTTACTCCAGCTGTGAAAGCGACGACTGCCTTGCTCAAGGAGGCTGCTCGAGTACCAAGTATCAAGAAGGTCGTGATCACATCATCGATTGCGGCCTTGATGCCCCTGGACGGCATACCGTCTGGCGGCGTCGTCAAAGGTGCGTTTTCAGGGTTCCTGGGCCGCCTACATCGTAACTGGACTGATATCATCCCAGAGGACAACGACTGGGACTTCGATGTCGACGAGACTGAGGACTTCACAGCCTCTAATGACCCACGAGGAATACCTATGCGGTTGTACCATGCATCTAAACTGCTCGCCAATAAAACAGCATGGGAATTCCAGAGGACCGCCAAGCCGCAGTATGCCTTGGTAACACTCCATCCTGCATTTGTGTACGGACGCAACCCGGCGCAGACCACTGCTGAGGAGATCCAGGAATCTTCAAATGGTCTTCTGTGGTACGCTATCATGACAGGCGTCCCTCATCACTCTTACTCCCAGGTTCCTGGTGTGCATATTAATGATGTGGTTGAAGCACACCTCAAGGCCCTGGATCCAGCCATCCCAGACGGGTCGAGGTATCTGCTTTCAGCGAAGGGCGGGACCTGGAAAGAGGTGGCAGATGTCATTCAGCGGAACTATTCAGACCTTGGGGCAAAGATCACACCAGACATTGAGGAAGACTTTCTCTCAACCGACAGTAGCAAAGCAGAAGCAGAGTTAGGGATGCGATGGCACTCATGGGAGCAGATGGTGCGGGATGTGGTAGACCAGCAACTGGAGTTTGTGAAAGTTTGATTACTCGGAAACCATCAATCATAGGGGGCAGGACTTTAATCGGTGAATTAAAACCTAGCTGAGCTGATTCGGGATGAGTTGGAGATAGTGTCGCACTTTTGTACCTAGACAAACCAACTTCCCTCGTTGTCTGTCATTCTACCCTGTAAGTCTTAATGATGCCATTTATCAAGGTGATGCTAAGAAAAAATGTATTCAACCGATTCCCAGTTTAACCTTTTTCCTTTTTTGCCTGTTAGTAACCGTCTGAACTGTGTTCCGGGTTTATTTTAATTAGCGTTTATACGGGGCAATTCTGAGAATGACAATTGCTGGGAGTTGGCGATTGATTTATTCTAGTTTACTCCTGTGTCCGCCTAATCCTGGGGTAGTAGTATAGAAGGCAAGATATTTTCCGTAAGAAAGGCAGCTGCATACTAAGTAAACCACTGGCGTTAGAATTGAATAATTTTCTGGGAGAGTACATTTCACCCGTTCTTCGTTGGAAAAGGCAAGGGCAAAGAATATGCATTTTGAGGAATGGATTGATTGGGACTGGGATCCCTGGCTCAATGCCGAGTTTGCCCATACAGCTGCAAGCATTACGCCCGAGATGCGAGAACGATGGTCCGATGATTGATTAGTATCGTCTTGGTACTAGGGAGGCTGCAAAGTCAAGACGTGCAAGGCAATGTTTTCTTCAAATCCGGGAACGGAGGAATCAGGCGTTGCTTAGAGGGCTATAAAAGACGCATCTCATACGGGCTGAGGAGATTATTCCGCCAGACCAGTCACGAAATAACGTGGCTTTCAGCGGTCAAACAGAGCCTGGCTATGCAGTTTTCCAGAATATGCTTGCCATTACTTCAAAGGAGGAATCGGGATAGCTGCAGAGAATTCCTTCTTGGATGGCTGTCTTAAGACCCTGATGACCAGGTACTCGGCCAAACCGATGTTCAATTCATCGACCTCCACGCCATCTCCCTATATCCACCCCAAACACGCAGCACTTCATCAAACGTACTCTCCTTCCGCACTGGCTTTTCCTGTTTGATCTGCAGTTGCACCAGCATAGATCGCAGAATCCAGTTTTCCTGCCCTGTCATGACTTCCATGTCCCGTAGTGTACCTTCTAAATCTTGAAGGAGGAGGGCGAGGACACCCCGCGTATACTCCAGACTCCCGCTTTCTTCCACCCGAGTGAGGATGTATCGCTTCGCCTCTATCGAAGCCCCGCCTCCGCTGCGCAGCATGTTAAGCCATTCCATGAGCACCGTGCTATCCTCCAAAGTATGACAAGCGCGGATAAACGGGAACGAAGGCTTCCCTTCGTCGAAGTCCTGGCAGAAGCCTCGTTGGGACGTATACTCTTGGGATACGAGGTTCTGATAGTCATCCCGGATTTGGAAGTACCGTCCCAGCTGGTTCATGAAGCGGCGCATATCGAGGTCCCTGCATCTCAATTAGATATATTTTTGGCCTCGTTCGGGGATGTCTAACCTGTTTTGGGTGGCTTCCTGCTGCATCAATCGCATGAGAAGTACAAAGAGGCCACCGGTTTCTATTCGCTGTGAGCCAGGGCGATGAGCACAGATCAGGGGTACATACTGCCGTCGACCATTCTGAAATAGTCCTCCTCGGTAGGGATAATCCTGTGGCCGGCCCAGGAGATATCATGTGCTTGGCCTGTATACAGATGTGCCATTTGCTCTACCTAGTTCAGCACCATTCTGCCATTGCTTCGAAGACCAGGAGAAAGACTGACCGGAGAATATCACAACGGCAGAGGGCGAGAGCTGTTGGACAAGGCGCAGGGAATTATTGATCTGGAAGCATGCAGAGTTGATGGTTTGGCCGACTCCAAATATTTCATGAACGGCTGGCTTCCCACGTCGAAGAAGGCTGCCATCCTGTATATCATCCAGCCTGCGCTTGGTTAACCTAAGGACAAGGCAGTGACAACGTTATAGGACTCACATCAAAGACGCTTCATGGAGCAGGGACGCTACCCCGAAATCAGCGCCACCGAGCGCTCTGGCACATTGAACCAAGTCTGCAGAGCATCGATCAGGTGATGCCGGAAACCCTTGGATGACATAGAGGTGATATACTCGTATGGTTTCCATAGAACCTGCAGTTATCAGCGTGGCCTCCGGATGGAGAGGAAGACATACCGTTTCGTCCAATGCTTCAAGGACTTTGTATGCAGGTCCTGTTGCATCTTCGCCTGCACGCAGTGAATCAGCGTCTGATTCAAACCATATTGAATAGATTCCATACTTCCTACTCCGGCATTCCCCTTCTTTATGCTTTCCGGTTTTGATCGCTTTACCTCCAGTTCTTTGAAGACGGAGGGAATTTCAGTAGGGCAAATATACGGATTTCGGACGTCAGGGTGATATCGAAGGGCATGGATGCTCCACAGCGCATTTCCTGCCATGGACAACTCGAGGACTTGGAACCATTTCTTCACGGAAAGCGAGGTACTCGGTCTCCGTAGATACTCATCGCGGAGGAGACAGTATTGCTCCTCATGCTCGCGGATAAGGGCACGGACTGTCTGTTTTGCGGACTCCTCGCCAATATCCTGCACCTGCATGACCATCTTGACGGCGTTGATCAGAGGAAGAGTATCACCCGACTGTCGCGTTACTCTTTTCTCTTTTTCCCAAGACCACAGATCGTTGGTCACACCAAGAACCACAAATGCCAGGTAGGTGACTGGCCCGGTTTCAACCTCTTCTTCCGGTGAGAGTTCGACCCCGCTGGCCCAGCCCATCATTCGGACAACCCAGCTTATCATTGTCAGCCACGGGGAGTTTTTGACTCGAGAGCATACATCACACACTTAGCTCCGCAATCCAAGGCCCTGACAGCCAAGTAATCCTCCAAACTTGCAAACGTTTTGTCCCTCATCTGTTGGCCAGTCTCGTACCACTGCTTGAATTTCTTCTGGCAGCGACCAAGATAGTCTTGGTCGATTTCGTTCAAGACCGACCAGATCTTTGCTCTGGCCTGCTTTCTCTTCAATCCGCCTTCGGCGATATCCTCGAGGTCTTCAAGCCTTTTTGACCCTACTGCTTTTAATAGAATTCCATCCTTGTCCTGGGAAAGGCGGCAGCTAGGGCCATCGTGAACAGCGTCCACGGACACGTCTAGCAATATACCGTGTCAGAAGCCAATCCACTCCAACAAGGGGTCAACACTCACCATCATGCACAAACGCGTACTCAATAAAGTAAGAACAAAATGCGATTCTTTCGGGTAAAGCCTCTGGAGCGCAGAGTGCCGTAAAGTCTGCTGTATGCGCATTCATCCCACCAACCACTTTTCCGATCCCGCCCGTCCCAAACAGGTCAATGTGGCACTCTATGCAGGCGTCGTGAGAAACTGTGACATATTTGCTGAGCCGTGGCTGAAACCGCGAGATATACTTGCTCTTGGTCTCTGCGTCCATAAGTGCAGGGTCGGAGTGTCTGTACATAAGAGGATGAGACTTTGCGACGCCATCCTCCGCCATATTGACGCCGTGCTTCTGTCCTTCCATTGCTAGAGCGGGATTCGGCTGGTTGAATTCTGATCATTCACGTTGTGGGTGACAGCTCTTTAAAAGTTGATTTTCATGTGTCCGTCCTCCGTCCCGACCTGCAGTGGATATCTTCCGGATGAACCATCAAAATGATGATTCATATCCCGATCAATTGTCGGCCATCGGCCTCGCAGATATGACGTTACATGCAAAAGAGTTACTATACTCGGAAGGACAACAAAGTCGATGACGAGACGATAGCCTCAGGTACCACGATTGTGATGTCGTACATATGGATAGATAACGCACGCCAGATCCTATCTTTCGGGTCAATTTCCAAAGTTTAATTACTTCATATGTTGCATAACTGTTAAAGTTTTGTCATATAATAGGGTTTGTATATTCCAAATATTTACCATAAGAATGCTCTTAGGTTTTACTGATGGAACTCTAACTTAGGTGTGTGGTGTCCTCCAATGTGAAGCTATATAACTGTATGGAGTAGATTAAGCCTTAAAAAAGATCCATTCTCTCTTAAATGCCATATGATGCCAATCTTGACACCAGCTGGGTTCTGCTGTATTTTAAACTTGCTCTTCAGCTGGGAGGCGTTATTCTTTATACTTGGAATATTGCATTGCTATTCTGATAATTACTGGGTAGGCTTTGTAGGGCTGATTATAGTATCTGCGACTAAGATACTTCCTTGCAACTTGCTCCACCAGCACTCGATCAAACGATCTACTGGATGGTCTAATTGCCTTATTGATATCATCAAGATAGCCCTAAGTAGTAATGATTGTGCATAATAAGCTTTGTTTACCGCCGCTGATCTTCGAGTTCAGCCCTGTCTTAGAAAAAGCAAATGCCCCACGCCACAGATCGACAGTGGGATGTGTTTGTTACCATGACAATGCCCAAATCCCTTACTTTTTCCATCCTCCTCCAACTCAACCTCATCGGTTTCATCCTTCCATTCTCTTGAAGGAATAATGTCAATATCGGCAGTTCCATACAGGGAATTCCTTCATCAGAAAGAAGCCGAGTTCTTTTCCTTGATTGACCAAGGAGTCATTTCCCCATGGCTGTTCCCGCATGATTTTCTTGTGCTGATCATTCCCATTTTGGTCCTGTTGATACCCAACAAAGGCCAGGCATGGGTGGTCGCCATCAGACGGACAGCATTCGGACTCGTATGCTCCCTTGCAATCAAGAACCTGCTGCACACGCGATGTCTCACCGGCGGAGGCACTGTCATCGGCTTTTACTACGCCTTCGTTGTCGTCTGGAATGCAGTATTCCTCCTCTTAAAAGACGTCCAGAACGAGTGTTTCCGGATTGAGCGACCGCCAAATGGGAACCTCTATTGGCAAGGCTATCCGGAGTCGATATGCCACCGACTAAGCTGGCTACTGGATATGTTCGGCAGTCTGCGTGGTGCAGGCTGGAACTGGAGGATCCCTGGACTACCCCCGCTTCCAAAGGTCAAGTCCAAAGACCAGCAGGCACCAACAGACGGCAAGGAGTTACCTCAGGAGGCGCCATCGTCGACTCTTCTTCGGTCCTCGTTCATGAGGACAGCTCGCTACTACCTGGTGATGGATATCTTGAAAGTCCTCACCATGGCGGACCCGTACTTCTGGGGACTCATCGATGCTGCTCCACTCTACCCCCTCGATCGGATATACCACGTCTCGCCGGCACTGTTACGGCTCTTCCGCGCAGTCGTAACAGTCCTCTGGATCCGCACGAGCATGGCCTTTATAGCCTCCACGGTGCCTCTCATCGTCAGTCTGGCTGTGACTGTCTGTCCGAGTCTTCTCAAATGGACCAGCATACCCCTCGACGCACCCTTGTTATATCCTCCTCTGTTCAATAGCTTTTTGGATTTCAAGCCAGTCTTCGACTATGGTCTGGATGGCTGGTGGGGAAGGCGTTGGCATCAGGCTTACCGATATGCCTTCTCAGAGACGGCGCGCCATCTTGTCCCCAACCTCGAAAATAAAGATATGACGAGGTTCCTGAGGCATTCTGTCGCGTTCCTATTGAGTGGACTGGTTCATTTCTGCGCTGTTCATTCGCATTTTGTCCGCCCGGACTCTGTGCATTTTGGGGCCCTAGCCTTTTTTATGCTACAGCCGCTGGGGATGCTCGTCCAGAGAAAGTTACGGGGGGTATTATTCTCGGAAGGGAGCATTTTCTGGAGAGCATTCAACATCACCTCGACATATGCGTGGTTATACCTTGTTATCGGACCCTTCTGCGATGAACTGGCTGCCGCTGGGACATGGTTGTATGATGAGGCATGTCCAATCAGTATTATTCGGGGATTGGGCTTGATTGAGGGAGAGGGCTGGTTTGTGGGAACGAGAAGTTATGTTCGGTTGTGGACAGGGGAAGAGTGGTGGCAGACTGGTATTCAGATTCTTTGATTTTTTGTGTTCGGTATAAAGGCATGGTATACATAGGATAGATATTTGCTGGGTATAAAGTCATGGATGGAGATATTAAAGCATCGGGCGGAGATCAGTTAATGTTGATCACGCCATCGCGGGGCATCAAGCATCAAAGCATCGATTTTTGCAACATCGTCATCATCCATCAATAACATAAACCACACCATGGGTTCGTTAACAGTGCAGTCATTTACATCCATTCCAGTTCTCGACTTCTCGCTATCTGCATCGCCAGACACAAAACCTCGTTTTCTCTCGGAGCTGCGCAATGCCGTGGTCAATGTGGGGTTCTTCTATCTCATCAACACCCCGATATCGCCTCATGTCCAGCAGGCATTCATCGAAAAGTCCCTCGCACTATTTGATCTGCCGCTAGAAAAGAAGCTAGAAATCGAAATGGTCAACAGCAAGCACTTCCTGGGCTATTCCCGTCTCGGTGCGGAGACGACCGCCTCCAAAACAGATTACCGGGAGCAGTTCGATGTAAGTGCCCACCTAGTAGTACAGTCATCAACGTATGCAATAGACTAACGATAGTATAGTTTGCAACAGAACTTCCAGCCCCCGGGCCAGATGAGCCCCTGTACAGAAACATCCGGGGACCGAACCAGTGGCCTGATGAATCCTTTATCCCAGGCTTCCGGAAGGCCATCGAGGCCTACCTGGCTGAAATCAGTCCCCTGGCAGAGGCATTCAAGTCGTTCATTGCAGAAGCGCTGGACCTCCCATCAGACGCTCTATACCCCTTCTTCGACCACCCTCCACAGCACAAACTAAAACTAATCAAGTATCCACCACCCAGCAGTGCTTCCCAGGCGCAAGGCGTCGGCGCACACAAGGACTCGGAATTTCTCACCTTCCTGCTGCAGGCGACTCCTCACTCAGGGCTTGAAGTGCAGAACAAGTCCGGGGACTGGGTCCCCGCGCCACCGCTAGATGGCTCGCTGGTGGTCAATATTGGACGGGCGCTGGAGGCAGTCACGGGGGGAGTGTGCACGGCCACCACGCATCGAGTCAATCTAAAGCCGGAGAATTTCGTAGATGCAGACGGAAAGCCACTGGGGCCGAGGTTCTCATTTCCGGTATTTCAGGGGATGAGTCTGGAGCTGTGTGCGGAGGATATCCACCTGGATATTCCGGCGCATATTAGGGAAATAGTCAAGGATCAGCAGGTGCGCTCGGATGCGGAGGCTACCTTTAATAAAGCGTTTCAGGGGAAGACGGGTGAGGGAACGCTGATCCATCGGATCACAAGTCATCAGGATGTGGGACGACGGTGGTATCCGGAATTACTGGACTGGGCATTGAAGGAGAGGCAGGGTAGTCATTGACTGGACTCTGCAGGGAAAGCCCTGTGTCCAATCTCGGTCTACGTAATTGCAAAAGCCGAGTATCGTCAGCAATTGATTATTCCGCGAGTCAGTAGTTGTCTAGTTAATGACGGACATTGCCCGCCCAGAGTGCCAAGAGGGTTTCATGCCGGCATTTGACCCGTAAAGTGACGATCATATCTATACGTGGACAATGACACAATATCCTCAGATTCTGCACAAATCACACCCGGGATATGTGAAACGCCAGACAAAAGTCCCTGCAGCGGAAGATTGGTTTATATTGTGATAAGTCTTGGCTGCTTTCGGAGCCCCGGGAAGTGTCCTGTTTTTTTCCAGCAATGGGGTAGAACTCGGGTATACGGATAGTATATAAAGATTCGAGAGTGGCAGATGTACTTCCGTGCCGTGAAGAAGCAATCAGGGGCAGTAGGCACAAGATGAAGTACTTCCAATTCGTCCTCGGGCTTCTGCCCACAGCGCTCGCCGCGTCCATCTACGTCTCTCCCACAGGGTCCAGCAGCGGCTCAGGGACCATCACCTCCCCCTTAAACTCCATTCAATCCGCCGTCAACCTCGCAAAGCCAGGCGATACCATCTACCTTCGCGGGGGAACGTACTCGCCTACCAGCAACATCCAGATCACTAAGAGCGGGACAGCGAGCCAGCCATACATCCTGCGCGCCTACCAGAGCGAGAAGGTCATCATCGATGGAGAAGCTCTCCCTGGGTAGGTCCTCTGTTCTCAGTACTAGCCTCCTGCTAATAAAAATAGAACACCCGCACCCCTGGATGCTTCCCTCGCCAACGAAGACCGCGGCATCCTTCACATCCAGAACGCGAATTACTGGCAGTTCTACGACCTGGAGCTAATCCATGGCCCGTACGGCGTGTATGCGCGCGATTCGTCGAACAATCACTACGAGCGGCTCATTACGAGGGATAACTACGAGACCGGTATTTTGCCTCTGCCTGGAGGACTTGCACCATGCTGACCTGACCGTCACTCTAGGCTTCCAACTGCAAGGCTCGTCCTCCAACAACAAAGTCCTCTACCTCGACTCCTACGGTAACAGAGACCCGCGCAAGAACGGCGAGAGCGCCGACGGCTTCGCCTGCAAGGAGGGCTCGGGAGAGGGCAACCTCCTCAAGGGAGCGAGACTGTGGAACAACGTCGACGACGGGTTGGATCTGTGGGAGTTCAAGTCTGCCGTGACAATCCAGGATACCATTTCCTGGGGGAATGGATATAACCGGTAGGCCATCCCTTTGTTTTATCTGGTTAATGTTTATGCAGCTGACAAATGTAAGATGGGGCTTCTCACCCTTCGAAGGCGACGGCAACGGGTTCAAACTCGGCGGCGGCGATGCGGCGGATAAAGGCCCCGCGAATCATGTCATTACCAACAGCATTGCCTTTGGGAACGTCAAGGATGGCTTCACGGATAACTCCCAGACGGGCGATTTCACGCTCAGCCGCAACACGGCGTGGAATAATGCCAAGGTCGGGTTCAAGTTCAATACGGCTGTGGCTACGCTCAAGGGCAATGTTGCGGCGGCCAATGGAGAGAGCGCTACAGCTTTGAGTTCGAATCAGGTTTCCTCGGGAAACTCGTGGGATGGAAGTGCGTCGTGGTCGAATAGTAGCTTCAAGAGTGTGGATGTGAGTCTGGTGCAGGGTGCCAGACAGGCAGATGGGCGGATCAAGGCCAGTGATTTCTTGGTGCCAAAGTCTGGGGAGGCAATTGGAGCGACCACCGCTTGGGAGTAACCTTTTATTCAATAGGTTGAAGATCAACTATAAATCACTATTATCCACTTGCTTTCACTTGACCGTACTGCATCTCATAACGCCTCCACCTCCTCCCAATCGGCTGAATCAATGTATAACTCGCCGTACTCCCAAACTCCTGCACCCCATTCACCAAGTACAACGGAGTCATCTCGCCATCCTCGCTGAAAAACAGCTTCGGCCGTTCCCTCCGATAGTAATCCACCCTGCTCCCATCGGTAAACTCCACCGTAGTATTATACGCCAGCGTGATGTTATTGTAATGCCACGGTCCGCGCCAGTCCCTCGCAAACACATGCGCGCCCACCCGCGGGCCCTTTTGCCCTAAAGCAATATCAACCATGTGGTGCACAAGAAAATGCCAGTGTCCGCGCTTGTCGCGCCAGAGGAAGGGGTCCTCGCTGCGCAGGGAGGGGTCGATCACTGTGAACCCCGGCTCGACGCGCAGGGAATACGGGCCCTTGTAGCTGGATGCGGTATAGATATTGTTTTTTTCTGTCGCGAGGAGGATCTGCCTTGTGTGGTGACGTGGGGACCAGAGGGGCCAGGCTGCGGGATTGGTGACATTGACCAAAAGCTCGATGGGCTCGCTCCAGACACGGAGGTCCGGCGATGTCGAGACAGAAATGGTGTTGTTGCGTTTGATCGAGCGGCAGGTGGTCGGGGGTCCCAGTCTAGCCCGATGAAATGCATCAGGTATAGCTTGTCCGCTGGACTCCAAATTACGGTTGGGTTGTGGTGGAATGTGCCGAAGAGCTCCTGGGCGAACGTGTAGGGTCCGCGCGGGCCGGTACGTGACTCTGCGCGGATAATGGTGCTGAATGGTCGCCAGCCGGAGAGTCCGCAGCCTCGGCCTATCTGGGAGATGATCAAATGGAAGAGCGTAGGGTCTTCCCGGTCGTGGACGATGTGTCCGCCCCAGGAGGAATTGCCAGCGCCGTCGCGGTAGAAGTCCGGAAGGGTGACGTTGGTATGGTTGTAGCCGGTGTTTCGGTCGACGGGCTGCAGATCCAGCTCGCTGCAGTCGGCAGCGCGCCAGCCCGGGTCACAGATGCATTGGTGGGCTTTTGAACAGACGCCTGTCAAGCTGCAGTCTTCGTCCGTGTGGCATGCAAAGGCGGCCACAAGCCGTAGAGCGTGGAAAAGGAGCAATAAACGCATTGTGCAGTGCTGCTGCCACTGGCATTCAGGGTCTCATCTCTGGGTCTATATGCTTCATGCCAAGGACATTAAGCCTGAATGCTGCGGGTATAGCTGCGAGAGTTATAACGGGTGGAGAAATTATGCTTGTCCTGCATTTCGGTATGTTTATCCCCGAGGGATATGCAATTAATGGTCTTTATCATGCTTCATCCTAGAGATGTATTGTCAAAGATATATAGACAAGCGACGCAAGGTACGCAAGCCGATGGATACCACAGTCTTATATTTGGACGAACAGGATCATGATCTCGATTTTATAGAGGGATACCGGAAGGGTGTACTATAGCCTGAGTCTGTGTACATTGTCTTGGATCTTCTTAGTGAGGCCAGAGGATCATAACACACATGCGAGGAATGCTCAGTCAAGGCGGAAAACTGTCCAGAAGTCTTGATTACTTCACTCGTCGCAGGGCAGCAGCGAATGTTTAATTGAGTTAGCCTCAGATGCCTGCATAAGATGGCTTGTCGGAGCTGTCTCTCAGATGCCCGACTAATTCCTCAAAAAGCTCAAAAAGCTTGAGAGCACAAGGTCAATTTCCAGAGGAGATCTTTCTCTATTTTCCAGTCCGAAAATAGTTCCGCCAAGTCCAGCGGCCGATTCTAGCTGTCTATCCACATCGTATCCTTCCGTAAACGATGCAGATCGGCCCCCGTTCTCGTGTTGTTCGTATTCTTCGATAAACTACCGCTCAGAAAAGCCAATCCTCATTTAAGGAGAAGTTATAAAGAGTACCCTTCACCCGTGGGCATGCTTATCACCAATCGTACAAAATGACTCCGCTCATCAAACTCGGCAGCCTTCTGGCCGCATTGCTCTGGATCACCTTTGGGATCGCGACAGTCAACGCCAGCATTCCCTCGTCCAAAAGGTTCGATCTATCCGCTCCCTCGTACGACCTCTACCGCCACAAAACCCTGCGCGATGGCACAGTCCAGCAAGGATTCGCCTTTGACAATGTCAACCGCCGTCTTTTCGTCGCCCAGCGCCGCGACGGCTCCTCCGAAACAGCCGGCGACCTAACAATCACCCAGCTGGACTTTGACGGCAACTACGTCGGACACATGTACCTAAAGGACTTCGGCCACGGCGTCTCCTTCGCCGCGCAACCTGCCGGGTCAGCAACCTACCTCTGGACAGAAGTCGAAGCCAACACCAACGGCTACGGCAAGAGACTCGCGCGCTTCAAGTTCGCCTCCGGCACCACGCTGACCAGCTCCTCCGCCGGCCTGACTAAGTTCAAGCCCGTCGCAGATGCAACGGAGCATACCTGCGCCATTGACCCGGTCTACAACCGGTTGATCGTCCGGTATAATCTCAGCGGGGCGAAGCATATCGCGGTGTATGACCTCGCCGCCGCGACGAGGGGGGATTTCTCCGCCCCGCTGGCAAACTTCAAGCAGCCGGCATTGAACGCGCTGTCCACGGTCTTTCAAGGTTATGCGGCGTATGGTCAGTATCTGTATCTGTTGACTGGGACTGCGTATGCGGCCAGCGGCGGTAAGGTCAATTCCGAGGTTACCAGTGTCGATATGAACACTGGCAAGGTGGTGGAGGGGCCGACGCTAACGAAGGCCGGTTCGACGCTGGAGTATAGAGAGCCGGAGGGATTGGCCATTTACAAGACGGCTGCTGGGGAGGTCAGATTGTTCTTGGGGTTTGCTTCGGGGGTTGCGGGTGATCGTAGGTCGAATCTGTTTTACAAGAATGCGTTGGTTTAGAAGGGTCGCCATGGAGGGTATTAGTTACTGTGGGTATTTGTGTATAACTCTTCCTTATAAACAATTTGTACTATTGACGTCTGATCGTCGGTAGACTGGGTTTCTGAGTTCTATCTCCGGATTTAACTGAAATAGCTACGTAAGTCGTTTGACAGGCCGACCTTTAGTGTCTGTGGTCAGTCAGGAATAAGTAAATAAACTGAAGTATGTTCGCGAACAATCCAATGCAACAATGTGGCCTCTATTAAATCATAACCTTCTGTCGAACATTCGGGCGATGGGTTTGTTGTCTCGAGAGCCGAAGAGAACCTGCGACGAGAACGGAGACGTCACCCGTCACTGTTTATTCTAATGACATATTTCAATGCTGTTGTCTTCGGAGCCTCAGAGATAAAGTTGATGTCATTCGCATTCTTCAACGGGGCTGTCTGGACTAGAATGCGGATAACAACGTGGCGTAGCCGCATTCGGTAAGCGACACAGTGGTTAAGGACTTGTCACATTCTTCCTCCCTTCTAACAGCAAATGACGTATGTGCCGCAAATAGAGCTGTTGAGATGATGGAGTATACCAAATGCGTCATGGGCTCCGGTGGAGCGGTTCGGTATGAAGCATATCTGGGGACAGTCTCAGATCTGATGACATGACGTGGGTCCTGTTATGCTTCTGTAAAATGACGTCGTCTGGATCATTGTCTGGCTGTATTATCTGCAGTAGGTCATCTGCAAATTTGCATGCCCTCATCAGGCACACATACATCATTGGGCGCGGATAGTTGCATGCGGAAACCACTCCCGAAGCCTTTATAAACAGGGGTATAAAGTACGCGACGAACGACGTCTTGGACATCATGCAAAAGATACAGACAAAATGAAGATAAAGATGACTATACCGTCAATTCCTGAAACCATCCCCGAGCACTCCGAGCTCAAAGGCAAAGCCCCCCTGCGAGATATCTCCGACATTCCAGCCAACCCGCGGCAAACGATCCGGACTCCTTCGTGGGATCTTACATCCACATGGCTGATCGGCGCCAACGACGATATCCGTGCCTGGTGGGACTGCATCGGTCCGCAAGTGGCCATTCTCGCCGACGAAGCGGGATACAGCGTGGCGGCGCAGACAGAAATCCTCCTGCTGCTGCACTCCGTCGTGCTCCCGGATATGGGCCGATTCCCTCCGGCCGGACAGAACAGACCTGTCGTGCAATATAGCTGGAGGATTAACACATACGACTATGACCATCCGATCCTCACGCTTACCGTGGAAGCGCCCGGCGAGCATGCCAAGGGCTCCAGCAGTATGACCCGGCACCATCTCCAAGCCACGCAGAATATCGTGGAGCAACTATCCGCCCAACTTCCCCCGGTTGACCTCACATGGTACCGGCACTTTATGGCTGCGTTCCAGATCGACCATCATACCGACCACTCAAGCCATCACCGGACGTTCCTCAGCACGGACAAGGACACCATCCGGCCGCGCATGCCCCTGTCATTTGAGTTTACCGACACCGGCGTCATCCCAAAGGCCTACTTCTACCCTCCTGCGCAAGCGCACGAGAGGAAACCTTCCTTGGCCATATTCACGGACGCCATCCGGTCCATATCGGAGACTATCCGCCTCCCCGCTTTTGAAGAGGTTGTGGCCTTTGTGGATAATCATCCGGTGGGAGTGACGCTGAACCCAGAAATGCTGGGCATGGACTGTATCGAGCCGTCGCAAGCATCGCTGTATCTGCACGCCAGCACGCCAGTCACGAATTTCGAGAGCATCATTGCTGTCATGACGCTCGGTGGACGAGTGCACGCCATGGATATGGCGATCATGGAGCTGTGGGAGCTGCTGTGTTTGGTCCTGCGACCGAAGCATCGAGATAGAACGTTCTCGTGGGGTGATGAGTTACCCGTGTGGAATGCGCATGCGCAGGATGACGACCAGCAGGGATTGAAATACTGTTTTGAGATTCTGCCTGGAGCGGAAGTGCCCGAGGTTACGCTCTACATCCCGGTTGTTCGATACGGGCCGGCGGATGAAGATGTGGCGGTTGGCCTGGAGAGGTTTCTGACGAAGAGAGGACATGCACAGTTTGCTGATGGATTTTGGAGAGTCTTGAATATGCTGAGCGAGGGCTGGACGGGCTCACGACGGGTTGTGACGCATATCGCGTGTTCCTTTCGGGGCGAGTCACTAGACGTGACTTCATGTTTGGAGCCTGCTATTTTGCGCTCGCGAGATGATTAGATGATCGACGACGATACGATGTACGATATGACATGTTATGGTAGTGACGAATTGATTCGGAATTCATGTACCTCTTGAACAACCTTGTAGGATGGCTGCGTAGAGGTAAGCAGATCATACATCTTCTTTCTACTCAAGAGGCTTGATTCCTTCAAGGGCGTTATCGGTCCACTCTTTGAGCCTTGTCGCAAAAGTCGGATCCTGTACGGCCTGCGATAACGTCCCAGGCACTCCCACAGGTTCATAATACGTGCCGCTTACCACCTCTGAGCTCGTGGCCGCCCATAGATGATTTCTGATCCCGGTAGTCACAGGCACACAGAAGAACGGTGCAATAGGCTTAGTCAAGCGTGCAAGGGTACTCTCTTTCCACAATGACGTCGCCATACCCGTAAGAATTCTCCCTGGATGTACAGCGACAGTTTTAATTTGTGGATAGTCGCGGCTGAGTCCTTGCATCAGGCCAATGAGGGCTGCTTTGCTCTGGCCGTAGCGCTTTGGATAAGGCTAAAATAATATAAGTTAGCCAAGCATATGAAGAGAGAAACAAATTACGGACCAGATTCGAACAGTTGGTCTTGACGAGCTCGAAATCGACGCCTTGTTTAGGCGCTGAAACGTGTCCCTCGCTTGACACAACAACGACGCGTGCATCGGCACCGGACTCTCGCTGCGTTGTGCGAAGCAGCATCGGCATTAGCAGGCGCGTCAAAAGGGCATGGCCGAGATAGTTGACTCCAAAATGGATCTCGTAGCCTTCCGGTGTTGTTATCGGAGGGACACGGATGATACCTGCATTTAGTATCAGAATGTCCAGATGTTGTTCTTGAGCAGCGAACTGCTGGGCGCATTTTCGAACGCTCTCGAACGATGCAAGGTCCAATTCGAGAAATCGGATCTCGGTCGTCGACGTTGCGACGGCCGTTTCCATGGTGGGGCACTGGGGGATACGGAGTCTCCGTAAGCCTCGGAATCAATCTGTCGGATCAGAGCTTGTTTGGCGTCGTCGGTGCGCGGCAGATCTGCGATGTATATGCGACTAGGCCGGCCATAACGAGCCAGCTCTATGGCCGTTTGTCGGCCGAGGTCGCCCGCGGCGCCCGTGATGAAGATGACCTTGCCTGCCATCGACGGGATATCTTGCGCCGGGTTAAAGGCAGGAGCACCATTGCGAGACGCGTCGTTGTTCGATCCGAATACAACGACACGAATCATGTCCCAAATGTTACTCATGATGAAGCAGACGTGGTGATGATGATGACTGGGAGTCTAATTATGAGGGTGAATCTGCGAGCTTATGATTGTTTTAAATGTAGGCCTACGGCTTACCAGCTGAGGTGCTCGGCATGGAATATCTAAGATTCCACTTGTGAGGGGCTGACTAGTACATTTTTAATATAGTTAGTACCTAGTTATACGAGTCAACCACTGAACGCCTGGATATAAGCAGGAGTGATAGTGGTCCTTCAGCCTGATGGGTTGGTCTTACATTGAACTAGTCCGGATAGGGACACAGGGCTGTAAGCTTATCCGAATACATATAGAGAGGTATATGATTCTGTTCAGGAACCAAATTAGTTTACTAAGTCTAATCCACTTTCTTTGTGTTTAAGGCAGCACTACTGGCTGTTTTGTTATATTTCACATGGACAGAGTAAGGAGTAAGAAATAGTACACACCATTCTGCCTGTTATTATACTGCGTCTATCATAATAAGATTGCTTATAGCATGCTATCTAACAACATCCATCCTACCCTGCATTGTATATGGCTTTCTACATTTTGTTCGGCATATTTACCAGTGGTACTGTACTACAGAGTGTGTTAGCACCTAAGATAGCACCTTATTGATTGGAACAGGTACAAGCTCATCTATTTCTCCTGAACGGGTCTGAAGACTTGATCTGGAAGCCAACTTCAAATAAGTTTGCCTGCTAATCAGTAGACTACTGTTCGCTGCCCCCCCCCAACCAAAAAAAAAAATTCAACCAATCGATGTCCCTATATTATACAGACCAACAATTCGCTGCATCTCACCTGAGACTCTCACTAGAAAATGTCTCATCCGTATGGGTGCTCTAAGAGACAGGCGTGCCCTGAGCGGAGATAATGGATACCAGCTTCTCACTTTCCACGCCCAGTACCCTCCATCCCCGAAGCTATAATCGACTCAGCATTTACAACCAAGCAAGGGGATCACTCGCATTTGTAAAGCATATCTGCATCTCCTGCTGGGCTTTCTAGTATAGTCCGATGCGTCTGTCTTTATGGTTTTCATTTCTTTACAACACCCATCAACCTGGAAAGATACTAGAATCTGTTGTGTTGAACGTGATCAGCAGAGGAAGAAGAGGAAAGGAGGTAAGAAAGGCTTAAATGCCATTAAAGCACTAAATAAGAGGTCCTTCTAAAATATTAGTAATGCTATAATATCTATATAAACTAAATAATCTAACACTTGCACAGTGGTAAGCAATGAGCTAAATTCTAGAGAGCTGAAGTTTAGTGGTACTGCTCCTGTAGCTTATAGTACAGTATATCTAATCAACAATAGCTCTATGCTGTTAGAGGTGGAAGTAGGGAGGCAGTCTATATTAGGTTCACCTTTATCTATAATAGAATACATCCCATGCCCAGATCATCAGAAAGAACCTAATTACCCTAGTTTAGCTGCTACTAGAATATGCGATGCGTTGACCTCTAATATTAACAATACTACCTGCCTTACTCTGCTCCCTTTGAGGCTCTCTTCTATGCTAGCTTTGTATATATAATTTCCGCAGTCTATTACTGTTATTATGATCGATCTGACCATTTTCAGTGACCGGAGAGATGTACGACTGGTGGTTCGGTTGGCAAACGACCAAATCTGCTCGCTATAAATTGTGGAATCCCGTTGCGCATCAATACGCTTACCGCAAACCAGATTCTGAGGAGTGGTCTAACAAGACCTACGCTGGACGCTACTGGGGAATGGTCTCTTGGATTGATGAGTTTGTTGGTAACTATGCTGCTAAGCTTAGCATTGAGTTTATTCCTCCCTCCGAGCTTGGCGTGGACACCACTAAGACTATGGTCATTGGAAAAATCTTCCTCGGAGGTACGTGATCTAAGAGCGCTAACATTCGGTTACATTGACCTAGCAAGCTGAATATACTGCAGAATATGTTTCTGAAGGTTTTGGCAGCATTCCTTATCTCATACCCCAGGTCCGCCACAAGTCTGATGGATACCGCGAGCTCCGTTCTCTGCTTCTGGATTGCTCATAGAACCCCACAGCTAGGGCACAACTTGGCAGTCCATTGTTTCACTGATGCATTATAATCAAAGATCTAAGACCTACAGCTAATTATTTCTAGTAAGTATGCGGACTATTCCTCAAAATGTAGCAGCACAAAGCGAAATTAGCATACTAAAAGCATACTAAAAGGATTGAAAACATAATAACCCCTGAAAGAGAAAATATAAGAGTGCCGTTCTAGAATCTGTTCTAGTAGGAGATCCTCAAGAGTAAGGGTAAATAAACCGACATGAGATAGATAGCTTGCAAATTGTTTACTTAAGCACGGGTAACTTTTTCGGTCTTTCTGTTCCTAAGCTGTGTTTCCTGCGCGGTTCCGTCACCCATGCTCAACTGTGCATATGACAGTTATGATTAGTTACTACCCCAAGGAAAAAGCTTTCTATATTATCCAAGATTAATTTATTTACAGAATCTAACCAGCTCTAATCATTATCCTTTATAATGGCTTTGATAAGGCAATAATAGACTCTGGAGATGTTGCATTAGAGTTCTTTCTGGGGAGTGAGGCTATCTCCAAGAATTGACAGCTCACATTTGAACAGAGTTAAGCTATCCATTAATTGGTAGGCGCCGGGAGTAGTTAATCAACCATGATTATGACTAAACATCTAGGCATTCGTGCGAGAGTCTTGGAATCCTGGATAGTCCTTCGTGCTTATGCGGGGGTTTTGCCTCTTTGAATGAGATGGTCCGATAGTGTGACGTGGCCTGATCTGATGGCTGCGCAGGATGCCTGACAGTAGTGAGAATGAAGCCAGATGTCGCTAGAAGCAGCATCACAGTCTTAATAACATAATGGTCACCAACGGAGATATGTGGATGTTTCTCATCCTCCCACAGGTTGAACTCTGGGATAGCAATTCATAAGGACTGCAATGAGACTCGCCCCCCGGAGCCGTTGCGGTGAGGGGCAACGGCTCACTAAGGAATAGCTATTTCAGTAGACCAATAACAACAGCCTCGTCAAACTGGTAACGGGGAGAAAACGGACACTTGCATCCTCCCGCGTGTCATTTCACTGCGGGAGGTGGAGGTCTGGGCGAGTTGGCGCGATTTGATTGCTTTGGATCATTAGCCCGTTTGGGCTGGTGTTAAACTTCCCTGCTAGAGTCTCAAGTAGTGCCAAAACGGTTTTCTTAAAGGGCGCGCTTCTCCGAAACATTCTGGTGTCCAGTTTTTTCATCTTCGAGAAACAGTCTGACTGAAACAGAATGGCGGAAGAAAAGGACACCTCGACTTACAACAGAGGAACTTTGGAGGTGGAGGTCAGTTCCGCCTCAGGACAGCCGAGTAGAGCTGTAGATCTTGGTCTCATCAGTTCTCTAGGACGACGAGAATCTGTACTCGGATGACTCGGGCTCTTTCGTTAATAGGTGCGTGTGACTGCCCGACACCACATCACCTTCACCTAAGAAGACACGCAGCGCCGGCGTCAGCGAAACAACATCTCTTTCTTCCAGCATTCGCAATTATAAGTACGTATAATCAATTCATTGCACTGCAACGCCTAACCATGCAGGTACGAAGTAAGTGTTTATAAAATAGATTTCTCGAGCAGCACTGAGTATCTAGAATGGTCGGCGATACCACGCATTCCGAGAGGGCTCATACAACATGGTACGTTTTTTGATCTCTAAGTAAGAATTAGCTAACCCTAAATAGCCAAATGACGAGAAGGAACAAAATCGTCTAGATCTGGTACTTGTGTCAATATATCAAGAGGCAATTCAACACTAATCCTTGGAAGCACCACCATATCCATCGGTTGAAGCTGGACGGGCAGCTATTCCGCTCTCCGATCCCGAGCGATGTCTCCCGAATTCTCGATCTGGGAACTGGCACCGGTATCTGGGCAATCGAAGTGGCCGAGTGAGTCTTATTCCGCCGATGAAGTCGCTCATGCTAATGTCACAGTCAATTCCCCATGGCAAAAGTCATAGGTATGTTCGAAGGAAGGTGACTACTGCCATTGTCTGACTCTCCAGGAAACGATCTGAGCCCCATTCAACCAACATGGTACGGAATGATTAATGCAATTGGAGATTTCCTACTGATATAGTGCCAGGGTTCCCCCGAATCTCAGCTTTGAGGTGGACGATTTCGAGTCCGAATGGGAATACTCCAAGCCATTTGATTTCATCCATGCTCGCGATCTGCAAGGCTCGGTGTCCGATTACGATCGCCTCGTCGCGCAAGCCTTCAAGAACCTGGCGCCCGACGGATGGTTCGAATTTGCAGATGCCGACTTGCTTGTTTGCTGCGACGACGATACCGTCAAAGAGGCAAAGAACATACTCGAGGTGAACCGGCTGGTATGCGACGCAAGCGCAAGGTTCGGCAAGCTGATGGGAACGGCCAGCCAGCACAAGCAGCGCCTTGAAGATGCAGGATTTATCAATGTCCGCGAGGAGATTTACAAGGTCGGCAGGCAGAATATCACGATCATCCAGACTGGGTACTAACCGGAGACACAGATTCCGTTCTCACCCTGGGCAAAGGACCCGAAGCTGAAGGAACTAGGCAAATTCCACCAGGTCAATATGATAGAGAGTCTGGATGCGTACAGTTTCGCTCTGATGACACGGGTTCTCGGATGGCATATCACTGAGGTGCATGCCCTTCTTGCTGGCGCCAGGGCGGAATTGCTGAATCGTAGCATCCACATGTATGCTAAGTGGTACCATGTCTACGGCCAGAAGCCAACGGATTAGTAGACTGTTGTTAAGGAAAACAAAATGAAGCGCTTATGCATTTTTATACTCATTTAGCCATTCACTAACTGGTGGGGCTGATGTCCAGTGACAGGAAAATACCCTTCTTTATCCACCAATCCGTAGGAACCTGAGACAACAGTTTTCCACTCCTTTTATTTTTATTTCATCTTCGTCTCTTTGGCGTTGACGGAAGTCTAGTAACTGCAATCTTCTTGACGGTTTTCTAGTTCCCAATTTCATAATGCTCACCCTGGGTCAGAAGTGGTCAAGATCAGTATTCTGACACCGGAAGCCAAACTAGATTGCTGTGGCCTGCCTCGAAGGTAAGGGCCCCGTCTATCAACTGGTACTACAGACTGACCGCATGGCTTGGGTAGGCTAACACTCAGCCAAGAAGACGTTTGCCTTTCGCAGTGTCGAAGCACTTTGGACAGAATATTTATTCTTTAGGGGTGACAGCTAAGGGACAAGCCTGCGGCGATTGCCCTGCTTAAATCCCAATCACGATGGCAGAACTACTGAGGATAGTGTGACGACGATGGTGGTTATGACAGCTTTTTCCTTGAAAACATGCGAGTTCGGCAAAGAACCAACCAAAAAGAATCAAGATACTTCAATATCGAATCCGGAAATGACGAATAGTATGCAATGTACTTCGCAAAGACAGCAATCCCAAATGGCAGACCTGGATATTCACCTCAGTTGGTATAGAAGCCTGTACCCAGGGCTGGCTTATTTAGAGTGTCGCCACTCGAGCTCTTAATTACATTTCGGTCTCCTCTGGTACACTTCGTTCTTATTCTGGAATGCCCTCTTCCTGTATGATTGCGATGCTTACCAGGATTATAACCAGGTTTCACCAATGATGCTTAGAGTGGGACAGTCATGGTCACCACAACAGCTTGTCTGTACTACGTCATTGAGCTACTTCTTTTCTTTCATAATGCCACAAATAATTAATAATCTCTCATTGTTGCAACTAATTAACAGTACTTTTGTATATCCCTATTCCTTGACCATTAGGTCGAACCGTGCCGTGCCCTAAGCGCAATGGGCAGAGAGAATCTCATCGTTCTCATCCACATGGATGTTCAGTCTGTGGCCATAGAGTCAGTCACAGCTAGTATAGCAAATAGAGTCCAGGAGACCGTACCTAGAAGCATTGTACTCCATGGTGGTCACATCTCCAGGGTGGAGGACGCGAATGGGGTCCGACTGCAACACATTTGCCTACCCGGCGTCAGCTTCGTCTTGTTACGGAATATCCCAAATCAAACACATACCATGGCCTCAGTGTACAGCTGGCCGACCAGCTCTTGCTTCACGAACTGGGCTTCCTTTTCGCAGGTCTTGGGCTCGGCGAGGGCGGACTGGAGTCCGGCCAACGCAAGGAGGCAAGCAAGGGAGAACTTCATGGTGATCAAGGGTTGAATGTTTGAGGTGTGAGTGATTGAATAATTGAATGATTAAGTCAATGAGGATTCTTGCTGATGATTTCTAGCAGACTGGACTGGATCTCGCCTCCTTTATATATCTTGCGACTGTCAGCGCCGCCGTGAGGTTGTACTGTGTTGCTTGGCAGGTACTCCTTGGCATGTGCGATATATATAGATGATTCTATGGACATCATCACCATTGCCTCATTCTAGAATCATACAGACGACAGATGGATAGTGGTCGGCCAAGACGAGCCATTTCTCTGATGTGAAAATTTTCCCTGTCGAAGTGGTATTGACCCTATTATCAGGCAATCCGCCTGCATGTCTAGAAAATCGCAAGGGATCCCGGTATTTCCATTACTCAGACGTACATTCAGGGTATCATCATGACACAGAACTTGCAAGGTTGTGCTGTCTAGACTCGACACCATTTTGATGTTTGAGGGAGCTTGACTTCGAGACCGCTCTAGAGGGATGTAGCGGGAGAACGGGGTTGGCATTGCATTGTCAGTCAGGTACAAATTATCCAACTCATGCTGTGTTGACATTCCTCACGAGTCGGCTATAGACGGACTCCTGAATTCGATTGACGCGACTGGGGTGTGGTCCGCAGCTAACCGACCGCAGGCGAGGCCCTTGTGCATATTAAATATGCAACATGCAGATACCCTGAGGATGGCAACTTGCTGAATTCGCACGAGAGATCAGAATTTTCTGATTCTCCGGTCAATCCCTGGACTCGGCGTGGCGAAGACTATCCACGTTGGCCATCGACTGGCTATGCCCGTGTGAGCAGTCGCTGAACAGGAGTC